ATTAAATAAATTAAATAAATTAAATAAATTAAATAAATTAAATAAATTAAATAAATTAAATAAATTAAATAAATTAAATAAATTAAATAAATTAAATAAATTAAAATTAAAAAAATTTATATTATATAACGTTTTTTTTATTAATTTTATTATTTAAATTATAATAATTTTTTTATAATATAATAATTAAATTATTATTAAATTTAAGTTTAATTTAAAATTAATTTATTTTAATTAATTTAAATTAAGTTTTAAAAAATTAATTATATTTAATTACGGGTAACGTGGTTTATTTAATTCGTGTTATTATATTTATAAAGCGAGCGTAACGTTTTTTAAAATTTAATTTAAAGCTTAATAATATAAAAACTTTAATTAAAATTATAAATTAAAATTATTTTTAAAATTTAAATATATATTATATTATAACCACGTATAATGTGTTTTAAAAAATATAATTTAAAATTAATAATAAATAATTTAAATTTTTTTAATTATTTAAAATATTATTTAAATTTAAGTTTAAAATATTTAAATTTTCGAAGGTTAAAAATTTAAAATTATAAAATTATAAAAATTATACCCGTTTATTTTAAAACGATAATATTATAATTAACGGTTATATAAATTTAAAATTAAATAATTTAATAAAATTTTAATAATTTTACGTTTAAAATTATTTATATATTTAATATTTTAAAAAGTTATTATATAAAAGTTTTATTAAAATTTATTTATTAAAGTTTATTTAATAAAATTAAAATTTAAATTAAAATTAATATTAACGTAATTAAAAATAAATTAATAATTAATATTAATATAAAAATAATTATTTATTTAAAAAATTATTTAAATTATAAATTTAATTAAATATTTATTAACACGTTTTTTAATTATTAAAAAAGTTTAAATATATCGTAATTTAAACGTATTAATTTTATTTATTATATTTTATATTAAAAATAAAATCCGTATATTTAAATTATAATATATTTAAATTTTCATAATAATTAAAACGCGTTAATTAAATTAATAAAAATTTATTTAAATTATTTAAACGTATATTTAAAATAAAAGTATAATTTTAAAAAAAACCATTAATAAATTTTAAATTAAAAATTAATTTTTAATATTTTTAATAATTTTTATAATATAATTAATTAAAAATAAATATAATTAAAAAAATATAATTAAAAACGAAACTTTAATTTAAACTTGTTAAGATAAAAATTAATATAATGTTAATATTTTAATTATTTTATTTCGCATTAAATAAAAGGATGTGGCTTATGGTTTAAATTTTTAGCCGGAACCTTCGTAAAGAACACCAGTTTTAACAGGTGAGCCCAAGCGGATTCATTAAAAGTGGAGCGGAGCACGGGTAGCTCAATTGCCCCGCGTTCGCAAAGCTTGACCGGACCGCTTTACTTTTGACTCATTCGCATTTTTGGCGGGGTATTAATTTTTTAGTCTCCGTCTCTTCACAATCCATTGACTTCAAATTCTATTCCATAGATTTCTGCCTTTCGCGCTAGCCACAGTTCGTCAAGATGAGTATTAACTTTCCGCAGGCAGAGGAAGAGATTGTGCGCTTCTGGCGTGAGGTTGATGCCTTTCAAACCCAACTCAGACTCACCGAAGGACGTCAGCGCTTCACCTTCTACGATGGTCCCCCGTTCGCGACTGGCCTCCCGCATTATGGCCATCTCCTTACCTCCACAATCAAGGACATCATACCTCGGTACTGGTCCATGAAGGGCTATCATGTTGTTCGACGGTTTGGTTGGGATACTCACGGTCTACCCATCGAATACGAGATCGACAAGACATTGGGTGTCTCTGGCCGTGATGCCGTCTTGAAGATGGGTATCGAGAAATACAATGCGGAATGTCGAGCAATCGTCATGAGATATGCGGCAGAGTGGCGACAGACAATTGAGCGTCTGGGTCGATGGATAGATTTCGACAACGGTGAGATTGGCAATTGTTCATTGCGTTGGTTTTGATGTTGGAATAGCATCGACTAATATCCTGAGATCAAGACTATAAATCCATGGATGTCAAGTTCATGGAATCTTGCTGGTGGGTCTTTAAGCAGCTTTTCGACAAGGACCAGGTCTACCGCGCCTACCAGATCATGCCCTTTTCGACCGCCCTCTGCACTCCCTTAAGCCATATGGAATCCAAGCAAAACGAGAAGACGACTCAAGATCCGGCACTCTTAGTAGCTTTCCCAGTTAAAGGCAGGGCTTCTTCCCTGATCATTTACACGACGACGCCCTGGACTCTGCCGTCTAACCTCCTCATTGCCGTCCACCCCGAGTTTGAGTATGTCGAGATTCTTGACGAGGCTTCAAGCAAGCAATATATCCTCTTAGAAAGTGGGCTTTCTATGCTCTACAAGGACAAGAAGAAGGCGAAGTACAAGATCTTGGGAAAGCTCAAGGGAAAGGAGATGATTGGCTGGAAATATGAGCCCTTGTTCCACTATTTTGCCGACCAGTTTGCCGACTGTTTCCAAGTCATAGGTGCCGACTATGTTGAAGCAGACGAAGGTACTGGCCTCGTACACCAAGCTCCCGCGTTTGGTCAGGAGGATTACGATGCAGCGGTCGCTGCTGGTTTCATACACCCCAAGCGCTTGCCCCCGTGCCCCGTGGATGATAAGGGTCTTTTTACTGCGGAGGTGACTGATTATGCTGGGCAACATGTTAAGACCGCGGACAAGGCGATCGTAAAGGATCTCAAGGAAACCGGCCGTCTCTTGCTTGCCACGCAAGTATCCCACGTGGACAAGTTCTGCTGGCGGTCCGATACACAACTCATCCGAAAGGCTGTTTCTTCTTGGTTTATCCGGGTTACTAACTCCATACCGGACATGCTCTCCAACCTCGAGTCGACTACCTGGGTCCCTTCCTTTGTAAAGGAGAAGCGGTTTGCAAACTGGGTCGCCAATGCACACGACTGGAATATTGCTCGAAATCGATATTGGGGCACACCACTTCCACTGTGGGTTAGCGAGGATTACGAGGAAGTTGTTTGCGTGGGAAGTATTGCCGAGCTTAAAGAATTGAGCGGTTATACCGGCACTCTAGACGATATTCATCGAGACAAGATCGACGGGATCACCATCCCCTCCAAAAAGGGGAAGGGACAACTTCGTCGCGTCGACGAAGTCTTCGATTGCTGGTTTGAATCTGGAAGCATGCCTTACGCGTCTAACCATTATCCCTTTGAAAATTCGGATGGCTTTCAAGATGGAAATTTCCCTGCGGATTTCATTGCCGAGGGACTTGACCAAACTCGTAAGCAGCGCCCTCACATCCTGGATCCTCTAGTTCTAGATGCGAGCCTAAGGTATAATTTTCTCTGACTGAATTTAGGTGGTTGGTTTTACACATTAAGCGTTCTAGGAAATAAGCTTTTCGGCGTTTCGCCGTTCAAGGCAGTTATCGTCAATGGCTTGGTGTTAGCTGAAGATGGCAAGAAGATGTCCAAAAGCCTGAAGAACTACCCTGATCCTAAAAACGTCATCGATCAGTATGGATCTGATGCACTCCGGCTTTATCTCATCAACTCCCCGGTTGTCCGCGGTGAACCTTTACGGTTCAAGGAGTCAGGAGTCAAGGAGATAATTGCCAAGGTACTTTTGCCCTTATGGAACAGTTATCGTTTCTTCTACGAGCAGACGGTCCTGTTCAAGAAGATGACTGGAGAGGATTTTGTTGCCCAGTTCCCGGAGACGACGAACGTCATGGATCGGTGGATTCTTGCAGACTGCCAGAGCATGCTGCAGTTCATCGACCAGGAGATGGCGGGTGAGTTCATAGCCCATCCGGTTTATATTCCCAGCTAACTTCATAGGTTACCGGCTATACACTGTCGTGCCTCGTCTACTTCAGGTTATTGATAACCTGACGAATTGGTATATTCGTTTCAATCGCAAGAGACTTAAGGGCGCTGCTGGTCTTGAAGTTAAGGATACTAAAGCGGCTCTGGACACGCTATGTCAAGTGTTATTTACGCTAGTACGGGCCTTAGCACCCTTCACCCCATTCATTACGGAGCATATCTACCGTCTTCTACGCCCATACCTCGGCGAAGCACTCTCGGGGTTCTCCGATACCAAGAGCGTGCATTTTCTCGCATTCCCGACCGCACAAGAATCGCTCTTCGACGAGGTAATCCAAAGGAAAGTCTCTGCCATGCAGAAGGTGATCCAGCTTGCAAGAACAGCTAGGGAGCGCAAGACCATTCCATTGAAGACGCCTCTGCTCACCCTGGTTGTCATTGCCGACGCGCAGCAGCTCAGCGATATCGAAGAACTACAGACGTACGTTAAAGAGGAACTCAACGTCAGGGACATAGTCCTAACGAATGACGAGGAGCGTTACGGCATTCACCTCGAGGCCCGAGTAGATTGGCCGATTTTAGGCAAGAAGTTGAAGCGAGATGCTCAAGTCGTCCGTAAAGCTTTACCGGACCTTACACAAGAACAGCTTAGACATTACTTGAAAGACAAGAGAATAACCATCCAGGGGATCGAGCTCGAGGGTAATGACCTTAGCATTGTGCGAGTCGTAGCTAAGGACAACCCGAACATCGTGAAGGATGAGGGGGTCCAGTACGAACCAGCCTTTTCAGACGACATGATCATCCTCTTGGATACAGCATCGCATCCGGAACTTATCGACGATGGAATCGCCCGTGATGTGATGACGCGTGTGCAGAAGATGCGCAAGACGGCCGGGCTAGTTCCAACCGATGACGTCCGTATGCAGTACAGCGTCGTTTCTAATCCCGATGACATACAATTCGAGACATTAGTATCCTCTCGAAAAACCCAGTTCGAGAATACCGTACGTGGTCCACTAGAACCCTTTTCGCCAACTGAAGGGGTAGCAGAAACCGTCATACTGCAGGAGGAACACGTCATCAGTAATCTGACGTTATCACTGAGGTTGTGTCGTGTTTGATGAGGCCATCTATCTACGCGACAGATTATAGAGTCCTAAGGCGCGACTACGTCAAACAAAAGCCAAGCGTGGTTGAAAAGCTAGTAGGCGAGTCGTTATGATACGTGCGAGTCCGGTTGCAACAAATTATGTTGCCAGGAAGGTCAACGTGTATGATCCCAGTCCTCGCGTTAGACGCCTCGCGGGTAGAGCGTCCTTGCCATCGTGCAGGTAGCTCATAGCTAGTTGAATTACTAGATTTCGAACAAATTCCTCCTGGCTGAGTTAGCTCTCCATTACTTCCTTATGTGCGCCAACGCTACGTGCTCAAGTATATTTGGAAAGTAGTTTCTGTACTGGAGTATATAATATTGGTTAGGGCCTAAGTGAGATTCTATCCGCAAAATGCCTACTGAGGCTTATAATTGGCTCCCCCTTGCCCTATTGTGATCTTCTTAGTGAATCCGCGAAGTCATCTGATCTTGACACTGTAAAAGCTGAATACCTCATTGTCTACTATGTCGATGTCCGCATCCTCATCACACATTTTGAAACTGTGTGTAAAGGCTAGATAAATACGTGGATAAACTTTTAGATAAATTCCAAAGAATTCTGATCTGTTCATTGTATGGATCATAGTGTACTCTCGGAAGCTATCAAATACTTGGGAGGTGACGAAGCTTGAAACGAATTATGTTTGAAAGTATTTGTCTTCAAATAGTAGTTTTTAACGCATAGCTAAATTGAATACTGAAACGTTATATGAACGCAAAGTTTTCTTTAAAGCTTCTATACATAGGTACGATTTGAGAGTACTAGCGATTCCAAGGCCTTGGAATTCCCACATGAATAAATACTTGAAGCAACGAGATAATCCAATTTCAGGTTCTCGCTTGAAGATGCCCGCAAGACATCTTATATGAGTGTACAGCATAGATTACGTACATATGCTAGCGAACAAGGATCATGAGCCTAAGGCCTTGATTGGTAGGATCTTACCTGCACGCCCCTGAAGCTAAGTTGCACTAGCTCGTGCAACTGGAAATGGAAGGGGTACATCTGTAATTAGTGCACCTACTAATGTATGTACGTGTAGTCTTTAAGAGAATCTTATTAGCTACCTACCAGCAAGGGAAATGTTGAAGCGAGGAAGGGGAAAAAAAAAGGAGTAACAGGTTCCTGGATTTCTTGCATGGTGAAATGGATACTGAACAGATTTAACTACCAATCTTTCCTTTATTGTACGAAATTTGTCGAGATGCTAAATGCACTCATAACAACGATAATCAATCAGTTATTCTGGAAGGAGAAGACATCGATGAGAACCGTAATAAGAAAGAAAACATGAACCTTGAAGGGTTGGCTTAAAAGAGTAACGACCCAAAGCATAGGGCCACAGCGTCTAATTGCATTGACTCTATTCACATTACATTACGGACGCATATTACCTATCTTACAGCGGGATCATCAGTGCGACACCTCTTTTCGGCGAGAGTCCTAGCACAGGACGCCCCCGTTTCCGCTTTGCGATAGGGCTCTTGGGTTCCCGTGGTTCTTGCTGTTGCACTACCTAATTGGTGGAGGGTAGCAAGGGAAAAGGCATGATGCCACCACAGCCGTCGATACCAACATCACAACTCCAATCGCCTTCGCCATCACCACCACTACTTCCTGTTTCATCGCAACATTATCAACGCCAAAAACAGTTACAACAACAACAACAACATCAACATCATCATTATCAGCAGCAGCAGCAGCAGCCACCACCACCACAATCGTCACTACTAACATCGTCGAATTTATATAACACACCAAGTATATCAACCTCGAACATTATCAAAAGTAGTTTCAGCAGCAACAATTTTCATTATAATCGTGGTTGGAAGGGAATTGGGGGTGATATTGATGATGATATTGGCGGAGCTGGGAATGGAAAAGAAAATGGAACGTTAAATAATAGAAGAAAGATTTCAAGTGCTACGAGTGGAATTGGAATTGGAATTGGTACTTCTGATAGTGTCCGGCTGGCTGGATACGGCCCGAAAATCGAATCGACGGCTCAGGCAGGTACGACCGCGACTGCGGCCGCGTTAACTCAAAGCGCCGCTAGTCAAAGCCAATCTCGTCTCCATTTCCATCCGAATCGTTATCCACCAGCTGGAGACAAGCCCCATCAAAATCCAAATCTAAATCTAAATCCAAATCCAAATTCAAGTCCGAGTCCCAATTCCAATCTGGGTCTTCACTATCCCCTTACTTATCAAAACCCCATTTCTCCCAATCTCCCTCCGCCAAGAACATCGTCGCTCTTCCCGCCGCCTCGCAACGCCAACACGAAATTGATATCACCCGTCAATGCCCTCGATAATCCGTTGACCACCTCCCCAAGACACCACTTGCGCCGCAACTCGCGATCTAGTAGCGCTGGCGCCGCTAGCGACGGTTTTCGAAATCTCAATCGCTGGTCTGCATCCACTGCTTCTAGCCGGGCTTCTAATTCTAATCGCGATTATTTTCATCCTCATTTCCAGCATATCCAGCAACAACAGCGGCAACAAGAGCCGGAACAGGAGCCGGAACGACGCCAGGAACTGCAATCTCCTCCACCAAAGTTAACTAAGCGACGGCCCTCTAACGATACGAGTGCTTCACCGAGAAATCGCCGGCCTTCATCACCGCCCTTGTCTGCCTCTTCCGCCGCGCCGCCGAATCTCCCCCCTATAATCTCGCTTCCTCCCCTCGACACGGATCCCGAGTCTGCCATTCCTCCAGACTCCCCTTCGCGTTTGATGAGCCGCGCCAACCCCGCCGAGCCCCAGGATCGCTTCGGGGATGACCTCGACCGCCTGAATACAGCTGCTAGAGGAAATCCCACACTATTGCCACCAGCTTTCGTCACCCGCGACACTATGCCGGACAGGAATCGTAATGCGAGGAGTCGCTCTTCCGCGGCGAGAGGCAGTGCCGAGTCGACCCGGGCAAGAGACCGCGCTAATAAACCGTCGCAGAAAGCTATGCTGTCTAAAGCTTTGGCGAAAGCGAACGCCGCGGTTCAGCTGGATAATGCTCAAAATTACGTCGCTGCCAGGGAATCTTACTCAGAGGCCTGCGACCTATTACAACAAGTCCTCTCTAGGACAAGTGGCGAGGAGGACAGGAGAAAGTTGGAAGCTATTGTAAGTTAATCAGTAATATTGGGTGGATAGTCATGTCCACGGGTCTAACGCCTTTTTTATTGTAGCGACTCACATACACAAGCCGAATAGACGAGCTGGATGGGTTAGTGCCTGCATACGCGCAAAATGACAAAGCTCTGCCGGCGAGACCGGAGAGCGTCGATGAATACCATGGAGTCCAGATCGAATTGGCCGGCGGCGAAGGAAGTGCGGAAATAACAGCGGCTGGGAGAGTAGGGAGGGACTCGCCAAATTCTGGCCAAGACCAGCGGCTACTCCAGTCGTCCTTTTCGAGACCACAGATGCGCCGGAATTTCGAAGGTCCTTCTCTCAGCCTGCCTCATCCACAGGATGCCGGCTTTGTGCCTGCTCCATTATCACCCCGACGACCACTCTCCCCGGCGAAACCACCTACTCCTCCCGAGCCCGTTGTGCGGCAGGACTTCTCCTGGCCATCTGAGCGGTCGGCTGTAGAAAATGGCGCGAAGAGCCATAGGCGCAACCTTAGTCACGAATCGGCATCATGGCTGGATCCGATCGATGAGTCCGGCGGCTCGGCTTCATCCTCGGTACATTCGAGGAACTCTTCGATTGGAGTTAGGAGGAAACATATCCGCCACACTAGCGGCAACACGGAGGCCGAGTTCGACGCCGCCTTAGATGCTGCGGTTGAAGCCGCATACGACGACGGCTATGAACCTATGGACTCCTACGAGACCGCCTATGACGACGATAACCTCGACAGCAGCGATGATGTGGTGGTCAACGCGATGCGCAAAGTAGAGATTGCCAAGGAAAGGGTCCGCCAAACCGAGCGTGAGGCGGCAGTAGAGCTAGCACGGGAACGAGAACGTCAGAGGCAGATGTCGATAGATCAGAAAACCCAGACGTTTGGTGGGGACTTCTTCGACGCCAACGATTCAGATGAGGAGGAAGAGCGTATCTTGGACGAGATGGCTCGGAGATCCGTGATGGAAGATTTCACCTTCAACCAGCGGTCCCAGCAATCACAATCTAAAATTCCTAGGGAGTCCGACTCTAGCGGCATAACCTCGCGGACCTGGCATAGTTCGGTTGGCTCAAATCCCCCAACAGCCACGACGGTATTGTCGACGGTCACTGAGATGCCGCCGCCAGGATTCCCCCCCAAGACATCACCGCCGTCCCTACCTTCACCACCATCTCAGCAGGTTTCTCCCACATCCGGGGTGCGCAATCGTCGCCTCTCCGGTCAGAACCATAAGCAGCTCAAGATCGAGACCTCCAAGCTCGGGCAGCCACCAAACGTACTCGCGCCATCCATCGCCACCTCGGTGCTGCAAGCAAAGACCTCCGGAGGTTATATCGCTCAACAGAGGCAAGCACTGTCGGCGACATCAACACGACCAGGCCCTTTTTCCATGCGTGCGCCATCGTCACCCGTCAGAGGTATTAGCCCAGCAGATGCCCTGGCTCCTCCGAGTCCGCCAACTATCCAGGCGGGAGCTCAAGAATCTGATGAGCTCCGAACCGACTCACCAACTTCTTCGCGACCTGGCATACGCAAGAATTTCTCGTCTTCTAGTTTAAAGTCCCTAAAAACCCGCCAGTTTTCTGTCTCACACCTTGATGATTCTGACCTTTCGCCCAACACTCCTTTGAGCCACCAAATTTCAAACACTTCTATGTCTCGCCAGCCCACAATTCCTGCACTCCCTACGCCACTTGCCGCCGCTTTTCATGAGAGGATGACTGGTGGTATTGGTGGTTTGCACCTATTCGACTCTGATTTTCATTCCCCTACTACCCATTCGCCGAATCAGCTCTACCACCATCACCATCTCCACCATAGTCCGGATGTTCCAATACCCCTCGAACCGTGTCCGTCCGATGCCATGCTTCGGCCTTTCTGGCTGATGCGTGCTCTTTACCAGACTCTGGCTCACCCACGTGGAGGATATATCAGCAACCGACTTTTCATTCCTCGGGATGCCTGGAAAGTTAAGGGCGTAAAACTACGTGCCCTCGAGGATAAGATTTCGCAGTGCGATCTTTTAACCGCAGCGCTTCTCAAGCTAGCGAGGGTGGACAGCAACGATGCGGATGCGGTCCTGGAGGAAATGCAAAGCTTTGAAAATATTCTAGAGATGGTCCAAGTAACGCTCGCGCGAAAGCTTGGTCACGAGGTTGGCACTCAGGGTATGAGTGCCTTCCGTGATGAGAGAGACGCAGAGGCTGCGCCGCCAGTCCCACGAAGTGCTAGTGTCAGCGGAAAAGGAGGCGCGTTTAGTTGGCGAAGACTAAGGAACAAGGGCTCTGCGGCCAACATGACGAGCGCATACGGGGCGAAGAGCAATAGCGGCGGAAGCGGCGGCCCCGGCGTGAACGAGAGGGATATCATTGGCTCAGTGAGTTCCATTCCGAGTCTACCGATGAGCGCCCACCCAAGCAGCAAGCCCGCGAAGAGGGATGTCACGTCGGTTAACTTTGATGGACCGTATGGGAACTATATGGCGAGCCTTGCGCGATTGTTCGATGCTGCGCAAACGGTCGGTAAGTGTCCTAGATGGCCTCTCAATCTCGTCACGGAATAAGTCCTAATTGTTGTAGATCAAATTGCACGCCAAGTCGACGACCCTGGCCTGCGCCACGCTGATAAAACCCAGGTTGGGCTTGAGTTGTGCACTAGGCACGCGGCCGAGTTCTTTGGCTTTTATATTTGCCGCTTTGTGTTAGCTGACTTGGCAATGCTGCTCGATAAATTTGTCAAGAGAGGTAGCGAATGGGTACTTAATTAAGGATAAACTGAACGAGAATTACCACCGCCTTACCTTCACCCTAGGCGAGTCTGGTGTTTTCTGTCGAGAAATTCACGGTTGAACGCGCGACGAAGAAACGACGATGGACAGGGCAACTTTTCGGAGTTGCGTGATGGCAAAAAGAAGAAGAGAAGCCTTGTAGGAAGCTCTAAGCGACAGTTATCGTCACCCGGAGAGGAAAATCTTGGCGATTTAACTGTGTGGTGCTAGCGGAGACTTACGAGGAGAACAACTACAGCTGTCTAAATCTACAAAATGGACAGGCGGGGAGTGGCTCGTTCAGGGGACAAGACTATGTCCCCAACTTTCATTTGTATATTTCATGGCGCCGGAATATATCCCACCTCGTCTCATGACATGATACAAGATACCATGGGTCATTTACCATTTGATAGTCGCTAATTGACCCAGCACGCGATACCCACCAGTCTATTTTTCTCCTTTTTCTCTCTTTTTCTGTTCGAGACATTGGAAGCGCCTGCTAAGATTCGAAGCCATATATAGACGAAGAAAACTCGTATAGAATTGAAGTTTACAAGCAATTTATATTATTTGCATGTGGAGCACAAGCGTTCATATATCAGGATATCTTATAGAAAGAAAAACCTATCGAGGGAATTGATTATTACTATCATCAAGCAGCAGCAACTTCTGTGATGGTCCTGTAGAACTGAGCCGGGTCGTGGGCAAATCTACCTAGGAATAACCCATCCACACCGTCTTTGAGCTTCTCGAATAGTCCAGGACCAGCACTGCCGCCGTACAAGATTCTCGTAGTTCCCTTCCGCTGCCGCACACACTCGAGTGCCCTGATCTCGCGAGTCACGGCGACTACATGCTGAGCATCGGCCGGCTCGGCAGCACCTATAGCCCAGACGGGCTCATAGGCTAGGACAACCTCGGCCTCGTCGGGCAGACTTGCTAGAACTGCTTCAACTTGCTGCTTACACTCGTCGACAGCTACTATCGTGGTTTCCTCGCCTTCCCCTTTCGTTCGTTCGCCAATACAGACCAGCGGGATCATGCCGTGCCGAGCAGCCGCGGCAGCCTTCCTCGCCGTGTCGAGGTCCGTCTCCCGGAAGATACGCCTGCGCTCGGCGTGGCCGAGCTCGACGATGCGGCAGCCAACCTCGGCGAGGACGGCGGGTGAGACTTCGCCCGTGTAAGCGCCGGCGTCCTCGTAAAAGGCATCCTGGGCGCCGGTGAGAATCCCGGTGCCTTCTAATTGTGAGACGACCGACGTTAGCGTGACGTGATCCGGGATGACGAAGACGTCAACTTGGTCTAGGAGACCCGGCGAAGGTGACGATGAAGAAATGATTTGTAAGAGCTCGTGGACGTATTGCTTGGTCCGCGCCGCAGAGAAGTACATTTTGGTGGAGACGCCGACGATACGACGTCGAGGGGGCGAAGGATGTGAAGTCATGGCTGGTGCGGAGGTGAATCGGGAACCCCTTTTGGGAAGTAAGGGGGTAGTGATATGTATGTAATATGTTGGGGCTGGATGATTAGGACTAAATATCCCAATAAATATAAATATAAATACCTAGACGTAGATATAGACGTGAGTAAAAAGTGGGATAGCTTAAGAAGATGCGGAAACCCGAGATTTGTCTATAGCGTCATGCAGTTAATCATGTCATTCGACATCGTTGATGAGATTAGCGAGCTCGCTTCAACGTATGTACGTAGTTGTATGTATGTGTAGTATTAATAAATGTCTTGCGTGGAAGCCACCTAACCAAGGATGTGGATATCAGGGGTATGCAAATAATTTCATAGTAAGATTTATACTAAGAGCATATGAATGTCTATATGCGACTTATGCATGTTATTACCCCTTATCAAATCCTCAATTGAGAATAGTGTCATCGGTGGGTAGCACCTGGACAATTCTTTTTCAGAGGTGACTTGAGCAGGCGCTATCCGCTAGGTATCTACTAGTGTTCTACCTAGGTACGGGCTGCCAAGATAGTAATCTTCTAACGTTGAACTTTTTTAACTTCAATCTTCATCTTTCCCTCTTTTGCGCGGGTTTGCATCTTCCAACGCTGCCTATTGTCGCTTCAATCCAAATAATAATCATTCCTATAAGGCTTTTTCGAGATGAGTGATAGCCTCTACTTTAGCCGCGCTCGCGCTCTTTTCGTCAAAGACGTATCCGAGCCATTCCTTTGCTAGTCTGCGTGCGAGTTCTAAGCCGATTACTCTCTCACCCATACAGAGGACTTGGGCGTTGTTACTCAAGACCGCCCGCTCTACCGAGAAGCTGTCGTGAGCTGTAACTGCTCGGACACCTTTGATCTTGTTGGCCGAGATGGCGACCCCAAGGCCGGTTCCGCAGATGAGCAACGCTCTGTCGACTTTGCCGTCGGCAACTAGCTGTGCCGCCGCCGCAGCTCGGTGCGGATATGCCGTTTTATCATCTGCCGAGAGACTACCAACGTCTACTACGGATTCGACTCGAGGGTCTTTCTCGAAGTCCTCCTTGATTTTGGCTTTGTAATTCACGCCCGCATCCTGTTCATGATTGCGATTAGTATCATTGGCGAGACTCCATGAATAGTACACGGAGATAGAGATTAACGACAGGAAGAAGACGGGGTAAACTTACATCGGAACCTAGGGCTATCTTCCACTTGGGCTCGGCCATTATATGACTGAATAATTGACTGACTTGAGTATCAGGTAGTGGGGCGAGTTGTGATGAGAAAAAGAAAGTCTCAACACTGGACTCTGGATTCTGGACTCTAGACTCCTGTGGTGTGGCGTAGTTTCAGGCTCTGGTAACTCGGCAATCCTTAAAGAGTGAAAGGAGATTATCAGAACCGACTATTCGACGTTGCCGGTTCTTATTGCTAGGTACATTGGGCTCAGGATGCCTCCTCGCCTTTCAAAACTTGAGCTAACAAGCCCGTTTGTTTGTCTGAAGTGGGGGGGATATACTCCTATGCTATATCCTCTCGGATTACCGGATTAGGCAAGCCGATGGCAAATATCTGAATTTACCCCTATGGTTCGCATTCTTCTCCCGGCATCGCTATTCGTAATACACCTTTCACCCCTCCTTCGGTAATCATGCGGACCATGATTCTGTCAACTGTACCGCTAAACCTCAATAGCACCGTGGGGAAATGGGCCTGGAAGCCTAAATAGAATGACCATTTACGAGCTTACGGGCCTCGGTGCCAAGTAATTTCAGCCATAGAGCGTATACACCGACCTTACCGGTATATCAATGCGAGTCTCGTGAACTGAAGAGATACGTTGTCGGGGCCAAAGAGTCCCAAAAGGTCATTGGTGTTGCCTCTTACGGCAACCCCTTAGTTTCCGTAAACTTGATCTTTCACGTAATGGAACCAGAGCTATCTAGGGCGCCTTTTGATAACCTGCCTTTGTTCTCCGTGATAGAAAGCCCCAGCTCTTCTCCAAAAGTTTTACCATAGAAATTGTACAACAAAGCCCCCCTCAGTCCTCTCGAATCCCTCCACTCCTGCGTCATAGCATCCCAAGACCTCGGAAATGTCGAAACGCCACCTCTTCCAGTCTTCGGACGGGCTCGTTACCAAGGCGATTAGAGGCATCATCTCTTACAATCCTTTACTCAGTCTGGACGAGGCCAACCGAGTGGTATTCGATACAGCTTATAACAAGTCCAACGTGTCGATAATCAGCGGAGGAGGTTCTGGTCATGAACCTGCCTGGTGCGGATATGTCGGCGAAAATTTGCTTGCCGCCTCGGTGGCTGGCGACGTCTTTGCTTCTCCCAGCACAAAGCAGATAGTTTCTGCCATCGACAGAGTACCTTCGGATAAAGGAACCATCCTAGTTGTCACCAACTATACCGGCGACTGTCTGCACTTTGGGTTGGCCAACGAGAAAGCCATCGCGAAGGGTCACAAGTGCAGGATGATCATCTGTGGAGACGACGTGTCCGTCGGGAGAAAAGGCAGCCTGGTCGGCCGCCGCGGTCTAGCTGGAGAACTCGGGGTCCTCAAGATTCTGGGAGGTGCTGCAGGCGCCGGTGGCTCTCTTGATCAGGTGTATGACCTTGGCGTCGCATTCTCACAGCAGATCGTCTCCATTGCAGCCACGCTCGATCACTGTCATGTCCCGGGCCGGACAGAACATGCTACTCTAGGAAGCGATGAGGTGGAAATCGGGACTGGCCCTCACAACGAGCCTGGTTACAAGAAGTTGTCTCCCGTGCCGTCGGTACAGGACCTCGTCAAGCAGTTGTTAACTTACCTCCTGGATGAGACGGACCCCGAACGGGGTTATGTGAAATTCAAGGCCGGTGATGAGGCCATACTCCTTGTCAGCAATTTTGGAGGCGTGTCGCATCTTGAAATGGGTGCGTTGGTGGACGAGCTCCTCGAGCAGCTAGCGGCGCAGTGGAAGCTCGAACCGGTGCGTATAAGTAACGGGTTCCTAGAAACATCTCTTAACGCGCCGGCATTTTCGGTATCGATCGTCAACGCAACAGCTGCGGCTGCGAACTGCTCATATTCGGTCGAGGAGATCAAGTCCTTCTTCGACGCCAGGACCAACACTTGTTGGGAATCTCTCACGGGCTCTCAATCTGTACGACGCCCTCGACAGGAGCAATTCGTACAACCACCTCCGGAACCTAAAAAGGTGATCGAGGAAGCCAAGGATCTCAAAATTGATCCCGTTTCCCTAGAAAAGATGCTGCGTGGCGCGTGCGAACAGCTAATTGCCGCGGAGCCTGACTTGACCAAGTGGGACACGATCATGGGCGACGGAGATTGTGGCGAGACGCTTAAGACGGGCGCCAGCTGTCTTATCGCCGCGTTGGACTCGAAGAAACTCGCCGTTCAAGGTTCCATAATCGCTGTCCTTCAAGAGCTCGAGGAAATTGTCGAGGGCAAGATGGGAGGCACGCTAGGTGGCATCCTGGGCATCTTCTTCGTCTCGATGCGTAACGCTCTCGAAGAGAACATTGCGATTGCCAAAAGCGAGGGGCTTCCCAAACTATGGGCTAAGGCCGTCCAGAAAGCCTTGGACAATTTAACAAGATACACACCAGCTAAGGTTGGTGACCGGACCGTGATGGACACGTTGATCCCATTCGCAGAGGGCCTTCGTTCGGGAGAGTTTGCGGATGGTCTCGAAGCAGCAATCAAAGGAGCTGAACTTACAAAGACGTTGAAGCCGAGACTCGGCAGGGCCACTTACATTGGTGCTGATAGCAGCAAGGCTTTACCTCCTGACCCCGGTGCTTGGGGCGCCATGGTGGCTATAAAAGGCTTGCAGTCAGGTATATAATTATTCATGTGCTAGGTATGAGTTTCCGTATATATTAGTAGTCATCGGTATGAAAAAGTGGCTAGCGGGCATCGTGAATCTGGGATGTTTGTATCTTTGTACATAATCTAGTTCAAATGGCGATGGAAGCACATGTTATCGAGACATATATGTACTTGAGCAAACTGATGAAGTACGCACGTGGAGAGGTTGGGACGGCGGTCAGCTTCTGTTTATGGATCGGACTACCCCCTTTTTAGATAGTACTGTAAGACTCGCTTATTTCTTTTAAACGGGAGACATCCCACAACATCCCTTACCTCCTTACCTCCTTACCTCCTTACCTCCCTTACGCCTTACCAGCGCTACCGAGCCAACGCATATACTGCTCTATAGCGGCCTGCATCCTGTCCGTACCCGCCTCGATGACGCTCGTGAGAGGCTTGCCGCGCATCTCTTCCTGCACGGCGGCATAATGCTTGTTCATACCCTTGTTGATGTTGACTTTGGAGACGCCAGCTTCTATACAATTTTTGAAGATTTCTTCGGTGAAGGGGTCGGCGCCGTGTAAGACAAGGCGCACTCTGTCGCCAACCGCCTTATTGATTGATTGCAAACGACCATACTCTAACTGTATGCCTCGCGGCCCGTATTCTCCATGCACGTTGCCAAAGGCCGGCGCTAGCATCTCAATACCGGTCGCGACGAATTCCTCGGCTTGTTCTGGCGTGGTGAGGATCGCTTCTAGGTCGGCAGTCTCAGCTACGCCATCTTCGCCACCTTCGATCCGGCCCGGCTCGGCCTCCGTGGCGATCCCCCGCTCGTGGCAGTACGCGACCAGCTCACGGGTGAGTGCCAAGTTTTCTTCCTTTTCGTAATGGCTCATATCGCACATTATGCTATCGAATGCGCCTTCGATATCTGCGGCGCGACGAACGAGTTCTGGCGTCTGGGCGTGATCTAGATGTAAACTGACGGGGACTTTGGCCGTGTGCGCCGCATCGGCAGCCGCGCGCACGAGAGATGCGCCGGCGTATTCTATGGCCCAGGGGAAGAGTAGGACCATGGCCGGAGACTTGGCCGCCTCTGCCGCGCGAACTGTAGCGATTATCGATTCGATGTTATAGCAACACATGCCCGGCACAGCATAGCCGCCCTCGCGCGCCTTATTTAAGATCGCCATCGAGCGATTCTCGGATAGATCCGGTCGAGACATTTTGGAATATCGCAAGTGGTCCTTTGCTCAAGCACCTTACTACGTAACTCCCGGACGACAACGTAGAGAATAATAGAGAGATGGCTAGCAGTCGATGATTGAGCGAACAGTAGGTTAATAAGTGCATGAGTTGAAATGATATTATACTCGACTACTACATGCACTCTGCCCTTTCTCTATGTATCCAAGTAGCTGGATCCCAACGAAGGCGGATGACAGGAAAGAATACACCTTACCCGTTACCATCTAGGAATCGTTTATACCAATAGTGGAGAAGAACGTGGGGTAGCTCTCTTTTTGGCTCATTATTACTGGTGATGCATACCTACCGAGGACAATGATCCAGGGGATAATGGAGACTATGGAGACAACATAGATGGTCGGTATGACTATCAACCGAGCGATCTCGGTTTATCTACCGACGCAAGGTGTGTCATAGCAAGTAAAAATGCCTGAAGTGACTCTCCCCGCCCCCATGTCCGGCAAAGTGGACATACAGCGAGTGGACTGACTTCAGCCGCTGCGGACAGTTATGGTTACTTACTCGCTCTTCTTGAATTACCGGTTGGGTGGAAGACGGCAGACTCTAAAAAAAGAAAAGGAAAGAAAAGTAAAAAATATCATCATTTTAAGGGGTAACCTAACTTGACCATTCTGAATCAACATCGTGGACGAACTCCTAATACTAAGCGTCTTTCCTAAACGGCCCTAAACAGAGACCACCTCAAACCACAACAAGAGGTCAACATAAACTTGGAAATAAAAACTGGTCTTTGGTCAAGATGGCGGAAACAAAGCCAGAAATATCATTCATCGGCCTAGGAGCTATGGGCTTCGGTATGGCCACAAATCTGGTGAAGCGCGGGTACAAAGTCACTGGATTTGATGTGTGGAAACCGACGTTAGAGAGGTTTCAGGCGGCGGGAGGCAACATTGCGACGACGCCGGTGGAAGCCGTGAGAGGCAAGGACTATTGCGTATGCATGGTGGCAACAGCTCAACAGGCTCAGGCTGTCCTTATCGACGGCGAGAATCCGGCGCTCCCGGCATTACCCAAAGGGGCTGCGCTGTTGCTTTGCTCGACTGTGCCGTGCGCTTACGTCCAGGGTTTAGGCCGGCAACTCTCCGAGCTGGGACGGGGCGATATCAGACTGATCGACTCTCCGGTCTCGGGAGGCGCTGCGAGAGCGGCCGACGGCACGTTATCCATCATGGCTGGGGGCTCGGATGACGCTTTTGAGAAAGGCCGCTTTCTCTTGCAGGAGATGTCTGACCCTAACAAGCTGTACATTGTCAATGGCGGCGTTGGCGCCGGGAGCAACATGAAAATGTGTCACCAGGTTCTCGCTGCCAACCATATCCTTGCCGCGAGCGAAGGCTTGGGCTTCGCCACTCACCTTGGCCTTGACCCTCACTTGGCGAGCCGGGAGGTTCTGAAGTCGGATGCGTGGGCGTGGATGTTGGAGAACAGGCTCCCGAGAATGCTCGATCCCGAGTTTAAGCCTGTTGCCAGCGCCTTGACTATCATTCTGAAAGACACGAGTATCATTACCTCCGAGGCGAGGCGTTCCGGGTTTCCTACTCCCATGTCGAGTACCGCGGAGCAAGTGTTCTTTTCTGGTCTCGGCCGCGGATATGGGCCCGACGACGACAGTAGCCTAATCAGACTGTACACGGAGGGGAAAGGAAAGGTAGGCCCGGTCAAGGGGTTCGCTGAAACTGACGAGGCAAAGTTAAAGCTTGTCAAAGCTTTGTTTAAAGGCATCTACCTCTGCTCTGCCGCAGAAACTATTGCTTTCGCGGACCGATGCAACTTAGATCTGGACCAGGTGTTTGAGCTTTGCACGAGTGCGGCTGGAGGAAGCACGATATTCCAGGTAGTCGGCCCAGACATTATCAGACTACGCCGCGGACAACCACTACCGACGGACGACGGTGAAGGCTTCAAGGAAATCGCACAACAGCTGCAAGAGGCCGTTGAAGAAGCCCAAAGACTGAAGGCGCCTGTATATCTTGGTAGCCAAGCACTCACCTTGACACAACTTGCAACACAATCTGCCTCGGACGCAACCGGTCCTGTCTCGAGAGCTACTATTGCAAAACTATGGGGTTTATAAAAGTACGCACATATAAAATGTATTTAGCTGGAGTGTGGCAGGATAAATCTGCGTCGAGGCACAAACTCTCGGAATGCCAAATATTTGTGCAATGAAAGAAGGGGGGCCAGGGGCTCAGGGGTCACTTACAGCCACACAAACGCAATCTATCAAGAATCAAGATAGATATAACCATCATACAACCACTGGACTTCAATTATTATTTTCAGGGACCTAAAGAATGGGCACACCTAGGAAAATCATGTGAATACATCCGATTATTACCGACTAGATGACCTATTATATTAGTTGACCCTTAACTTTGAACGAGCGCCCACTGGAATAGAAATTGAGATACCAATGAATACCCCCTGGAATACCATCCCATCTTATCCAGATATTCAGTAGCCGCTCTGTTCTTGTCTGTGATCCTCTCTCGCAGCCTCGCCTGCGTCTTTGATAGCTTGTTCATCTCCTCTAAGCTTTGCAAAGTACTCCTTAATATCCTCTGCGCCGATAGCTTTGCCGCTCTCAGCAAATTGCTGGAAGAAAGGCTTGAGACGTTCTTTGAGATGATTGTACGCCATCACACCCTCTATCGCACGCACGCGATCCACGTTTCTCAGCGCAGATTCGCCACGGTCATACAACGAGCCGCTACCATGGGTCGAGCCGCCCTCGGATCCAGGTTCTGAAAGGGGAGGTTCATACGCTTCCTCCTCCTCCAAGAGTTGTGGGTGGAGTTTGAGGTCCGGAAAACACGAGGCGCATCGACAGAAGCGGTCGCGAAAGTCGGAAGTAGCAAATAGTGAAAATTTACCGGCTGGTGCTGGGGGTAAGGATACTAGCTTGCATTCCTCAGTAGGTCCGATTTGCTCTTTCTTCTTCTCGTCTTCTTCCTTGACCTGAGAGGTGGCGCCGTTTGTTTCAGGAACGGGTGGAACAATCTCAACCTCAGTAGTCGCCTCGGACTCATTCTTAATGCGCTTGCTACGTTCGCTACTCTCGCTTGACTCGTCATCATCTAATTTACGTTTCTTAGGCGCCGTCACCTCTCCCTCCTTTTGGAAGAATACAGCTGGCAGAAATCCAGGTGTGCCGGCGTATCTCTTAATCCACGGATGGGCCTCAACGCACTTATAGCAGAGGAAATGGTCGAACGCCTCCTCAGCAGGAAATCCTTCTGGTAGAGGCGCATCATCATCATCGTCGTCATCATCATTACCATCCTCGTCACCTCCTTGATTGCCATTGACTTGCCCGTTTGCGCCATCTTGTGGCGTCGTGTCTTCGGAGATAGTGGGTAATGTGCCATTGCCGTTGGTATCGCCGTTGACACGTTTATTCGAGGCACGCTCTGCCTGCTTCTCATACCATCTGGGTCCTAGGCCGACGAGACAACCAGGATGATACCAATCTTCGCCACAGCCGCCGGTTTCGTGTGTGCCAAGACCTAAGCACTGGAACATGGTACCCTTCTGTTCATGAGGCTTGTAATCGATGGAACATGAGCAAAATCGGTTGCGGAAGTTCTGGTTATACTTGTTATTGGGATCAGGCTGCTCGGAGTGCACGCCACCTTTCGTGTTAGTTTCCGGGTTTAATCGAAGACTGCATTTCTGTTCGGGACTGAATCGCGTCGTTCCACAGTCGCAGGTGAAATTGCGTTTCTGGAAGATCTCGACTAATTCGTGTTCTCCATGGCATTGAACGGAACATGAATAACACACCCCAGCAGGATTGTAAGGATCGGAAGCATTCGCGGGGGGCGGATTGCAAGTTAAACAGGCGAAAACATTTTGTCGCAACGATCCAAGTGGCTTGGTGCAGTTTTCGATGCTCTGATTAATCGCCTGTTAGCAGATTGTCAGAGTTATATAACTGAGCACACCTACGTATGGAAGGGCTTCGCGGGCATCGGCTTCTAGCTGCAGCTGATCTCTAATAAAGTCGGCGGCAGTCTGGGAGTTGTCGGACTGTTGCGACAAGCTCTGAGTTCGAGGTCGCGACGCGATGCCAGCATCGGCCGTCTCGTGAGAGATATTTGGGTCTGACGACGGATCCATCGTCTTTCAATGAACGAGATGAATGGAGAGAAGATGGCAATGGTCAAGATTGGTTGAAATAATGTTCCACCCGGAAGTTGAAAATGTTCAATGGATGTGTGACAAGAGCGCGGCGCGATGGGATTAGAATAAGAATAATATGATGTCACAGTGGATATTTTCTTAGGGAAACGCCAATTCGCACTTTATATGTATCTAGGTACTGATTTGTTAAGAGCACTCCAGTGAGCAGGTACCCGCAGGCTTAGAAGTGGTAACCGGATAAACTCAAGCAAATGCTTCATGTACCTCGTAGCTGGTAGGTACTTCCTGCCCCATGATCATCTGCTAGCATCCCAAAAAGGTCTAGTGCCACTTTACGCGACATGGACGCGTCGATACGCGTTAAATGGCAGCTTTTATCAATTTGTTCAATTGGTTTCGTGTCGCGCGCAATCCACTCTCCACAACTGCCCAGCATCCACAGATGGGTCCCGGTCCCCTTTCCAGGTTTTGTCCCCATTCATATCCCACTATCTCTTCGACCCTCTCTATTACCAGCTACGTACATAATCACCTCAAGGAAAGTAAAAGTGAAAACATTTCACAATGAGGTAAGTTCATATCAAATGCGCACCCTGAAAAGTTTCTAAAAGTTTCTAACCCGTCTCCTCAAGTTCTCCTCTGCGTATGAACATGGACTCCGCTAATCGCGGTGCCGCCCCTCGTTCGAGCCGCAAACGCTCGCGCACTGGTGGCGGTGATGCCTCTTCTTCCGTCGCCGCCTCAAGCCCTATGCCTTCATCTCCACCTGCATTCAACATTGCCCACGGCGGCGACGACGATGACGATATCGAGGAAGAAGCTGAGGTCCAAGACGACCTGGAGGATCTTGATGAGATGGCTGAAGACGACGTGGATCTTTTTCGCGAAGGTTTCGAACGAGACTACAGAGAAAAAGATGACAATGATGTCTACGAGGGGATCGACATTGACGACGAAGGAGAGTTTGACGATATCAACCTTGGCGATAGAAGACGGTTAGAAGCCCAGCTAAACCGCCGAGACCGGGAAGTAGCTCGTAGACGGCGGATGCCCCAAGCCTTCCTCCAAGACGAGGACGAGGATGGGGATGTTGACCTAACCGCCCAACCCCGTCGCCGTCGTCACCACTACGACGAGGACCCAGACGATGAGATGGACCAGGATATCATGGACGAGGAACTTTCACTTGAAGCCCTACAAGACGTCAAAGCTGCGAGCTTGACCGAATGGGTATCCCAACCATCCGTGCAACGTACTATCAAGCGAGAATTCAAGGCCTTTTTGACCGAGTATACCGATGAGAGTGGTTCTTCGGTATATGGCAACCGTATCCGAACCCTCGGTGAGATCAACGCCGAATCGTTGGAGGTGTCTTATGACCATTTATCCTCATCCAAGGCTATTCTTGCCTACTTCCTTGCGAACGCACCCGCTGAGATGCTCAAGCTCTTCGACGATGTGGCCATGGAAGTTGTCCTTCTTCATTACCCCGACTACGAACGCATCCATCCCGACATTCACGTTCGTATTTTTGATCTTCCCGTCCACTACACCCTTCGCCAGCTAAGACAGTCGCATCTCAATTGTCTGGTTCGAGTAAGCGGTGTTGTTACTCGAAGAACAGGCGTCTTCCCTCAACTGAAATACGTCAAATTCGATTGTACTAAATGCGGAGTTACCCTAGGCCCTTTCCAGCAGGAATCTAACGTCGAGGTCAAGCTCTCCTTCTGCCAAAACTGCCAGTCTCGCGGCCCTTTTACCTTGAACTCGGAGAAGACGGTCTACCGAAATTACCAGAAACTGACGCTCCAGGAGTCACCAGGGACCGTCCCCGCCGGTCGTCTACCTAGACACCGAGAGGTTATCCTCCTGTGGGATCTGATTGACAAAGCGAAGCCTGGCGAGGAGATTGAGGTCACCGGCATCTACAGAAACAACTACGATGCTCAGCTGAACAACCGTAATGGCTTTCCCGTCTTTGCTACCATTTTGGAGGCAAACAACGTCATCAAGGCTCATGATCAGCTTGCCGGATTCAGGCTCACCGAAGAAGACGAGCACGAGATCCGTAAACTTTCCCGTGATGCCCAGGTTATCGATAAAATTATCAATTCGATAGCACCTAGCATCTACGGACACACCGATATCAAGACTGCTATTGCTCTATCTCTTTTCGGCGGTGTGGCGAAGACGACCAAGGGCGAGCATCACGTACGAGGAGATATCAATGTATTGCTGCTCGGTGATCCAGGTACGGCCAAGTCGCAGGTGCTCAAGTATGTCGAGAAAACTGCGCACCGCGCTGTTTTCGCTACTGGTCAGGGAGCTTCTGCTGTTGGTCTCACGGCTAGTGTCCGTCGAGACCCCTTGACTAGCGAGTGGACTCTAGAAGGAGGCGCTCTGGTGCTCGCCGACAAAGGCACGTGCCTCATCGATGAGTTCGACAAGATGAATGATCAGGATCGAACTTCCATACACGAAGCCATGGAACAGCAAACAATCTCTATCTCAAAGGCTGGTATCGTTACCACCCTCCAGGCTCGATGTGGTATCATCGCAGCGGCCAACCCTATAGGTGGTCGTTACAACTCTACCATACCCTTCTCGTCTAATGTCGAATTAACTGAGCCCATCTTGTCCCGATTTGATATTCTCTGTGTTGTGCGGGATACCGTCGATCCCTCCGAAGATGAGCGTCTAGCTCGGTTCATTGTTGGTTCCCACAGCCGTAGTCATCCGTCCACTCAGTCTGCCGAAGGATCTATGGAGGTTGAGCATGATTCTGAGGCGACCCAAGAAACCCAGGCGCAACCGAAAAAGGAGGGCGAGCTCTCTCAGGAGTTACTACGCAAGTATATCCTATATGCACGAGAGCACTGCCAACCGAAGCTCTTGCATATGGACGAGGACAAGGTGGCGCGTCTATTCGCAGATATGCGACGAGAATCGCTAGCTACCGGCGCTTATCCTATCACCGTAAGTTATTCTGTTTGACGTATCCAAATGCGTGTTATAACTAACTTGTCTGCTAGGTCCGTCACTTGGAAGCTATCATTCGAATATCCGAGGCCTTCTGTCGGATGAGGTTGTCGGAGTACTGTTCAGCCCAGGATATTGACCGAGCTATCGCCGTCACTGTTGACAGTTTCATCGGCAGCCAGAAGGTCAGCTGCAAGAAGGCGCTCGCACGTGCATTTGCCAAATACACGTTGGCGAGACCCGGTGCATCTAGCACACGGAGAGGTGCGCCGCCTCAGCGTCGAACCGCGGTGGCGGCTTAGGATGAGTCGAATTTGGCGTAAGGCAGCCACTTACCTCAAGGAAAAGGGATAGTGAAATATAGGAAGTTAAGATTGAGCGTTGGGCTTGAATGATAACGTTGACTTTGATATGTATGACTGGGGATATGAGTGTCAGGGGCTTACGATGGCTGCCCCCTTAACACAACTGGCTGTAGGTATTCCAGAGAAGTTGCACCGGGTTAGAAAAGATAGCACGTAATATGATATTTCATTAGCATGACCTGGTCGAACGGGCCCTATCAGCCTAAGCTGAGATACTGCGAAATAACGGTGCTTTCCCTGGAACGTTCACCTCCCATGAAATGTGCTAAGAGTAGGATATCTAAGGCGTTACGATTCACCAATAGTCATTTAGCCAGATATCTTAGCTTAGAACTTACGCATTTAAACTTCCTTCTAAACACGATGTAGAGTTGAGCTGCGAAAGATAACGTCCTAGGCGTGTAAGTTTGTGGCTATCTCTAGCTTTTATACTTACAACTTTGAAGAGGAACATGATAACATATCCCTACTGACAGGTCGCTCTCGATGGATCATACTCCGTTTTCGGCACTTAAGTTGTTATCTAAGGTTTGAATGTTTTGACTCTATTCCCCGGATAGCTATCTTGTATAGATATGATGTATAGACATTCATTGTTTCTACTGTCGGAGATTCCTTTAAGACCGTACATATATCGGTGTTCTGGTCAACTCCGTGTCTTCACTCCCTCCTGGATTCCGGCGACGTGAATGTAATACTTATCCTAGGCCTATACGCCTCCACGCCTCCACAAGACTTACTCCGTATCTTTACAGCATAGTTATAGCTGGCCCGACATTTGACAATCTTTCAACTAAACCTCAAACCTCAAGCCTACCTAGTTAAAAGCAGGTGTTGATTTTCCTAGCTCGAACAGACCCGTCCAACATATACAGCGAGCGATATCTTACCACGCACCTCATTCCACACGATGGATTCAAGCAGCTCGACCCTCGCGGCCGATGGGTCGCTAGGTAAGGTCATCACTACGCGCCAGTTCGTCTTGATGGCTCTTAGTAGTTCGATTGGCGCTGGCGTCTTACTAGCAACTTACCCTAGCCTCGCGGTGGGCGGGCCCGGATCGCTCCTCATATCTTTCCTCGTTCTCGGATTCGCAGTGTGGATCACGATGTGCGCCCTTGGCGAGCTCTCGGTTGCATTTCCTGTTAATGGCTCCTTCTACGAATACTCGGTCCATTTCATCTCGCCGGCGTGGGGTTTCGCGATGGGGTGGAATTACGTCATCAATTTCCTCTTCATCATCGTCTTCGAGCTGGTAGTAATGCTTCTCTGTGTGAGATATTGGGACAAAGCAACGCCGGCATACTGTTTTCTTCTTCCCTTTATTGGTGGCCTTATCCTGGTCAACGCATTTGGGGCAAAATGGTATGCCGAGGCAGAGAACGTCTTTGCCGTCTGCAAGATGGTCGTCCTCTCGGCCTTCATCATTGTTGCCATACTTATAGTCAGCAAAAATATACCAGCAGATACCCGCCCAGCAGAAGACTTGGGGTTTAACTTGTGGAAGCATAACGCGTTCAAAAATGGCACCAGTGGATTCCTGTATGTTTTTATGGCTGCGGGTATGGCGTACGGGGGTACCGAAATGCTTGGAATAACCGCAGCCGAATGCGAAAGGCCCAAGAAAGTTATGCGTCTCGCCTGCAAAATCGTACCATTGAGGATCGTGTGGTTGTACTTATTGCCGATTTTCATGCTCGGCCTGGTACTTGAGGTCCCTTTAAACGGGCATACACAATCAGGCGGGATCAGCCCCTTTGTCGCTGCGGTGGACCAAGCTAGATTGCCAATACTCGCAGGTGTTCTCAACGGCATTATCATCGTGGCCGTGTTTTCAATGGCGAACGCAAGCGTCTTTGCCTCGTCAAGGGCTCTTCAAGCCATTTCAGCGAGGGGGATGGGTCCCTCGATCTTCGCCAAGATCAAATGGGGTCACCCGATCTGGGCACTGGTACTCGCTCTGTTCATCTCGTTCCTTTCGCTCGTTAAGTTGGCCAGGAACGGCGATAAAGTTTTCGACTGGTTATTGGCGTTAGCAGCTGGATCCAATTATTTTACTTGGATATCCATCTGCGTCTGCCACATCCGACTCCGGCTTGCCATACGCAGGAGAGGATTGCAGGAAGACGACATACTGAGATGGAAGTCCCCTCCCGGAATAATTGGGAGCGCTGTGGCAATCCTTATCTTCATATTCGGCCTCGCGGCGCAAATCGTGGCTGCGGCTCGGAGTCCGCTTCCGAAGCCGCCTCATATCCTCGCAAGCATCCTAGGCATCATCGTCGTCTTCGTCTTCTGGGCAGGATATATGGCAGTCAAGCGCAGCGTACTTTTAATTCCTCTTGATCAGATAGACCTAAGTGCCAAGGCAGGGGACTCGGTTTCAAACCTGAATGTCCATCATGGGGACACTGGAAATGGCGATGTTGAGAGCGGTGCTGAGAGCGTTGGAGCTGGTAGCAGTGAAATGTTGAATACCCACGGATAGAAAGAGGGTGCTTTATAAGCCTACCTGCATATACATGAATAGACTTCATCTGTTTCATGAAATTGGCTTATTGTAATTGTTGAAGTCGCAAGTTACAAGGATGAAATGTTAACAGGAGAAGAATGGCAATATGCCTTTCATTAACACCGTAGTTAGATTATGCATATTGTGCACGATGTCATATGTACATAAAGTGAAGTAACACAAAACAGTACATAGACTTCTCGTACCTGCGTGTCACGGCTGTTACACGAGCAGCACGGGTAACTTTTAGCGTAATCGATAAGGTTTGGTTTCAAGATTTAGCGGGCAACCCACCAGACCACAATGACCTAAATGGATTCAAGCTAGACAAGGTACCGGACCGTCGTCTCGCCAATCATGAACCTTCCTTCTCACCCATCCCATCAACCAGTCCAACCAGTTCAACTTCACCAACTTGCATATTCCAATCCCCTTGAGAACACTCAACAAGAAGCCAACTCACCGTCGCAGCCACAGCTACAGCCACAGCTGCAACCACAAACGCAATCATCACAACCACCACAATCACAAAACTCGCAATCGCATTCACGACAACCGTCCCAACAACCGTCCCAACAACACCAAGCTTGCTTAACCAACGGTTCCGGCGCTATTATGCAGGGCAACGGATCAGGACCAGGTGCCGGCACTATGCCAGTCGGACCTACCCCCGCCGGCCACCAGGCTGAGTTAAACATCATTTACGGCATGGTCGAGGAGCTGTCGCGACAGCTAGCTGAAAACAGACGCGTAACGGAAGATATTGTCTCTGGGCTTGGACGAGTGCGTAATCGGGCACGAGAGCGTGGTTTAACCAACGACCAGGTTCTTGGAGAAGCTGCGGATGAAATATTTGGTATGTTCTATCGTTGCCTGCCATCCACCTATCGGCCCGTTCCTCCTATTTCCTCCTTCTCGGTGCTAATCATGCTAGCGCAGCACAAGAACCAAATCTCGAGGCCCTCGTATCTATCCTAACAGAGTCCCTGGACCGTGCCAAGCTTTCTCGCGATGCCAACTTTTCTCTTCTCACCAACTACGCTCGAGTTCTTTCCACGATCCTCTCTCAGTTCCACTCTTATAAGCAGAAACATATCGCCGACGTTTCCGCTTGGCACCGTTCTTACAGAGCACAACTTGCCGAGGCCCGCGCAGAGAATTCGCGACTGCGTGAACAGATCTGGGAGATGCAGGAACACGCTGGCCACGCCAATCAGATGTTGCGAGAATTCCGCAAGAAGTACGACGAGAATGAGGAACGATGGGAAAAGCGTGTCGAAGATAAGGCAAAGCGACAAGAGATTCGTTTCTGGAAGCGCATGGCTATGCCCGAGGTTGCCGAGACCGAGGACGGGTACTGGAGCGACGACGACGATCTCGTAGACCCCGTCGAAAAGGAGCGGCTAAAGGAGGTCGAGCGCAAAGTCGCCGAACAGGCCCTCGCAGGTGTTGGAAGCACAAGCAGCCAGAGCGAGGATTCCGAGGGAGAGGGAAGCGAGCCTCACGCTCTATCGGCGAGCATGATCGGCGGAGTAGCTATGGACAGAGATGGAGGTGTGGCCGGAATTATGCCAGTGCCGCCGCCGAGACCATCTAGTACGGGAAGCACAGGAAGTACAGGAAGTACAGGAAGCACAGGAGCGCAAACAGGTTAAGGAGGACCTTCGTTTAACTACCTTGGTACTTGGTACGGCATGGCATGGCATGGCATGGTGTTATGGTTGATTTGATCGAGGAATACCCTGAATGAAAGGAGCTTGAATAAACTACAATAACGAAGTCCATGCCCCCTCGGTAAACCCCTTCGGAACTGGCATGGAGGTTATCGTTCGCTCGTTGACAACTGTTCATCCCCAAACGGTATAATTGAGCGTGTCGGTCCCAGAGACGCCGATGGAAGATTTCTTTCCTTGCAGCTATCACATTCGTCACGAGTCGTCTATGCCGACATCAGTCTTACGGACACAAGAGAATACCCGACAGTGTTGTTATACGGTGGTTCGTCGCCTCAACCTTGCCATGAGCCTTCAAATTGGGATACTGACAGCAGAAGAAACGTCTTAGTTACTGTGGGACTAAGGATGGTAAATCCAATAACTACTACTGTTATGCCTATCCTTGAGGTTTAAAAATGACGAATCACTCCTATAGCACTGGATAGCACATTGACAATCAAAACCACAGTATTGTCCCAAGAAACGACTTACTAATCCTAGGTCTTACTCTATCCTAGAGACACCGACTTCTCTAGGTAGCTACACGAGTATGGAGACGTAAATAAACCTCTTCATGCGGTGATAATAGTAAAACTACTATTTCTCTCTAGCCGATCAGCTGTGGATCTCACACTTTGCCAGGAATTGCTCGAATGGATTGCGGATGGGATCTCGAAGCTGTCGCTCTCGGGAACATTGTGCCTACCTTAACATTGCCTTAAAATGCTATAGTCCTAGACGAGAAAAAGTAACGGTAATAAGTTGGTAGCTAGGTACCTATGGATAGATGTTAATGATATGAGTCGTGATTAATTTATTACTACAGTATAACAGGTAGGATGCCGAGGAGTAGCTTGGCAAAGGAGCCGCAATCGATCCCTGCTGTTTTCCTTGCCAGCCTTGTCGGTTATATCTATTAATAAGTAGGGCTGCCGGGAATGAGATGTATGAGAGGAAGAAATGCCAAGAGATTGTTGGTAGCAGGTCGCATGCGGATATTCAACTCTGGTTACTCTACAAATTACGTGAGCTCTCTATCTTGTGCGAAAAGCCTAACTTCATGGTAGCACTTCGATGCCCAGGATAGGAATCGCAATTATATATCTGCTCAGGCGGCGAGAATTTAGGCAACAAGACTGTTGAAGGAGTGCCAGGTCTTTGATGAGTTGGGGGCTGATATTCAGCGGAGTGTCGAGGCTGTGCCTCTTAACCCGATCCTTCCAATGCCTTGGCCACCTGGATTTTTGCACGTCTTACTTACCTTATAAAGGACTTTGAGACTCTAGAATTTATATCTCGCTTGTTACACTTTCATGTCATTTTGCTCTGATTGCCTCGTCCAACTCCGACTTCCATCCCCAGCTTCATCACAACGTAGTAAGTTACGTAGCTTTTCAAGCCTTGAACATATCTATTCCGAACGACAATCTCCTGAAAAGAGGTTGTTCTTGAAACAGGAACGATTACTACTAGCTTCGAAAGTATTCTAGCCATAAAAGATGGCCGCAGGTTCTCAGGCCTTTCCCCAAGAACTGCCCCCTCGCCCCGAGCAAAAATCATGGAAGGACCGGAATTGCCCAGGCTCCCGCGGCTGTTGGAACTTCAATTGGGAAGCATACAGTCTAGCTACGTCGGATAGTATAGTCTTAGCCCGTCGGATATGTATGATCACGACACTTGGTGTGCGTACTGCGCTCTCCGTATTAGGCGTCATATATTGGGCTTATAGCAACACTATTGCCGGCACAATCATTGGTAGCATCCTTGCCGCTGTCGGATTCGTATTTATCGCTTGGTGTCTGGCTAGCATCGGTGAGGCCAAAGGTACTAGAAAGGTGCTTGAAACGAGCGTGGTAAGTGTTGCTGCGTTGTGTTGTGGTCGGAGAGTGTCATATACTAAACGTCAGACACAGGGACGATGGCAGTTCGATGTTTTCCTCTTCGTGTCCGCCTTGGTTCACATCGGCTTCTTAGTTGGCTTCTTCACCGGAATGGGAAATACCGGTTTCCTTATTTCCTGGTACGGAATGTGGATTTTGATCTTTGCTGTTGCTTGGATTACTACATGGACTCCTGAGCAGCAGCAACCCGTTTCCTACGTGTGATCGGCTTGGCTTGTCCCGGAAAGGCTTTAAGGTAGCGGATACGGGATATTTGTTTTCCAACGGAGATCCTTATGAGGATACTGGATCGTAACCTACCTAGGCTAGATGGATGTCGGCAATGTTATCATCAGCGGCACTCGCTAGTTAGCCCTCGAAGCACCGGTATCTTTCTCTTTCCCAGATAGTCATGATATATCATTGCTATGAAGTTACGAGATTCATCTTGTATGGTTAGAAGACCGATGTGATATGACTTGCTGTGGACATGACAAGCTTGCCGCTTTGTGAACCAGTCGTGTTTAATATCAGGTTCAGGGGGATACTTAGGTACCTATACTTCACCAAACACGCAACATAGAGCCATATAGCGCCGCTATATGGCCTTTGTACTAATACGTGATATGTTTTGTGGTTCTTGGTTGTCTAGATATATGTTTACTGATGATATGCGAGGTTAACTATATGAGGGGGTTATGAATATATATCTTTCGAATGGGTGCGCCCCTATGACTGAGGTTTGATCAGGATAAAATGCACGAAAGGGACTCAACTTATACATCACCATGCTCTTCCAAATGTAGCTAGTATAAATAACTAGACTTAATCTAGGTTATATTACCAATCGTCCCAAGTATGCGCTTGATAATGAACATCGGTTGTAAGAGAACACTCCAGTTTTTTTTCTAGATTGGTTACGATATGAGAGTATAGTCTTATCTATTTGACAAGGAATACAGATCTTGGTCGAATAAGATAGGCGCTCCTTATATTCTCTTCGCTTCCCACGCACCTTTCCGTTATCTCTCGATCTGCCCCTCCTGAACTTGCCGGGGGAGGTAATGATCAAGGCACATGCAACCCGCCACCACGGGACCGGATTCGGAGGTAACTTCAGTTCAGTAATGGACGTCCATATTGCTATTTTGTCCCAGTGCCCATGCTGGCCAATTATCGTAATATCCCCCCCGAGGGTGCCGAATCGGAAAAGAGATCCGCTCCACCGGACGGGATGATACGCGATGCCTATATGTAATCGCGCTACCCTGGTCGATGGCGTGCTGATGGCGTGCGACACCAGAACCACCACGATTGGTCCGTACCGGACTGCTATTGATCGTAGTTAAGTAGCAAGTATTCCATTGTCCCCGATGATTTATAAGTTAAGGAACTTTACTGTATATTAATAATGATCGGAGTATTTTAAGAGTACTGGCACCATTCACTAGAAAAAAGACCAGCTATCTCCGTATCCGCTTGGGACTACCGATACATCGAAAGGACGGCTAGGAATGGGAGATTTTGGCATAATTAGGAGAAAGAAGGTTACTGTTGTGGTGACTATGGCGGATACACGGCCTAGGTATGCGCTAACTAGCAGGAACTCGTGGAAGACTGTTCGTACTCTGTTGAGGAGGATAAGGACGAAATCGAATCTCAACCCAAATGAAAAGTCACATTCGGCAGCGATACAGGGCATACGGAAAGATTCTACCCCCACGACGACAGACGAATCTGCCAATGTTTCAGTTGCCGAATTCACGATACCTGAAAAGCAAAAAGCGCTGGTCGTCGCCCGTAAGGGAGAATACGAGATTCGTCATGACTTCCCTATGCCGATAGTCGGAGATGACGAGATAATGATTCGAAGTCACTACGTGGGCTTGAATCCCATCGACTGGAAATCCGTTGATTATAACTTCTGCTTGCCGGAATTTCCATGGGTATGTCTTCCTTTTCATACACGATAGACTTAAGTACTCACGAAAACTATCAGGTCACTGGCCGAGAGATGTCCGGGGTAGTAGCTCAAGTCGGCTCCGCCGTCAAAACTTTCAAGGAGGGTGACTCTGTGTGGACTAGCACATACTATAAGGATGTCCGTGCTGGCTGCTTCCAGGAGTTTGTTGTCGTGCCCTCACACACCGTTCTTCCCATCCCGTCCAACATACCTTTCGAGGCAGCCGCCTGCTTAGGAGTTGCAGCCTTGACAGCATCTATGACCTTGTGGAAGTGGCTGGGCGTGCCGGCTCAAAGGCTTGGTGCAGACGAGGCAAGCGGGGAGTGGCTCTTAGTCTGGGGTGGTTCAACCGTCACAGGACAATTTGCCACACAAATAGCGAATTTGAGTGGGATTAAAGTAATAACTGTCAACTCAACAGAGACAAAGTCGTTATCGGAACGCTTAGGCGCGAACCACGTAGTCGTGCGAGATGGCAAGACGGACGAACAGGTGGTGGACGAGATTCGAACCATCACCGCCGGCGGAATCACGCGAGCAATCGATTTGGTAGGGCCGAAGACGGCAGCACTAGCATTGGATGCCGTATCGAAGGATAAGCCTGTCCATTTTGCACCACTAGCTATGATGTCGAATTCTCAAACAGTCCCGGAGAATGTCGTGGTGCACACAGTCGAGATGAAGCAATTTGTCCTCGACAAGAGCAATGTTCGCTATACTGAAGAGCTTGGTAAACTTTTAGAGGATGGCAAAATCGTTTTGCCTGAGCTACATTTGATCGAGGGAGGACTACACTCGGTCGTAGGAGGTCTGGAGATGCTGAAGAAAGGAAATTTAAAAGGTAAGAAATTAGTGGTACGGATGTAATGGAAGTACATTTCGAGACTGTTCCTCGGAAGTGGAAGAGGTCTTCACTGGGGTTCTGTGGATGCATGAACATATATGATTAGACGAGCATAGAAAAGGCGTTCTGGAGGTTTCACTCCTTTGGTCATTGTACACAATAGATCTACCCACAGTATAAAGACAAGAGATTGCTTGTTCTCATTATTAGGCGGAATTGGTATCTAAGAGTATAATGTAAATAATATAAGCCATTATCAGGTCAAGTATAGATACCAATTACACAAACAACTTTATACCTACCCAGGTAGTCGCCCAAAACAAGCATATTTACCCCTGAGACCCTTAGTTCTACATTGGTTACACAAGGTCAGAAAAAGGGGTATTTGTGTGAAGCATGATAATTTTATGATAGGTACTTGTGACAGACTTTACTGAAATATTAGAATACCTTCGGGCCGTAGCCATTCACTAGGAACAACATTCCCTGTGAAGTTCAAATCGATGAAAAGATCTATAAAAATCAGATTAAAAAAAGAAGGCAAAGATCAGTGCCACTATTTACAGATTTTGTATTTGGTGTACTTATGTATCACCACGATATGTTCTCCCCTTACAGAAACTCTTTCGTTTTAAAAGGATATAGCCGAATTTACCATGCTAACTTGGCAATTAATCCGTTGGGATATTTCCTCACTAGAAATTTGCGGACTTCGTCAAATAGGAGAATGAACAAACCAAAAGCGAAGGGTAAGAACCAGTGTTCCACTGGGACGGGCGAGGTTCCCAAAATTGACTGCAGTTGCGGGATGTAAAGCCAGAGGATAGCCATCGACAACGCGAAGATGATTGCCGGGAAAAGATACAAATTCTGGGTATTCTTATTCAAAGCCGGAGGATGCTGGAAGATGCTCCAGCGACGAGTGCGGACAGCAAGCAAATTGAACCATTGCCTATTGGGAGTTAGTATTTCAAAGGTGACTTATAGTATTTCTCGACTTACATAACGACGAGATTGACAAAATAGATAGAAGATGCCTCGTTCAATTTCTCAGCATAGTAGTCCGGATCGATCCAATCCGGGAGGCTTCCAAAAGAGAACCAAAGCACACGAAAAGGTATGCCATTCTTTTCTAAATACCAATAAGCCATGGCAAATGATGCAATAGTTTCAATCATGCCGAGGACACCGTATGCATGTCCGACGAGTTGCCAGTTAACTAACCGGTCCTTCTTAACATTGCGCGGCCTTCGCAATAAGACGTCGGCCTCAGGCTTCTCATAAGAGAGCACCGTCGCGGCAGCACAATCGGTGAAACAGCTGCAAGAAAGTTTAGCGTAGTTATTAGATGCAGCGAGTATTACTTACCAAATGATGATCATGAGGAAAGATGAGAGAACTTGAGGAAGTCCGAAGATGACGTTGGTCATAACCGGCCAGAATTCAGCAAAACTTCCAGCAGGTAAGAGGTAGCAAATGACTTTCTTCAAGTTGTCGAAGACCACACGACCATACTGAACCGCTTCTACGACTGATGAGAAAGACTCAAGCAAAACCATGTCCGCTGCTTCGATGGCGATATCGGAACCGCTTCCCAGGGCGATGCCAACGTCAGCAGCTTTGAGTGATGGTGCATCATTTACGCCATCTCCGGTCATGGCGACGACACTTTCGGCTTGGAATTCTTTAACGATACGCAATTTCTGTTCTGGCGTGGTCCGAGCGAACACGATTTCCTCGTACTTGGTTAGAGTCTTCCACTGATACTCGTTCAGGCCGAGTAATTCTGGTCCACTGATGAGGATTGACGAACGAGATGCGGTAGGCTTTAGGTCGCTGTCTCCAGGATCTCTGTGCAGTGCGGAGATATCGTGAACTGAAGACGAACAACTAACGATACCAGCATCTTGAGCGATTGCAAGTGCAGTGAGGGCAAAATCGCCAGTGACCTTGGCATCGTTAGCAAACACGTACTGCGAGGGTACTGATTTAAGAAGTTCGAACCATGAAGACCCTGATACCGGCACCACGAAGTGTCGATACCACTTCGCGAATTTCTGGACGGAGAGGATCGACGATGGCGACAACACCGACCAGAGTCAGCCCCGACTTAGCTTGTTCGGTGATCTCGTCTTCAAATTGGCTTGTCCCGGACTGATGCTGTAACTCTCCTTGGCGGATGACTTTGCGAGCAAGCAGAAGACAGCGCTTCCCTTGACTGCTGTACGCGTCCTTCACGTTCTCAAATGCCGTACGCATTTCATCATCGAAGGGATGTACATCTCCAGCATTGTTAACAAAGGAGGAGCATCTGTTGATGAGAACATCGGGGGCTCCCTTGATGGTCAATAGACTACGTAGAGCGGGTTAATACAGGTAACATCTCGATCATTTATACGACTTACGTATCACCTGCGTGGAAGGCGTCCGCCTCGCTTTCCGACAAAGTAGCTTTCAAACAGTCTTTCTTGAACATTGAAAACGTCCTGATCATGAACTTATTCTTGCTGTTGAAAGCCAATTCGTATGTTTTCTGCCAGCATTGGCGCAGGTGATGTACCGATCCGAATCGCTCAGAAAATCTCAGCACTGCCTGGTCGGTAGCGTCGCCGAAAACGCGGCGTTGCTCGATGGGAAGTTCCATAGTGGCGGCGTCGAATTCTGCTGCGTTACAGAGCCCAGCAATAGAACGTACTTGATCAACGCCTGTTGTGACCATCCCTGCGATAGCCGGTGCCGTGCTAACCTCTAATTCGTCTTCGGCATCGTCGACCGTAATGGTGTGGGTTCCAATGGTACATTCGGTAACTGTCATTCGATTCTAGATGAGGTTAGAACGCATTCGATGAGGTAAAGATGCCAGTGTCGAGTTGCCGTACCTCGGTAAGAGTTCCCGTCTTATCTGAGCAGATGACTGAGACGGACCCTAGGGTCTCGACAGTCTTCAACGATTTACACAAGACTTTATGCTTTCGCATCAAATTCGCTGTGATCGTCAAGCCAGCAGTTAACGCAATAGGCAGACCTTCCGGGATAAAAGCAATGGCTACGCTGACACAGTCGACGATGAGAGTCGGGACGTTGATCCAACCTGGATGGGCCTTTTTTAACCACGCGCCCCTTATATATTATTAGCATTAGCAATGTGTAGGTATCTAAAAGGTTGGGTAGGTCCATATGCTGCACTAACCAGACAATCAATACGATAGTGATCATAGCCAACATGATGGAACAAATAATGGCGACAAAGTATAGAACTTCCTTCTCTAGAGTGGTCATTTTTGCTTTAGGCTCGTTTGTCAAAGCAGCAATGCGACCAAATACTGTGCGGTCACCCGTTGCCACGACCAGGCCGGTGCAAGATCCGGAAACACAGTGAGTGCCTTGCAAGCCGATACAACGAGTTTCAAGGTAGTTTTCATCTGTTGAATCGACTGTTGCTGCGAGGGGTAACGACTCTCCGGTTAGAATAGACCTATCAAACTTGGCATCGCTAGAAACTTGGAGAAAACGTATGTCAGCTGGTAGTTTGTTTCCAGCTTTAACACATACGATATCTCCAGGAACGAGCTCCTGAGCCTCGAGGGAGGTCTGTACACCATTTCGGATGACCATGGAATCCTCTGGAAGCATGTTCTTGATAGAACTCATCACTCTGGACGAGCTCCAGTCCTGAAACATATTGAACGCAGCCTGAATGAAGAACACAGCAACTAGGACGATTCCAAGGGCCTATGGCAGAGTAGTGGTGTCAGTGTACTTGTCGTATCTGCTTTTAAACTGGTTTTCTCACCAGATTAGCCAAAGCTGGGGGTTCGCCGAGTGGTTTCCATGCGATGAGAACGAGGACGGCTCCTACTAGCAGCACAGGACCGAACCCCTTAAAGAAGTAACCGAAATACTTCTGGAGGGCATGGGATTTTGGCGGTGATGGAGCATTTCGTCCGTATTCTTTTTGTCTGCGAGCAACCTGTTCGTTGGAGAGACCCTCCGTCATCGATGCGCTGAGACGGCGAAGAGCCTCGTCAGTTGAGATTATATGCCATTCAAGCGATGATAGCTCTGTATGAATGATGTGAGCAAGGGAGTGGCGTGGAAGTTGGGGTTATGGATATCGACCCTTGGTGGCTGTGTCTTTCGCCTTTGACTGCGTCGTGACATCTTTCTGTATGGTATCCTCGATCTGATACGATCTAAGGGTCAAGAATTAGAACAGTTTACGACGGTATACCATCGTCATCAGAGTTGGTTTCTTACACAGTGCGGTACTGAATAGGGAGGGCAATGGATGGATCAACTTCACGTCGCGAACGGGCGCTGCGAATAGACATCGATCCACTGGAATGGGTGCGACGAAGCCCACGCTGAGGCCGTCCTGCCTCCTCGTCATCCCACTTGATTCCGTGCTTGCTGAGCCCGGGGTCGTCCATTTTAAGGGGTTAAATTCAAGTGTGGAAATCGAAATATACCACAACGCAGGCCAGATAGAAGAAGGGATTAGGTCTCATCTAGATGAATAGGATGAATGTGATGAGCAGGTAGGCAACCGGATTAAATATTAAATAGTGTTGTCTAGCATTGTTTACTCAATTGGGCCTATCACATCGTGTAAGCCAGATGGTAAAGCTCCCAGGACGGACTCAAAAAACAGGATGCCGCACTGTTGAACTGCTGGCGTCTATCAGACATATTCACAGTGTAGGATAATCATGCACACTCGAAGCTCTAGTATGCTCCATATACCATATACCATACTCCATATCACATGCTGGCGGCTACACCAAGTATTTCGCGCGCGGCGCGAGGAGGTGAGAGGAGGTTAGAGAAGGCGGCGAGCAGGTGGCTATGCCAGTCGACTGACAGACAGCTAAAGTGTCTATTCTCTGAGCATCAGAAAATTCGCGCACCGGATGCAGTAAAGCTCTGGTCAGCTACCCGGATAGACAGCCTAGACATGGGAAAATCAGCTCCTGGATTGGTGCTAGATCGGCTGCTTCAGGGGATGGCGAGTGGTAGGACTACGGGTAATGGGAAAACCGGATTTTTGTCTCGACAGATATAAAAATTAGCTTTGGGGTACGGCGGATCAGTTAAGGAAATACTCGCTAACGTATTTGGCGCCATTGCGCCAACGAGGGGACGTGTTTGACAAGAGAAGAAAAGGACAAGCTAGAGGGTGAGAAGATAAAATTGACAAGGGAAGGGTGGCCTCCCAAATGTGGGCCGACGTCATTTATACTTTAGTTAGATTTGAGTTACATTTTGTATTGGATAGAACCTGTGGGGTATGCAAGTATGAAGCTTGGCCCCTGTAAATGATGTATTCAGGTCTGCTAGATCAAGCATATTAAGCATATCATTCCTTGCATACCTACTTTATACTACTAGTATGCAATACAGGAGCATGTGCGTATTCCTTAGCTCCTTGGAGAGGACTCCGAAAGTCTTGGATGTACGGTATTTAGATTTGCTCTGATAGGCCAGAAAAGCCACGCGATTCGGATTTCCAGAACAGGTAATCACCTACCCTAGGAACGCCCCCAGGCCCCTAAGGAAAGACCAAAATTTGATACTTTTTTTTTCAGATCTATCTTTAGTTCACCGGCACATGGGATTGTTTCAATTATGTAAATTATGCATGCTCATGTGAATCAAATATTCAGCCACCAGACATTTAAGGCGACATTAGTCTTGGAGAAGAAAAAAAGCAAGAAAGAGAAAAAATAAGTAAGTTGGATAACACGACACCTCCCACCTAAGCATCTTAGAATAACTAACTCTGATTTGCGGGAAAGAAAAGGAACACTCAAATAATACGAAGATATGTGAACCCAAATATGTGTAACACTCGTTGAAATTAACACAATGTGATATCGAACCAAACTATTAGCTAAAGTCAAGAAATACAAAATCCCTCGAGTTTCCAGAGTCCAGACTATCTCACTAATCGTCATAACATATCTTCATCGTACAAGGGAAGGGGAAATATGCCCCCCTATCCTCTCTCATGTACTCGGAGAATCCGCCAGCCTGTGGGATCTTCTTCAGCTCACCTTGAGGACCGGGAGCTCTTCGTATGCCCTTAAGCTTGAATACAGAGCGAAACATCTCGGCTAAGCTAGCCTGGCAAACGTCCGGTCCGAGACAAGCTTGTGGCTCTAACCCGAAATGGATATACGAGTCCAATGGTCGTCGTGGGTTTACCTTCTCGGGGTCCGGGAAATGCTTTCTGTCTTTGGCTGCGTCCACCTATTGGATCAAAATTAGCCCGTACGTTGCTAAAGGGGAATAAGTTGCAGCAAAGACTAGCAGCCCACTTACAAAGCTAACAAAGATACGATCTCCCGCTCTAATAGATACCCTGCGACCGTCGCTCTCCTCTATAGTGTCGTCCACGGCCGCTTCGCGGTATGAACCGAACGTTCCCGCAAGCCTAACGCCTTCCAATGCGTAGCCTAGCATTAGGGCGTCTGTATCGGCCGAAGATGGGAGGTTTGCGACGCGATGAAGCTCAGGAATGTGTTTGGATCCTTCTGCTGACAAGAAGTAGTCCACAGCTTGAGCGAACTGCGGAATGATCAGTTATCAATTTGACACAAAAGCGAAAAGAAATAGCGACAACAACAACAATAACAACATACCGCTTCTGCGAGGTTCGGCACAGATGCTCCTGCGGTAGGCAGAATTTGACCCCATGCGATATCGTAGTTGTTCAGACCAGTCTTAGAAAACCCTTTGATCAAGTTGGCGCCGTACGATGCCACAGCATCATTCTTCTTCGGCCATGATGAGAATAGCCCACCGAGACCTAAGCCTGTCACCTGCTTTACATTCGCTTCGACAATCTTCCCCAGCTGTCCAGTGATCGCTTTTGCCGCCTGCCGCATTGGGAATGCCTTGACAGGATCGGTATCAAAGAAGAGGCTGATAAATATCACAGCAAGAACCATGTACAGTTCATGCTCCGTGTAGATCCCCCTCGGGTTTTCCTTCGTCTTCAACGGCAGGTTGAACATACGTGAGGCGAAGTAGACAGGTCCGATGTTCCCAACATCTCGGATAATATCGACGAAGTTCTGTCCAGCAAGCTTGTACGTTTTCTCCTTGATGAGTTTGTCCGTGATCTGAGAGTAGAAGGTCTTGACTTGAGAACGCCAATCCCCCTTGTATAACTGATCTCGCATGGGTTCTCTCTGGCTGGCATCGAAAGTGGAATCTCCGGAGATCGTGAAGCGGCTTCCCCCAACGTCCGTAAGGAATGACAACCCTTCGTTCGATATGACCTTGTATTTATCCTGATTCTCGGATACATGCTGTGCTCCACCATATGTCGTGACGTTGACATGGGCTGGTATGAACGATGGACGGTCGTAATTAAAGTTTTGGACTCGCCCAAGGTCTGTCAAGATTTTCTTGGTTTCACTTGGAACTATACTCGTGAGTTAGTCATTACGTTGCTACTATTATAAGCACCTAAACAGTATACGTACCAACCATGGGATAGTGAGCGTATACTGAATCCCCCTTGAAGTGGTTTGGGAAAGCTCGGATGAAGAGCTTGTAGAAGACGCAACCTTGGTTGATATTCAGGTCATAAGCTACTTCATTGTAACCCCAGGATGTGAGACCACGAGGATGATAATCTGTGGTATAGAAACGATCTCCTCGTGTCAAACAGACGGCGTCGGATAAGATCACGCGAGAAATGGTATAGGTCGGCTAAATGATTATTGGTCAGTAATCCTATTCTGTCAACAGAGATGTAATAACTTGTGGGAGTCTTACAGCGATTCCAACGCCAGGGATCATTGGCTCCTTTGCCTCTTCAGCAACCAGTCCCGGATACAGTTCGACGTAATCGGGATGCTCGTAAAGGTGTCGAAGAGAATTAGCAATCTCAGGGTCGGAATTGATATCTTCGAACTTTTCGTGCGGCTTAAGCCCGAAGTGCTTGCGGAATTCATTCAGTCCGGCGACGTTCCATTTCCGTCCCTGAAGAATACCTAATATCTCAACCGGCTTCATCGATTGTGGCACATTACGACCACCGAATGCTCCGGCACAGTCTTCTATAGCATCACAGATGCAGCCGACAAGATCGTCGTCTTTGAATTTTCCATCAGCACCACGCTTGAAGCCCCCGAATACTCTCTCGCTGGGGTCGGCTGGAATTTTTTGATCGAACTTGACGAAGCCCCTAATCATATCTTGCGGGTTCAAATTCAACGGATCCTTGTCGAACAGCTCTTTGTAGAAGTCTTGGACCCATTTGTCATCCTTTTCCGAGATACACGAGTGCCATCTACGAATATTTACCTAGGTAAGCAAGTGTAACTTCGAGATGGGCAAGCTAGGAAGAACTCACCTATAACAGAGATTAAACTCGGCGGAAACCATACTCCCAGTCCCACGCTCAGCGCCGGCCTTGGTGCCGACGTCACGGCCCATCTCTGCGCGCGGGTCAAGCGTCCAAGTGGTGTTACTCCTGTTCAGGTTGACGATGTTTCTCACGTAGTCTACCAGGGTGATGTTAATATACAGTCCAGAAGTGACTAGACGGGCCGTCTGGAAAAGGTCATTGTCATATTTCTTCCATGCTGCAGCAGCTTTCTCTTCGCTAAGCCCGGGAGAAGGGGGCGTGAAGCGACCGCCCTCGTTAATGGCAGCGAGGTTCGCCGCAACGTGGTTATGAAAACGGTTGAACATGATTAGTATGACAGACACACCAGGTGGAGACCCGAGGAGTCGCTTATCGGCATAGGAGTCAGGCTTCATCATCCCGTCCTTGAAAGTCCTCACGGTATCTTGCATAGCTTGGTTACTACCGTATAGAGGAGAGAGATCTAAGAACGAAGACGTTTTTGTTTTGCTGATGTCGGCCTGGTCCGTCCAGAAGAGATCGTGTATGATGATGGTCGCCCAATACCAGAGAACCGAGGAGACATTATTGGGATGCTTCCGGTATTGAGTCCTCTTCATGACCGATTCATAGATGAGCGCTGGGTCGGGCAATGCCCCCAACGGTACAATACCCGGCCGACAAGTCCGAGCATATGTCGAACCCGCTGCTCCGAGCTGAGGATACTTCGGATTGTTCCACGACCCATCTGCCATCCTATATTCATGTTTCTCGCCCATATATAACAACGGAGGGTGATCTAGCGTATCCCATAATTCGTTTAGGAAAGTATTGGTCAGCTCCTCCCTAAGCCGTGAGCCCGTGGGTAGTTCGGCGACGAGCTGGATGACTCGTTCCATAATCATCGTCTTGTCATCTGTCAACTGTTCCCCCTTAAGCTTGCTTCGAGCAAGGTCTAGAACCGTCTTCACATCTACGCCTCGTTAGTAAACGCGATCACAGCCAAAATGGCCGGGTGGGTAGGTAAAGAGCATATACCTTTCATACGAAGGTATTTCAAGTCCTTCTTTAATCCCGTCCTTTGAATCGCCGTGTCGTTGTAGGAACCGTCTCCATTCTCGGTAGGAAGGGATCTCTGCGAAGCATGAAGCAACTGAGAAAATTGGGAAAACACAGCAGATACCCCTTCCCGATCACCCTTCGGAGCGTGTTCTTTCTTCGCTCTATGGGATGAGCTAGAAGACGATGCTGAAGACTTGCTCATCGTGGTAAAGCTGTTAGAATTGACGTGATGAAGCTTGTTTCCGCTTGCCTCGCGATTTCCATTTTCCATTTTTGCGCTCGTCAACTTGCTCCAGCAAGAAAATTTTTCCAGTCGAAGAGGGTATCTGGTAGGGTCCGATGATCTTACAAGTGTGGTATGTTCGGTGTCACAATTTAAGTGCACGCAAGCATATGCTTAGTATTACCAATCTCGGCTACCTGCCTCTGGCCCCTCGTTCATCAGGTTAAAGCTATTCGTGGAGTTCTCCGTGTCAATCTTCGATGGTAATCGGAGTATCTACCTACACTATCGGCTAGCTTCATAGCCAATACATGCTTTACACGACATATCCCTTCCCGTCAAGAATGACGGCGCTTGACATGCATAGGAGGGTGGGGTATGTAAGTGGCTTTCATCACTGGCAATTCACCGCTCCATGATGATGTCTGACCCGAGAGAGCGAAGATGACCAATGTAGGCTGTTGGAGGCATGGTAGCATGGCGATGGTGTTGAACCCCCTGAAACTACATACGAGACATAATTGGTTAGCTAACTCTAATATATCAATAGTACGGCTTGTCTATTCACTAGCTACCTCAAGGCAGCGTTCCAACCTGGATATGTTATTATCCCAGAAGAAATGCGCGACGACACAAGTTAACCCAAGGGGACGTATCGGCATTTGTCGATTAGTAAATCAAGCGGCTAGCTACACCTCTCTGACATTTGGGTAACTCTTATATATAGAGCTGAATATCTATAGAAGGGAATGATCATCATTACTTTGTCTATTGAACCAATAGGGGTAGTTCATCACGTCCGTCCCACCAATCATAGTTGCCGGGGGTCAAAAGGGGGCGGCCCGTATCTATGAACTAGTTGGCCAAGGCCTACTCTATTGCAGCCTCATGCATATACATAATCATATAACGTCAGCCCTTGGTGATGAATTCTCTAATTTCCCAATTACCTACCACCATCTCAACAGACCATTCTCATCGAAGATGGGCACATACCTGGTTGCAGCTACACTTGCTTTTCGATTCCATGTAGCTAGTGGGGTTTCTACGCATGACGATCATTTTGGTGGCTTCAAGGGAGCACATTCACCAACTCATCTACAGCTCTATAGACATGGCTTGCAGAGGATCTACATTTCAATATTCCGAGACATGAGCATTCGTGAGACATCTCCTACTATCTTAGCTTTCCAATAGTTGAATTCCGAGGGCATATCACCACACCTTCGTGCAGATATATCGCATCTAGCCGTCTACAAAGATGTACGTACATTGGACAGCCACTTTAGAATATTTTCGTTATACATAGCCGAAGTGCTCTTGGTGTCGCGTAAGCGTAGCGTTGAGCTCGGCAGTGTTACCCCCCGCGCATACTGCACAGATGGACAAGTTTCACCTATCACCCGAAGCCCGGCATGCGCCAGATCGCGAAGACACAAAAGGGCGTACGGCCTCATCTCGCCAAAGCGTCGACGATGCTGAACATCCGCACGCGTGGGCCAACATGAATCCAACAAGTGTTCACCGGGCTCCACGGAAGCTCGTGCTGTGTTTCGACGGAACTGGTAATAAATTTAGAGGGGACGATAGCGACAGCAACATATTGAAAATCTTCAGGTGTCTGGATCGCGAGGCTGGTGATCAGTGTATACATTAACCCCGCTAGAACATACACCCTGCCATTCTACCGCTTGGCTAACTGTTTGGTTAGTTCACTACTATCAACCGGGAATAGGGACATACGTCGTCTCTAACTCGTTATCTCATACAAGCCTAAGTGCTAGAGTCCGATCATGGTACCTCAAGGCTAAGGACTCCGCCGTAGGGTCGAGTTTCGACCATCATGTTGTCGGTGGTTATCGGTTTCTCATGCGTTTCTATCAGCCGGGTGACGAGATATATTTTTTTGGTTTCTCTCGTGGAGCTTATGTGGCGCGTTTCCTAGCCGAGATGCTTGATTACATCGGGTTGCTTTCTCATGGCAACGAGGAAATGGTCACATTCGCTTGGAAAGCCTTCTCATCATGGCAGAGTCGTCAAGCCGGGCAAGATGAAGAGCATCAAGCTAAGCGACGTGAGATGTATCGTTTCATGAAAGGTTTTCGAGAGACGTTCAGCCGTCCTGTGAAAAGGATTCGATTTCTGGGATTGTTCGACACCGTCAACTCTGTGCCTCGATTTGAGACTGCGTGGATGCAAAGATCAAAAATGCCGTATACAGCGCGAAGTAGTGCTAAGGTAAGACAACACACCACGTTTACACCTACGCTTAATTCGTATGTTCATAACTCTTGGCAGGTCATCCGACATTGCGTGTCTATAGATGAACGGCGAGCCAAGTTCAGACAGGATCTCATCTACCAAGGAGCTAACAAGGGTCGAGGACACCGACACTTGCACGAAATTGTCCACGAGAAATATCGCGCAAAGCGAAGCGCCGCCGTGGCGTCCAACTCCAACGTCAAGCTAGAGAGAGGGCGCCGTGAAACTTTGGCACCCCCTGAGGAACGCGCATTCCGGCCCCACTCACGGTCCAGATCTCGGACGACAAAGAATTCTGTTGATTTAACGAGCCAACCGGGGGATGACCATTCTCGCGTCATAGATGACGCTGAAGAGTCGGATGATGATGAGCAGGATATCGATGAAATCTGGTGAGTAGCATATTCTATTTTAAACGTGGTCGAGTAACTAGTTGCTAAGTCCAGGCAAGGTTTGCCGGTGGCCACGGAGACGTCGGGGGAGGATGGGAGATCACTTTGGACAGCAAGTCTACAAGTCATGTTCCCTTAACCTACATGATTCGCGAAGCCCAAAGAGCAGGCCTCAACTTTGATCCTGAGAAACTGATCGAAATGGGAGTCACTGACGTATTCGACGACCCTGACACCAATAACAATCGTGCTGACGGCCCTGTTCCTAATATTCGCATCGACGAGTCGAGCCCACCACTGGAAAATGCTTCAACTCGGGCTGAACCAATAGATTGGAATCACTTCAATTACACTGGCGAGGAAGAGAAGACTGAGCTGCGACCTTTCCATCATATGCTCCAAAAGGCCCACCTGGCGAGGATCCATGATTCTTTGGAATTTTCGTCGGGTTTAAGCAAAGGCCAAGTACTCAGCTGGAAGATAAGTACGTCATGATTCCTCCTATTCATCTTCTTGGCTTGGACGAAGTGTCTGCATCCCACCTCAGGGCCTAGCCGTCCAAAAGCTTTAGAAGACAAGAACTAACTTTGATTGTTGCAGTGGAGTATATGCCTTTCAGGCGAATGGATCTGCAGCCCGATGGGTCGTGGAAACCCATCCGCTGGCCGCTGCCATGCGGTGAGGTGCGCGATATTCCTCACACTGCCAGGGTCCACGGCTCAGTGATTCGACGGATGAAGGAGGACAAGACTTACCGCCCCGGAAACTTAATCATCGGTGGCGGCGGACGCGGAATGCGTAGAGCCCCAGATGAGTTTGGTATCGGGGAGTGGGAGTGTGTTCAAGACCGAGATGATCCCGTAGGGGAGGTTTGGGTGAAGAAGATGCCCGCCCAGGATGGGGCTTGAAAGTCCAAAATTTTCTACTACAATCCAAACGAATAACGTAACTTCGCCTGGACTCGCAAAAGAGTGGCTTGAAACTACAAGTTTGTTAGTAACCCGAGAATATGATGTTCAATTAATTTGAACAATAGGTACCTAGGTATTCCAAAAATAGTTGAGTTGCTAGAATTCCTAGCCTACTAGTCACTTACCCCTATTTATGGTTACTGGTTTTAAAATAGTTGTCAATTACGAACCTCTACCACGGATTCGTATACATCGTGATTTTGCTACGATCAACTTAAATATACCCTTAGGGAAATTATTTAACACCTCGTCTGTTTCCGCTGACCTATGAATACTAGTAACTCACTATATTTCTGTTTGAAAACAATATTGGTTATTTTCGTGCTCTTACCTAGGTAGGTAAGCATAATTTAGAGAAAAACGCCCCGAGTAGTATGGTGGGCCAGGTCCGCCCGACGAATAAGTAACCTGATATATCCCATTAATATGTGACAAGGACAAAACGTACGGACGATGATGTTTTTCATCTTCTTCCACGACGAGAGATGATATATTACAAGTCCACACACGACGCTGCTACGATATGATATACTTGACTGACTTGATTTGACCCGGCTTATCGGTGACGACAGAATACTCCGACTCTACCAACTAACAACCCCCTTTTTCTTTTCTTTTTGGTGGTGATATTCTCCATTATAAATGCGATATACCTACCCTCCTCAGCGTTCGTTCCAACACGTCTGATGCTTTGTAAGGCATTCGTATTCTCCCACGAGATGCAGCACAGCATTGCCGTAGCTGTCCTTCTCCTGCTTTCCGTGTCGTTGTCAAGTTTGTCACGTCTCCACTCACTCACTCACTCTACTTCCGCCCTTTGCCTCGCGATCTTTTCCTTAGAGACTTATGTAGACCCTGTTCCATCACAGCCTGCCTACTGCCAAGTCTGTGGCGGTCAAGTTCCTTCCGAGTTTCGAGTTCCGTGTCGTTTGCTCGTGGTTACGTCCTCCCTGAGGCATTACGTGTTGAAAGGTACTGTTTGCGTGATGCGAACAGATTGGCCCGCCCCTTTTCTCTCTCGTCAAAATGCCACTCCTCTCACTCTCCTCGACCCTAGTAATCATAATACAAGAGGGCGAAAACGGGGTATCTGAAGAATGATTTTTGATCCGATTGATCCGGAGATTGTCCTCGAACCCAATTCATTAAGAAAAAAAATTATTCGTCCGTACTGACCATATTTGTACGCAATGGGGAGGTCTAGCCGTGTCGTATCATGTACGCCATGAGTCATACCAGACAAGAAAATAAGATGATGGAGGGATAGGAAAGGTAGCCGGTAGACATTCGAAGGAACGATTTTCCATGCAGATTTTGGCAATTCTCAAGCGACGCAGTACGACTCACGCTTTCGAATAGTGGAAGCTCGGTTCGGTCGAACACCCGAGAATCGGTAAATCAGGAGAATGACTAAAGGTTTTGGAAGGGTAAATGGCAATGGAAGATGAGAAGCGTAATAAATCAGGCAATAGATGAATGCTCGGTATGCTTAGATTTTAATAATTCAAAATGCGATGCAAGGAAAATAGGATTATCCAAGATTTTGTATGTCCTTCGGACATCTCGTCCGGACGATACGGCATCAATAGGCAGGCGAACAGCCTATCGGAAACGGTCAGTCTAGCATTCGAAACAACCAACCCATTCAGGAGCGCTATCAGAACAGCGACCGCGAGGGTTGACGTCAGCTGTCAGACGAGACCGAGCCGAATGCCCTACGTGTTTAAAAAGTCCTGCTCTTATGCCACCGGGGGAATGGCCGGGGCAGCGGGGATCTCGACCTCAGCTGGCACGTCACCGTTAGTAGCCTTTTGAGGGCAGTCGCGGGAGATATGACCGGCTTCGCCGCACTGGTAGCAGGTCTTGCCAGCTGTGTTTAGAGGCCCGCCATTAGGCGCGGTGCAGTCCCTAGAAATATGGCCAAGTTTTCCACAAGCATAACACTTCATTGCTTGAGCCTGACAGTCGCGCGCAAAGTGGTTGGGGCCACCACATTTGTAGCAGGTAGCAGGTCGGGGACCGCCAGCGAAACCGCCGCCTCGGCCGAAGTTGCTGTATCCACCACGGCCAACCGGTCCGCCGCGACCCATTCCAACGCCGGCCGGGTTGGGGCAAGCTCGAGCTAGATGGCCGGGTTGGCCGCAGTTATAGCAACGACCGTTACCACCAGCACCGCTCAAACGGAGAGTAGGGCAGTCAGCCTGAACGTGTCCGAGACCTTGGCAGTGGTAGCACTGCTTTGCCTCGGTGGTCCGAGGAAGAGGACATTGGTTAGATTCGTGTCCTAGGCGTGGATGGTTAGCTAAAAAAGGGCACCGGCGCGGGAGATTCGCACGACAGAGCCGTACCTGGCTGTTTGCAGTTGTAGCAAAGGCGCTCAGCGGAGGAGCAAACCTCGGCATAGTGGCCAACATTGCCACACTTATAACACGCTCGACGAGAGAGGGACGACATTGCGACAAGTCTGTGAGTCTGTGTAGATCCATCATCAGCGCGACACTTCACATAAGTTTGATCCCCAACTATCCATTCTTCGATGACCCGTCTGCAGCGATGTGGTGGTGGTAGGTTAGTTCTCTTGTCTGGTTGTAGCCAATCCCCAGCCGACGCGGCAACATCCATGTCGGATAAGATATTAGTCCAGATCAGCCCAGGCCGGATTTCGTAAGGGGAAAAAGGAGGGTAATTCGCAAGTATCGCCACCCGACATTCGTTCAACGTGCCAAGAAGCAGATGTCGAGGTAGGTAATAAATTGGATGCTACCCAAAACGGCAATAAGGGTGCCGCCACGTGCTGTCGTTTATCGGGTAAAATACCCCACGATGGGTGATGGGGTGGGCGGCATGATTGAGTGGTTTTCCAGAACCTGCAGGTCGACTAAGGTTGGCTGCAGAGACGGTTGGGTTCGTGCGACGCGACCCGATACAGAGATGCGAGATTGATGATAGATGTACGTCTTCCATCATTTGAAGACGACCTCTCAGACTGATCCTGCTGAGTCCTATGTCTGATAATTGGTTTCGGAGACCACTCTCAAGTTTGCGCGCGTGCCTTATGCCGGATCAGTCGGGTCGCAACTTTGCGCATTTATAAAGGGCGCGGTATAACCCCCGAAACATCGCATGATTAGGGATGTTCTGTGATCTTGTAGCGAATTTGAATATTGTAGCAAGAGTCTAAGTGCCGAGTCGTGAAGGTGTATCAAGGAAGTGGCGGCCACTTATGCGCAAACCGATCGAGTCGCGCGCCGAGGAAATCAAGCAAGTCATCACGAGATGTTGTCGCCAAATATTGTAGGCACCATAATCGGAAAAACGGTTTAGACGGGGCGCAAAGGATAGAGAAACAAGAATGTCTTTAAACTGTTGTTATGTCGGCGCATTGATCGCAAAATACGTGCGTATGGGTGGATTATCTGTTTGTTTTATCGGTTCTCGTAGCGCACCAGGATCCATCAATGTCAAGTTATGCGCGCGCAATAAAATCGCATAAAGCATAGTCGCCGCATTTGCTGTCGCGCTCGCTACCGCTATTTCCGTCGTCGTCGTCGTCGCCGTCTTATTGTCGTTTATACAGTTATAGCTATGTGTATATCGTCTAGGAATCGTTGTCGTACAACAGGAGGCAAAAATAAAAGAGACATGTCGAATTCTGGACCTGCCCGCTGTACCACACACCACCACTACCACCACTTGCGCCGCGGGCCAATTTTCGAAGGATGTAGTAGGAAAATAGAAGGTAACATAAGCAGACCAAAGAGAAACTTACAATGATTTCCCTGCTTATCCCTTTGGCAACTCTACTCCTTCCTTTTTACCTGCTGCTATCCGTCAACCAACAGCAACCTTCTTCTCTTCTTCTCTTCCGAGCAACGTCTCCTAACACTGCGCGACCTCCAAAGGGGGAGTGGATAATAGTACGCGATGCGATGCGATATGATGCGATGAAGATGTAATATCAGAATCACAAAAGAGGAAAAAGGAAGGGTTGAGAGGAAATAGAAAGAGAGGGACGAGGGAAAGGGAAAGGGCCGGAGTGAGGGGACAGATCCAGAAGGCGAGTGGATCCCGAAGCGGGCGAAGGGGCTACATTCTCCTCTAAGAAAGAGAGAAAAAAAAGAGAGAAAGTACCAAATACATTTACTTAAACTTAACCTAATTATAAATGATATATTATCTATACTCGCTAATAAGGTAACAGATACTTCGAAAGGCACCTTCCCTGCATGCCTCAGTAGGGTTAACTTACCTATTAGCGGATGGATCTTCAAATTCTGGTAGGAAGTTCAGGTGGCTACCTCTTTTTTTTTGCTAGCCAATTTCTTATTCGAGACTTCCTTGTTTTGTTTTATTGTCATTCTCTTTTGGAATGTCTCTTATTTTACGCAGTACATCTTCTTTTCTTCTCTTTTCTTTTCTTATTTAAAAGTGGTATAACGTATCCCACATCTCTGTGCGACATAGCTTGTGTTACCAGACTATACTATTTTATCATATATCCAATCTCGAATTCGCGATACATACAGTATAGGTAAAACTAGGTAAAACGACAGAAGGCTAACAATTCTGCTGTAATGGATTAATGAAAAGGCGCACTAAGTAAGTAGACAAACCTCCTTTTCCACATTGGCATCAACTCGCCGAGTCGCCAGCCAATAACAGCATCACCTAGTCCTCCCCCTTTACTCTAGTGTCTTACGGTTTGCTGCCCTGCATGACTTACAGCAGAGATTTCATAGTCTCTACTTAGGCAGGGAGGACATGGATACGAAGGGTGATCCAAAGTCTCACTAGCATATTCCTACATATTTTAGCGAGTTATCCGACGAGGCTAGCTATGCCATTTCTTTTCACGTGTTTGACCCTCGGGTATGCTAGAGGCGGATAGTATATCCCTCGTGTCCCTCTTATGCCTGCCTCTTATGCCTCTTATGCCTCTAGTGATGTTTAGTTTCTGCTATAGCGCTAAACAGTTGCAATATACAGTATACCTATACCGATTAGGTGATCAAGATATCTGGGTAAGTACATAACACATAAGTTGGTATACACCAATAACCAAGGACGAACCATCTCGGCAAGACTCTTATGCAAGTTCCTGGAGCTGAACTGCCCATCGTAACATGATTACCTGCTTGCTTGCTTATACATACATACGTACGGCTACCCGACCCCACATTATAGGACTTGAGGCCCGAACGACGCGCAGAAGCAGGGCAAAGCGGGATGGGATCAGTGAGAGAAAAAAAAAGGACAGGGTAGAAATCTGGAACAGTCTAGCTTGATTGGATTCGTTGCGTGATGGATGGAAGCTTACCTGGGTCAGGTTAGCCAGGTTAGCCATCAAGAATGTACGCATCCATAGATAGTATTGGCCTCCTTATACTACCTAGCCATCTAAGAATTTAGGGCCTGCATATTATCGCTGACACACGGCAGCATACCACATGGCTTCAATAATGTCTTGTGGCGATCCAATGCCTTTCGACGTTGGAGCAAGGAGAGATGTAACCGCCGCCTCCTTTATCAGCCTACATCCTCCATGGACTTACGCGACAGCCAATCAAAGTTCCGTCGCAATGCCGGGACCCTTAGAACGGTGCTTCCGCTATGTTGATCTTGCTTCCAACATCACCAACTCTCCGGGTTGCGACTGTGATCACAGCCTTGATTAGTCGCGCTTCACGAGAGCATGTAGATATACGCGGGTCCTTTTGTCGCCAAGCGTCCGGCTAACAATAGATTGCTGTCCAATCCTACCGCTATTGGTCGTGTCCCGTCGACAACATCTCTGCGATTGTCGCATACTCACGTACGGATAGCTGACATGCTGCGTAGGCGAGGCCTTTGGACTTTACGCTGATAGCTCTTATTAAGCTCTTCTAGTATATGATGATATATCGAGTCTTAGTAGGAACGGCGTACTTCTCACTCTAACAATATCATGCTCACCTTGTCCAGCATAGGTCTACATAGCCTTACCTAGGTATCTTATGTTGGGGCGCATAATACAGTTTACCTTGACTGCCTCGCTAGGTACCTATCCCGAGTCGCGGTACAAAACGACCCGTGATCCATTAGGGATAGTCTTCATGATCGTCGCCTCATGAGACAACGCCTCACCTATTTCTCCCGTTGATCACTCCCATTACTCTTCCCTTGCGCATTATATAGAGCTGATCCTACCTGTTTCTATTTTACTCGTACAATACTTACCTAGGCAACATAACTTGGAACAGAGACCTGTTTTGACAGATAGCACGGAATTGTAGGAATAAGCGCCTAATATTGCGTACATCACACTCTTACAATTATAGATCCTATGACCCCTAATTGTATTCGATGTGTGCTACGCCGAGCGACAATACAACCCAACTCGTTTGGCAAGCCATAATAATTCTATAACTGCCTACAATTACACGATAGCTCTTGAAAGCAATAATTAACGATCCTCGCTCCCATAGCGCCAGTGCTAGAACCCAAGAAACCTACGTGCGTATGTAATCCCATGCCACCTATGCGATGCGACTTGCTAGAAGAATAAGATACACAGGACAGGTGGTTTCGCTCTGTTTTGTTTTCCGTCTCCCGCCCTTTTTCCTCGATACCGTACACTCCATTTCGATTCTCCAACTAAGACTCCCGCGAGATTTTGGGAGAGTAGACTCTGCTCTATCACCGAGCATTCATTAGTCCCCGTCTCACCGCATGTGTCCGGCTTCTGATGGATGAGGCGGAAGCGGGACATCGGTTGTCGGAACCATGGATCTTGGACGGGCCTCGACTACGTAGCTGACACCGTCCTCTGACGCGTACGACGGTGGTCGCGCCGTTCCCGGACGAGGTTCCTCTTCACTTCCCTCCCTAGGTGGCTGATCGTTACGCTGCCAATAGAGACGATCCGGATCCACGCGCTGCGAGATTGGTAAGTAAAACTGATACTAATTTCAAAATCGAGTGTATTATACATACCACACTCTCACGCCATAAACCGTAAGCGGGAGGCTGTATTTTATTGGCCATCTCATTTCCTGCCGCTTCCTCGTCGCGGGCAAGAATAACATGAATTGGCCGTCGTGGAACTGCGTATCCGCCCGGTTCCAATAATCGTGGCATGGGACGCTCTTCGTCCTCTTCGTTAGGCGGCCTGACAATTAACATGCAGATCCTAATGAGTCCGTGGCAAAAGAATATGGTCGCAAATAGAATTATGAGTATTAGAAGCACCGTAAACTCGCTGGTGTTGACGTTCTTCGTGATCGAAAGGGCGAGGTCTAATAACTGTCAATATCTGGCCACGCAACAGGCAGACTCGAACTACTCACAGACAGCAAGCATAAGGATTAAGAAAATGCCTGACACGAAGCATCGCAAGATGTAAGAGCGCATGCGGCGCGACTTGATCCAGGGGAAGCAAAATAAGAATCTCTTGAGGCGTTCCCCAGGTTCATGCCTCCGACTTTGACCACCACGACGCCGCCTCCCTCTATCTACCATGTCGACTAAGTGTGTTTCCCCAGGGTCGGCGCCCCTAAATCGCGAGCGCCCCATATCGGGGCCTTCATGAGCAGGTGGTGGTTCGGATACGGTAGGTGGTCCATCGACTTGTATTCGAGGTAATGGAGTTTGAGGTGCGGATTCGGACGGCGGCTGTGGCGTTTGGGAGCGTGAGGCCGGACCCGACGATCCGCGAGTCCAAGTTCGTGTCAGGTTCGGTAGGTGTAGACGGGTAGAAGGCAGGTTCGGAAGGCCTAGATTGAAGCGCGGCGTCTTTGGACTATCGTCCTCGGGTATATCACCTTCGGTCCTCTGATTCCCTCCGTCCTGCCTCTCCGCACGCGATCGACTTGTGAACAAGGCCGGTAAAGGTGGTCGGCTTATGGAGAAGCGTCTCGTACGGGAACCCCTCTGCTCGTCCATCTCTGGCCGCCTCTGATGTTCAGGGTCTTGTGCCCGCCCCTCCGATGACTGAGCTCTCCTCAGGACGTTCGTCCGAACGTAATCCATGGTATGGTTATAGTAAGGCGGATACGCGGCTTCTTAAGCGTTAAACCTGATGTCACCGGTATCCAGCACTATACATGCTTTTGTTCGCCGGGTTCGCCTGATCTCCAAGGTTCAATGAGTACCACAAACGAGTGTGGTCTACAGCAAACGCGGATGGCCAAACTAGGCCGACTTAACGTATATACAGAGGGATCGTGCCAATGGCAACGGCCTGTAGATCGATTGGCGAGACGCGAGTCTTTTTTAGAAGTTACGTGCGGTTGGTTTCGAGAGCGAAGACTCTAGACGAATCGATTATCTCTTGGTATCCAAGGAGCGCTCGGGTCCTCGCAGGTTCGATATAAATTATATGTCTCGGATATAAACAATAGAAGGACCAGCCAGATTCCGTGAAGAAAAAAAGAAGGGATTATTGACTCGGAGAATAAATACAGTCAAATTAAACGCCTCTTTTCACGTAGGGGGAAATTGGAAATTGGAATCGGAACTCTCAAAGCCCGTTGCTCTTAATAATGTGTTCAAACGAGGGACGATAAATCAAACAGAGAAAAACAAGAGGGTTACGATAATTCCATCAACTGAGAGAGCCGTCAATTGGCTCACCAAGTGGAGGGTAGGTTCGAAACGAAGAAAAGACAGCCACAAACGAGAGAGGAGAGGGAAAGAATTGCGAAGTACACAACACACACACGCACGCACACAGACGGACGGATGGACAGACAGACAGACAGAGGGAGGGAGAAGTGGACGTCACAGCGCTTGACGCACAACTAGAGAGAGATGACGGGCTGATCAAGCTGATCGGGGCTAGGCAAACTGGAAGCGGACTAACGAACGCATCCAAAGCTTTGGCGGTCTCATCTGCAAATCTGGAGGATGCAACCCTCTTACTCGACCATCGCTATCGTTGATGAAGCATGAAGGAAGATGTCAGGCATGCAAAACAGCTAGTGACCTATGATCGTAGCTGAGGAAAGGGAGTTGACCAATAAAACCTCTCCTTTTCAAGCACTAGAGTACCTGCCACCCAGAGGCCCGTTCTCTTGGCCATACCGCAGGCGCCGAGGCTGCCTGACATGAAACTTGGCTGCAGGGGTATCGCCAACATCCACTGTTTCGGAATCCGGTACGTACCGTCACCTACTAGGATATTGGAGGCCGCGACCAAGAAAAGGGGACAAGGGGGATTTGCCTCCATACAAGTATCTCAGGACAAAATAAGAAAAGAAAACCTGGAAGACTTGTGGTTCGCAGGTATTATACGAGATACTTTTTCAGTACATACCTACGCATACATAGTATATCGATGAAAACTTGCCTCTGATATTTCTAATACTTTACTTCAGTTGTAAAAAAAAAAAAAAAAAAAAAAAAGAACCTACATACAGATGTAGTACTACGAAAGTAGGCGTTTATGATGTATTGTTACGATCTTCATATAGGTTTAATACTAGGCTATTAAGCTCGATGAATAGGGCCTATGTCGGGCTTCCTATTTCTATGTAGATATCTTCGTAGGTAGTATCAGTCTCGACTAGTCGGGGCCATGTCGTCGCACTCCCCAAAGATGAGCACAAGGTCTTCCTAAATCTTCGGGGATAGTACCCCGACACCCACCATCGATCATCGAACGAGCCACAAGTCTAGATCAAACTAGATCAAACGTGTGGATGACGACCCGAAATCAGGGGTCCAGTCATCGGGGTATCTGTGACGTAAGGCTATGATCAAACGTGGTTACTCGAACGCAAATGGTGGTCTGATCATCTTCGCATCCTTCTCGTTGTATTTAAGAGCTATCAACGCAGCTCACCAAGCAGCATTCTTCGATCAGAAGAAGCAGACAGAACTAATCTAATGTTAGCAAAGCACGTAAAGAGGCTTGGGCATGAGACAACTCACTGACGGGCTCCTCACTAGGAGTGAATTCGGCGCAGTTAACTACACCCTTGTGACCCGGCAACTTGTAAAGAAGCTTGCCGGTATCATTAGACCATATGACCACAGTCCCGTCGCCGGCGCCTACTGCAATCTTCTTGCCAGCCTTATCCCAACTAGCTCGTACCAGGTTCTTCTCAATGCCCGTCTGCGCTCCATCGAATGTGCGGATATGCCGCTCGGTAGGTGCGAACGGTCTTATATCCCAGGTTTTCGCCGTCGAGTCGTGGGAGTATGACAGCAACGATTGCGAGTCGGGAGAGACGCGCAGGCTAGTTACCGTATCGTTATGACCCAGCATAGAGTAAACGACGGCCTTCTTCCGCATATCCCAGACCTTGATATCGTTGTCGATTCCGCCCGAATAGATCTCGTTGCCAGCCTCCGCAACCGCCACAGCAGTAATTGGGAACTCGGTCTCTATGAAGTCGGCGGCGTTCTTCGACCGGGGATCCCATATGCCTATAGTGCCATCATCACTTCCACTAATTAAAAATTCCTCTCCTCGCTTGCTTATGTCGACAGTATTGATTATTTCCTCGTGGCCGATATATCGTCGTATCCTGGTCCCAGAAGTTAAATCCCAGCTCGCAAGATGCATGTCGGCTGAGGCAGAGTATAATATTTCCGAATCGCGAGACCACTGTAGATCCAAGATTGCGCCTCGGTGACCCGTTAACGCGCCGTAGTTTTCGCACGCGCCCTCGGATTTCCAAAGCACTTTTCATGATTAGTCGAATACAAAGAACGAGGGATCGGATGAGACCTACAAATACTTCGATCCATGGAACCTGAAGCAATTAGCCCTCCTGCAGGATTAAATTTGGCGGAAAAGATCTCTCCAGAGTGCCCTGAGAGTTCCATCAATGGCGCTTCTAAGTTACTCGTCCGGACGGTCTAGAGGATATTGTTAGCTCTAAGTCTATAATATATAGTATCAACATCTGATTTCAAACGGAATAGAAGCGTTACATACCGATTGAACCAATGCGCTGGATCCAGAGCCTCCATCTCGGCGAGATAATGCGGTGCTGGTGCCGGGCTTCTGTCTCTTGACAACCAATTGGCCTGCACCTGGGTCATCAGGCGCAGGTCGTTTTTCGGCGGACATGTCTGCTTTGTTTTTGCTTCCAACCAGTATTACCACGGAGTAAGAGTGAAATTGATTTCTAATATATAGATGTACGGCGCGAAAAGATGTTGTTGTATATAGTGTATACTGGTCGGATTGCAACGGTATTCAAATGTTGACTTTAATCTTGAAGCTCTTACCTTTTTTTTTATATTGCTAAAGTAGGTAGGCAAAGCTACAAGGTACATGAGGTAGAGAGATCTATGTTTTGGCGGAAAAGTAATTTTCCGCTTTTTGAGTATGGAATATCGGCGTTTTTGATACCCTCCCGCCGACATTACCCCGCGACCTCACTTGGTACATACCTGTTTACCTGTTACACTCCACTCGTTCACCGTCTTACATACTACACATACTACACATGCTACATACCTACATAGGTACCTAATATTTAATGCTACCAGATCCACATTCATATGAAAGACCACAAAGGCACATACTCATCCTATAATCCACGTTCGACAAATTCTTCCAGATTCGCGTAAGAAAGGGAAGGAAGATCGATGAACTGAATGAACTCAGTCTAAGCTCGTTAGTCGAGCATGTCAGCAAATAAGGCTGCCCGGGTGGGCGAAGAGTAAGCGGCCATCTATTCAGCCTCGCCAGATCATCTGCTAATGTATCTTAGGATTTGGAAGTAAGTTGGTGAGCTATTCGCAATATCAAACTTCTCTAACAACTCGTCATAAGGGGTCGCATAGATAAGGTGAACGCCGAACTTGTCACCCTGACTTATGGTACCATAGTCGCTCAGCTATGCAAGGATTTTGAAGGCGATTATGTCGAGGTCAACAAGCAACTCGACAGGATGGGCTACAATATTGGCCTACGTTTAATTGAGGATTATCTGGCCAAATCGAATACCATGAGACGGTGCTCGAATTTCCGGGAGACGGCCGACATGATTGCGAAGGTAGTCCTCAAATCGAGCAACTCCCCCTGTATTATCGATCTAAACTGACCATTGTATCCACTTGGAATAGGTCGGTTTCAAAATTTTCTTGAATATCACGCCAACCGTGACAAACTGGACAAGTGACAGCAAGCAGTTCTCCCTCGTATTTGAGGAGAATCCCTTGGCAGACTTCGTCGAACTCCCCGACGATGGTAGGGCCCAGGACGAGCTGTGGTACTCAAACATATTTTGCGGCATCCTAAGAGGAGCGCTCGAGATGGTGCAGATGCAGGTCGAGGCACATTTCATTAGTGATGTGTTGCGAGGGAACGATACGACCGAGATGAGAATATCTCTGATCAGATACATTGATGATGAGTTACCGCCTGAAGACGACTAGATTGGTTGAGGAGAGGAAATGTATGGTAGACTTACGACAAGCTCAGGCAGATTCTAACAGAAAACACAGTTGCTTCCGCCTTGCTTCTTCCCACTGGCATAGGCTGGTAATGATATTATTTAGGTAGCCGGATGTAAATATCCGGCGACGCGACATGATATCTCCTTGGTTGGCACAAGACTACACTATCTACCTAGTAGGTGACAATCGCTTGGTGGAGCAACCCCGTAAGTGTTGAGGTTTCTACGGCGGTTGTGTAGCCAACCAGAATCAAGACTCAGGAGCTGCTGGCAGTACAGTTACTGATTCTAGTAGAGTTGTAGTTTTATGCCAACCAAGGAAGAAGCCTTACATTGCCCTAGCAGTATGGCCTACCAGATGTTATACTATGGATAGGTGTATCGTGTTTTTATCTGTTATTTATCTTTATTTTTATTTTCTGCCCGGGCATTCCGCAAGTTCCTAGAGGAGTTTGCCGCAAGAAAAAGTATTCCCGAAGTTGTTCAACGCCCTCATTTTCCCCATGCCTTTAAATGATTTACACCCACTTATTATTCTCAAGCCGGTGTTCAACATATAGTAGTAGTAGGATAAGTTAAGAGGGGTGCACACTTTTATCCTATAGACATAGAATGAATGTCTATAGAGCGAATGTAGAGTCCCCGGGCACAATCCGAATCCCCACCGGAAATGTATTCCACGGAGTCGGGAGCGGCAAGCAACTAACTAATCAGGTATACCTATTAAAAACACAAGCTGCCGTGCGGATCTAAATTCCTCGCTTATTCTTATGTCGGGGCGGTCCACTTACTTCCCGAGACTGATGAAAATCATCCCATCGATGAGAGCTAGAGAGCCAAGAACCAAGGATCAGGGCCACGTTTCTCTTGATTCAAGCCCCGCCGAGCCCGCCAAACAAAGATGAACCCCTTCGTGCCCCATCTGTCTTGCAGGTTGATCTTCCGGCACTTTGCAGACGGGCTTACATCAACGTCAACTACACGATCCATGTATGTACCTAACCCACTGGGCCTCTTAAGGTAGGTAAACTTACTATAACCATGGCTTGGCATTATGGTTTATTTAGTATGATGTATAGGACGAAGCATCTTGTTTTGACCTGTTGGCCATCGCCATCGTCGACTTTAATAATATTCGTATTTATCTCATGACTTTAACTTGTGACATACAGTAAATATTGTATGTCGAGCATATAAATTTATCAGCTATTCAATAACTGTAAAATACTGTCGGATGCTTCTCTTCTACCATGTGTGCATTTCGCACTTACACGAGGTGTAACTGTACCTGCGTCCCCAAGTACGCCAGCTTATTATTAGCGTTCCGGATTGATGGGAGACCTGCTATGCATGAATGTAGGCGCCACCTTATTAATTTCGAGATTAGATTATATCTACCCAGCGAAGATATGAGCTAACTAAAGGGTCTAATAATATCCTCTGATATTTCAATTTAGGAATTATTGAATCTATACAGACACCACAAGACGCTTTTGCTTAGCGCTACGTCCACATTTCCTTGGGGTCTTCAATACTGGAAGTCATGAAAATACCTACACACTCGGGCAAGTACCTAGGTATGTTCCCAAGTGCCATAGCTAGAAGGAAATTCGCTCGCCTCCGTCTTCGAACTGCCTGGGTAACTGAGGCATCGATCTTGCCCGGTTCGTGCTGTATAGATATTCATATTCATACTCGACACCAAAACGCTCACGAGTCGTACAACGCACGGCTTGAATACAATGATTCCAGGAGGCTTCAGCTTCGCTCTAATAAGGCAAGCGTGGCAAGAGCCTAACAAATGAGAGGAGTAAAAGATATGGGCGACAGATAGTTCGAGAAGGCCTCTCGTCGGTCAGTAGTAAGGCGTCCAGCCCCCAAACGTGACGTATCGACGTTAACCAACCCCCGAATCCATCTTGTTACCGTACCGAGTGCTAGGTATACGTATTGCTTAAACCATTGTCGACATGCTTAAGCAGCATACTGTAAATTATCTGTATCTGTTGGGGAGACGAGGTTTGCCTTGGTGAGGAAGGTTCGTGATTTCACACGCCTCCTCTTACCATATGGCGAGATCTTTTCATCCTACCTGAGTACTAACCTAGGCCTACCAAAATATTATGGTCTTTCGTTGGGACCGGACCGCCTCAACATGAGATACTAGTTATCAGAGGTTGGAAAGGGGACTACCGTGATAGTGCTATCTATTATACATACCTGAGCATATTACCTACTTGATACCTTACTGTACTCCGTCTCGGCCATTCGCGATCACGGAACTAATCTTGAACGGAGGAAGAATACTGCCGGGCTCACGTACCTTATATTTCTAAGATTGCTTCATTTCGTTCATCGCATAGGTACTCCTTATACGGTAACGGGATAGCTGATGAGTGGCTAGATAGACCGGATAGGACCAGATCAAACATATTGATATCTCGATCTGGAATATCAAATCAACATAAGCAGAAGGTAAAGTATTTGGGTATTTTGATCTGTCATCGGCGAGTGCGAAGTCGATCCTAACGTGGAACCCCTGTCCCCTTATCTACATACGGATATACGTCTACGTACCTATCTATGTAGGTACCTGAAGAAGGTATTTTGCGTGTAAGATCCGTCCTTTTTGCCTCAGCCCACCGGCATGACATCTTGACCTGCGTCACTTTAAAAGACGAGCTAACGCTTCGATACCTACTAAGCATCTATATATTCAAAAGTCTGATATGATAGATCTTCGTAAGTTTAATAAGATTAACGAGACATCTAAGGAGGGAGGTTAAAAATAATTAGTTTTTGTTTAATACCAATGCTATATCAGATTTTAAGTGGGAAATGTCATATTGACCTGTGAGTGTACATGGCAGACGTGTACATCAGGGTCGGTGCTTGTTAGAGTTTTGGAATTGACATGAGTGGTGCCAAGCCTTAAATTGTGGAGAGGCAGTCTGAAATGTACGCTCGAGAATACGTACATATACTTCGAATTACTGCGGATATCTCGTATAAAGCTTATGTAGCGGTGTTCTAAGATATGCGCCTAAATCGGACCTTGCTGACCCACAGGATTTTCCCACCGCAAATGCTTCAACCCAGACCTACCTACTTCTTGATCCCCCAGTCTTGTCCCGCCCCGTTTCTGCAAGCTTCCTCGCAACTGCTCTTCACGCACCTGGCAGACCTTCACTTACCCATTAGGTGCCTTCAAGCCCCAAGACTTCCCCAAAACCCACCTGAACTAGCACCCGAAGCACAGGGTCCTTAACAATTGATTCAATCTCAATCTCACTTTAACTCATCCTAACCATCCCCCATAACCACATACCACATACTGGTCCATACCTACACCATCAACCCGCCACTATTCTTGCAAGTCTCGGCTCAGATCCGTAGAATTATATTCTTCACTTTCTTCTTACTTTCTCCATCTACCCTACTATCCGCGACATTCGGCAACCATCCCTCTTTTTTTTTTTCCACTGCCCCTTTTCTTGCGTGCCTATGCATATCTGGATAGAATTGCCTAGTCTTTTGAATGTCTGCAAGGTCGCATCCACCGTGCGCGATTTCGATTTCGCCTAATAATTGGCTTCTGACCACAGTTATTGGAGAAGGAAGACGGGCGCTGCTACACACGCGAAGCGCCGTGATCTTGTGTTGAAAAAAATAAAATAAAATAAAACCAGCTACCGGATCGTCAGCGAGACGAAAGACGGGAAGAAGGCGACAGAGGTAGAATAATTGCACTGGAATTAATCCCAGGTGCTGCGCGTCGGCGATTAAAGCACTCTGCCCCCATCGCCGGACACACAGTGCAGTTTTGACGCTTCGCTCAATTCTGCAGCCCTGGAGTAATCCACCAATCTACCATTTACCTACCTAAAACCGCTGTGGCACCTTACCTGACTAGGTACCTTTTTTACCTTACCTTACCTAACCCAACCTACCTACTACCTATCTACATATTCCTTAGGCGTATCCAACAATTACCTACCAGGGCCAATTCTTACAAATCTCTACTTCTATTCCTTTAACTCACCTATGTTCGAAGAGAGGTCGAAACTTATTTCGATTTTCCGAAGAACGAGTTGAATAAATTGGTAGAAGAGGGGTTTATTGTTTGAGAAACGAAGAACGAAGGGACCAAAAAAGGAAAGAAAAAAAGACGAGGCCATCAATTGTCATCATCCTCCCACGGTCGCCTCTTCTTATTCGCTGTAAGGGCACCAGCCTCCATTAAGTGCTACTATTATCAAGCACCTACCACCGCCACGACCTGACCACGCCCATTCCACCCGACCTAAATCGACTGACTACCAACTCTTCACCCATCTTCGCCATCGCCGCCGTAGTAAAATTCCGAGCACACACCACCTTCATTTTTTTCTCATCTCGTCCATTTTTCTCGCTTGCTGACCTAACACGTCACTCGCGCACTTCTATATCAAATATCTTTATTTTATCGGCCTCGTTTGACACTTTTTCTGGTCGTTGTATATCCGAGAAACTACTTTCCGTACCCGCGTTACTTGGTCGCATCCTCTCTCACTCCTTTTGCATATTGTCGGAGGATTCACGCTCTTGCCTAATCAATATTACTCCCTACCAAAACAGGCGGGTTCTGGCATAGAAGGATCGCCCTTCCCGGTATACACCATCTAAATATCTCGTGCCGGACCATTCAATCGATTATTAGAAGTACGCGCATCTCGCTGTCATTAGGTCCGAACGCTCTTCTCGTCAGGCAGCTTTCTCCGTCGCTTACCAACAAAAGGCGCCCGAGAACAGTTGACCGACCCAGTACCGACGAATTTATAAGATTGTCGCGACGATACGCATGCGCTTTCATCCGGAAGCAATCCATCGCCGTGATTGAACGACGCTGATCGTGACAGACTCCGTCTGTCCGTCATCTCACCATGAATAACGTTAACGTAAACATGGCTAATATGCCTATGGCCGGTGGCCCCGTCGGCGGTCCTACACCCATGATGAACAGTACCCTGGCCGCGCAACAAGTTCAAAGTCAAGGGAATAACCGGACAGTTCTAAACACATACATATACGACTACTTTCTTCGCGAAGGCATGTACGATTGCGCGCGTGCCATGCTTAAAAGCGAGCAAACCCTCAACGTCATTAAGGACAGCCCTGGTCGTCGTCGTGACGAGAACGGAAACATACTAGGTAACGGTGTTGGCGACGATCCCATGGACACTGATAGCAAAGATGACATAGACGCGAAGCGACCTCCCGACTTACCTCCACCCAACGTTCCACAGGGTGCCGATAACTGCTTTCTGTACGAGTGGTTTTGCTTATTTTGGGACATGCTGATGGCTCAGCGCAATAAGCCTGGGATAAGTGCTCCTGTCAGTGCCTATGTCCAACATACCCAAGTAGGTGTCCCGTACAATGATTCCCGCATGTGAATGAGACTGACAACATCAGCAACAAAACCGACACAGACAAAATGAACAGCAGGCGATATTACGGGGAATGCGACAAGATATATATGGACAGAACCGCATGATGGCAATGCCAAACGGGATGCAGGTTAACGCGAAGCAGCCTAATTTGGCGAGGACTGCTATGGCGAATAACCAGAACAAGTACGCTCTCTTAGATGTTTTTCTGACCATACCATTGCTCAATCACTAATCTATCGCACCACAGTCCGCAAGCACTTCACATGATGCAACAAGCAAAGCAGAACCAGATGCAACGCGACGGGTCGAACATGGATGGCAATCAAAATCGTCCAGGTTCTCCCGGTTCGGCCGAGAACGCACCGTCACCGAGCAAAAGACCACGTCTAGATGGATCAGGACCGTTCAATCCCCAGCAGGGAGGCATGATGCCTAATGGACAACGACCACAGCAAGGAATGCCAGGACAACAAGTAGGCAACGGACCCAGAAGTGCTGCCATTGCTCAGCATATGCTTTCAACAAACGGCATCGACCCAGCTAATCTGTCCCCTCAGCAGTTCCAGAACTTCCAGACCCAACCCGCGAATACCCAGGCCAAGTCGATCCAGACCTACGCGCAAAATTTACAGCAGCACCACGGCCAGCAGATGCCTAACAAACAGATGCCTAACCCAGCTGGTCCCCAGGGCCAAGGTTCGCCTATGTTGCAGCAAGGTCCCGATGGTAGCCAGATTGGCGCGTTCTACAATGCTAGCGAGATGGGTGGTCCCGGCGGGATGAGGGCCGGCCCTAACGGTGCTCAAGGGGCGGGCGGTAGCAACCACGCCCTTCAAGATTATCAGATGCAGCTGATGCTATTAGAACAGCAGAACAAGAAACGGCTCATGATGGCAAGACAGGAGCAAGATAGTATGGGTGGCATGCCTCGTGGAGACGGCGCCGGTCCCGGTGGTCCTGGACCTAACGGCCAACCCTTCCAGGACACCTCACCTCAGGGTGCACGGACAGGAGCTTCCCCTAATCCCGCCGAACAGCAGATGAAGGGCCGCACTCCTCAGATGAACCCCACCGGTATTCCCTCACCTATGGCGGAAGGCGCGCAATCTAGGGGATCGCCCAACCCCATGGGCTTTATACCTAATGGCATGGATCCGAACATGCAGCCTCACTTCTTCAAGGGCATCAATGGGATGGACGGGAATATGGTCGCCGCTGCGCAGATGAATGGAGGCATGCGGCCCCCGAGTTCTCACCCGAACCAGCCCTTCAATGGCCAAATGAATCCTCAGTTAATGAGGCAACAACAAGGTGCTCAAGGCGGTCCTCCAATGCAATGGCAAGGGCCGAATGGGAACGCGATGGGACCCCAAGGAGGCCCTCAAGGGCCCCCAGCTCAGGTACAGGGAACGCCGCAGCAGAGAGCTATGCCACCACCGTCGGCTCCTGCGCCAGCCAACAACGCTGCCGCGGGTCGCCCACAAACTTCATCACCGCAGCAGAACACTGCAGCCCCCCCCACTCCTCAGCAGTCTAACAAGACCGTAAATAAAAAGAAGGATACTAAGACTGCGAAGGCCAAGGTATGTATTCATTATTTACGAGTGTTGATGATTAAAGCTAATTCACTATACAGGCCACCGCACAGAAAAAGGCCAACCAGACCACGGGGGCAACCCCTGCTTCGGAAGCCGCTCAGGAACCTGAGCCTCCTACGCCTGTCACTCCTGTGAATACCACGAACTTCAACAAGAATGGCCAGAATGTGGGTGCTGCCCAGCCTGCAGCAAGCGCTCCCGTATCTGCTCCTCCACCTGCTCCGGCACCGGTTGCGGCACCACAAACACATCCCGACGCCGGGCAGATAAACTCATTTGGCATGGACAATGGCGGCGCAATGGTAAGTCATCTTCCCAGGGTTTGGGGGATCTGTACTAATCCTCAAACAGGACTTCAGCAGTATGTCTTTTGCGGACCCTATGCAGACGGGCGATGTGCTTCAAGACTTCGACTTCGACTCGTTCCTGCATGATAACGAGGCAGACCCCGGGTCTTTCGACTTCAATGCGGCGGCGTTCGGAATGGAGGGAGCCGGCGAAATCGGAGCGGAGTAGGATTTCAACTCCGATTCGCTCTATCCAGAGTGATACCAATCTTCTTGCATCATCTCCATATTCGGGTTAACCGGGGCATGTATTGGCGTTTTATCGGCTGGGTTTATTTATTTTATTTTTTTAAACTCGCATCTGGACCGGAAATTGGTCTCTGACGGTTGTCACGCTTCAGCAGACCAGACACGAAACACGAATACTCTTAAAAGCCTGTTGAAATTATCCTCTTAGATTAACCTCGTACCTCATCCTGTTCTTTAGCCCTTTCGTACCACTCACATCACATATCCCTACCTCGACTTATCGGGTGTCACACCTCTGGTGCCAACCGGGGTCTTTCTGCTGTCGGTGTTAAGGTTGATCCTGCTGAAATATTTTCTCTCCTTTTTTTTTTTTTGTTTTTTTGCAGACTACGCGCTACTCTCTCAGTCACTGGACTCGCTTGGTTCGTCGTTGTCCTTACATTGGTTGACATTAGTGAAGCGAAGTGGTAATTCGATCCATATAACACGGATTGAATTTATGTACAGTGGAGATCCGAAGGGTTCTTTTTTTTTATTGGCTAGCGACTTGAGGTTGAGGCAAGATTGCCTTTAATAGGGTACGCATTTGAGTTGTTCGACGAGGTCCATCATTCTCTTAGCAGCAATTTCGGCGTTACCTTTTGTTTTGCTGGTCCCTTTCCCCCTTAAAGCTTTGTTAAAGGAGGCCACTCGAGTTTACGGACGACGAGCAGGACGGACACATAGGTGATTCAATGGATCGACCTGCTTAGAAGGCTTTTCTCGTCATGGCGAAAAAAACACATTTGAGCTGCGTGGTGATTTCCGGAACCGAAAAATGGTGTGGCGCGCGTTGGGGGTGGCGAAAGTTCGGGAATCTGTCTATTTTCTTTTTTCTTCCCCTGAGAGAGTCGAGAGAGTCGAGAGAGAGAGAGGGTGGGATTCGGTGCAGCGAGGTTATCGTGTCATCTCTTGTGTATTCAATAGAGCCGAAAGTTGCTATTGTTCACGCGTATTTATCCATCTCCTTAAAAGGCATTCGCTTGCTCGCGAGTTTTTTCACAAAGAATATGCATTGAGTTCTAATGTGCTATGCTTTTACGAGGTGTCTGATTTTTACGCTGTTGCCAGGCCGAACCGACATGTCGTGGGACGGACAGGCTAGCCGGGCCTAATGTCCGACTACGAGCCTTTTAACTACAATAATGTGAATATAGGTCAGATTTTACGTGCCAACTGGCAGTCTTATACTATAAATTCATTTATCCCCTGAATTACACAATCGACACTCCTTACACGTTATAACACGTATAAACTACCAATATGGGTAGAGTAGGGGATAACTTAAGTTACAGTACAATACAGTAGTATTAGCATATGGTGCACTTCTTCTGACTCTATTCCGGTCTTGTTACTGGAAGTAAGCTTCTATTTTTTAAAATAGGAGTATTCGTAGGCAAAGAGCCGCTCTTATACAAATATGACGCTATCCATCTATTATAGACTCGCCTAAGGACTTGCCTAGCTGTATCAGAGTCTTTTCGTATAGTTTCCCTACGTTCAACCGTAATTCTTCGTCTTCTCCGTCCTCATCTTCCTCGTCGACCTGTCCATCCGGGTCACCTATGTCATGCTCCGTGTAGGGGGCTATTTGTGTGGTTGATGGAGTAGGGACGGCGGCGGCGGTAGTATCCGGAGTACTGCCATTAATCTTTGGCGGCGCTTCATCCTCTATTTCATCGTCGTCGTCGTCGTCGTCGTCGTCTAATATGAAATGAAACTTCTCTCCAGGACGTCTTGGTACGAATCCGTCTACTTCCGGGACTGGACTCCGGTTTCCTGGCGCCGCGTCGTCGAGTTGAATATCTGAGTCCTCTTCTTTGATTTTAATCCGTCTAAATTCCTCGAGCCCCTCGTCACTTATATCTTTAAATTTCCGTTTAGCAGCAGTATGATCCAACTGGTCCTTGTCCTCCAAGTCTGATTCGTCGTCAAAGTCCATGATATCCTCAGATTTTACCCTGGCATCACCGTCGTCGGAGTTCTCATCCAGAACAGGAGTTTGTATGAACCCTGTAGAAAGCGACACGCTAACATTTCGCCTTACAGGGGATTGCGCTATTCCATCGCCGTCATCGTCTGCAAATTTCTCCACGTCCGGCTCGTCACTCATAATCATGGAGACCAGCATGCGGGTTTCGTCGGTTAGGCTCTTGCAGCGCACCATATCTGTTCTTGTGAATCCTATCCCGTTGCCTTGGAATCCTGGAAGTGGGTCTCCCGACTTGAGGTCGCGGCCGATAATAAGGCTTGCAAAACAGTGATCTAGCTTTTTAAGAAGACTGAATGTAGGGCGCGGCGATGGCAGGAAGGATGGTAGATAGGTATTAAAGGCGAGCGCGACGTTTAAAAGGTATGGTATCTGCAGGCTAGCTGGGGATCTAGTCAGTTGTCGCTTTTCTTTTCCCGTGTATCATCATATAGGAACACAACGTACGGGTCCCGGAGAACCAGAGCACGTCGACGACCTCCTCAAGGTCCTTGCATACTTCGTCCATGCTCTCGTATCCGGTCACCTCGTCGGCAGGGTCAGGAATGCCGTGCTTCTTCACATATCGGCGCGAGATGTGCATTAACCGGTCGGAGACGTAATTCCTGGCATAGTCTTCCTTCTTCGAGCCTCGCACGAGCGGCTTCGATCGCGGGTGCGGTAGACGCGCAGCTGCCCGACTCGACGCAGTACTAGGAGCTGGCGAGGGTAAGGAGGTAACGCCGTCCGGAAGAAACCCACCAGCGTTGGCAAATCTTGGTGTTTCAACCATTCTCGAGTATTGAATTGATGAAAAAGGTAGATTGTAAACTGAAATGGTTGTGCATGAGGACGTGTGGATTGTTTGGTATTTCGTATAGATAAAAGAGGAAAGGAAAGAAGGGGACCACAAGCTCTAGGTACTTAAGCTTAGGTGATTGCCTTCAGCTCAGCCTTGTGACGCCATTGACCTGTCAGTTGCGCACGCCACAAATCGCCCCACAGAACCGGGGCACATGCGCACAAAGCATCGGGTTGGTCCCACAATCCCCACTCAGAGTGGCTCGAGCTTTCCGGGCTTTATTCAGCCTTGAATCTTCCCCAGATCTTTTTTTTTTCTTGTGCTCTGATAATAGACAATTCGGATATCGATTCAAACCCCCACCATTCTCATTTTCTGAACGAAACACAGCAAACAGAGCTTACGAACAACTCACAATCATGCCGCCAAAGAGAGTCGGTGGAGGACGCTCCAACAAGGGATTCCTTAGCTCTACCTATGAGACCATCACCTCTCCCGAGAACGCATCCGTCGTGCGGAGCGTAGCAATATTTGGTGTATGTCTTCCTAGGCCATCGCTCCATATTGCTAGTCTCACTCAATAAACGATACGTATAGGCTGCGGTAGCTTTTCTAGCTAGTCCTTGGAGCGAGTACCTTCTCCCACCGTAAGATATCTACGCATCCAACAGAGGCACTCTTATAGAGCATTAACCTTTCGATCAGGGTATGAGATCCACGTTCGACAGAGAATATGACAAAACATTGCGTCGCAGACGGTGTACTATACAAGGCTAGAAGTGCCAATGTACCATAGGGTGATGGGTTGGTAAATGGAACACATGGATTGCATCGAGTTGCATCGAGTTGCATCTGATCGGTTATCGGTGGGTCGTTATGAAGACAGGTCCGGAGGAACAGCCACCTCTTGACGTATTATACGACGAATAAATCCCCATGCTCTTACTACAAGCCGACGATCATCAAGAATGATTCAGTGATGCGAATGTTCCAATCGGGAACTAGACGAAGCTGGTGGTTACTTACCTACCTAGTTGCGTATGGATGCTATTTCGGGTCGATTCGTCGATTCATTACAAGAACCCCACGAATTTAGCAGGAGTAACATCAGTCTTGAAGAAAGATCGAGTTTCTGTGATTACCTAGGTAGGTCCATTATCACTTTATCATCTTCAACGAATATGCCCATGTCCATGTCCTGTTTTCTAGTTTTTTATCCTCTTTATTCTCTACCAACTTAGACAAGTTATCCCCAGCCAACATGCCGAACTATTATGAATATATCCCTGAACCCGTTGATTTCTTCGCGGAGGCAGCAGCTACGGAATGTATCAAGGAGGGTCAAATTCGCGCGTGCTTCTCCTTATTATTTCTCATAGGGGACATTTTATCGGACCAAGATGTGAAGAATGATTATGTGGTCGAATTCTTGACGCTTATGACGTGGTTTCGAAAACGAAGTAGGCATCAATTCTCCATGCAATACATTCTATTCCAAAACATCATCCTCAATATGATATTTGCGCCAAATGATACCCCGAACCCAACTGCTTTGGACCCTATTCCTCTTCTACTTCGATTAGCTGTCGACACCAAAGTTCGAGATCCAACGCTCGGCACTGTACGACCGTTCGGTCGACGTGATCTTATGGTTGGCCTTATGTATACATATTGTAAGTAGTACTACCACACACACGGTTCCGTCAAACTTACATGGCAATGCTTCTTTTCAGCCAACGCCAACACCTGTTCGTCCATATGAGTCGATAAACTATAACTTCCAATTTCATGTCTTCGCATCCACCTTATATCACTATGGGGTACTCAGAAAGCCGGAATTCTTCGTACGCGCCATGGTCGATGCATTAGAGCGTAGATACAGAGATGCCAGTCGTCTCCTATTAACCCTCGACGCCGTCCACTGGTGGGTCATGAACTTCGGCTTCCGGTTATTTAAACAAAATTCGAATAAGAGATGGGTCATTACGAGACTTGTGCGGCCCGGAAGTTTGTATGAGGAACACGTAATTCGGACGTTTGGCGGGAGCCGCCTACGGGGTTGGTTGACGGTTCACCGCTGGCGGTACTGGAAACGACGGCTCGAGGAATCGATGATTGACGTTGTGGATATAGAGACCAACTATCTGCTGAGCGGCCCGAACAACATCGCCCGGCAGGCTGCCGAGAAGATAGGCCGGATACTGTTGAAAAATGGTTACGAGGTCTAAGGAGAAGAGAGGCTTCAAGAGGTGATTTACCGGCGAAAAGATTACTAATTACACGCATGGCTACCTGGTACAGCTGAGCAGCCGATGACAAGTACGCATATCAGATACCGTTTGTTTTGGTTATGAAGCGGCTTGGATAGTTATTCATTGTTATGGAATAGCGATTTTGACATTCATCCTAAGGCCAGTCCTGAAAAGGGGAGACATGAAATCTCATCTTCTCATTCAATCAGCTTTCTCCTAGAGTACTGTGAACTCTGAGCTAACTAGATACATACCCGAATCCTATCCAGAACATACTTACGCACCCCCCCTGGGGCACACAAGGTCATTATTATTCTTATAATGGGTAATATGAGATAATATTTCCAAGTTATTCAATCAAGCTCAAGGTGTATACGGAGAATCTCGACCAATGGTATTTTCACTGAAGTCTACTATCTATAGGGAAATAAATATGAGTAGGTATTTTTGTCCTATTCCCGGGAATTCGGGTTGGAGGCGCTAATGGAGTTGTCTTGGATATAGTGGTAAAGGGGTTTAATACGCCCGTCTAAAGACCCCAGCACTTTTCATCTTACTCCCTGGATTTGACGTAGGTATAGTTACCACTATATACCATCATATGCTGTTACCCTGCACAGTAACATCGAGCTTGGTCAGCCCTAATTGGTTGGGCAGGCTAGGGGCTCGGGCGCTTCACCGCTACAACAGCATAGCGATATGTGACATTATACACGAAAGGATTCAACTAGAGCTTCAACTAGAAGTTTTTGCATATCAGCTAAGTTCAGAAAGTACATAGCTTCGCCGGCCCGAACCCGAATATATGTACGGACGGGTCCTCGGGTCAGGGGGCTTACATAAATAAAACGTGCACCAACGGTTGCGGTGATTACTGAAGCAATCAGCAAAGCCGCATAGCGTGACAGGGTGATTCGCATTTGCGTTTCCACCCTCTTCCTTTTCTGGATCAGAGCCGCATCTCTTACACACACCCCCAGAAACGGTCCGCCTTTCATTTCTGATTCCTTTTTTTCCAAGATCTACCATAGCTCAATGAAGATCCCCCCTGACCCCCTGAGCAAAGACTTCCCCCGTCGGTCTCGATAATAGACTGACCGCTCCCGCAATGCCTGCCAAATGACACGTGCTTCGTGCATGGGCTCGCAGGGTTCGAGCTCGACGGCTGGTCTGATCTATCCCTGCTCCCGAAAGAGCCATAATGTACGAGGTGCATGAGCTATGCCCTTACGTCCAACCTCTAAACAGCGCGCTTGCCACGCGCCATCGGTGTCACAGGGAATAGGACCACTACTACGATTAACGCTCCCCGGTAGAGGGACCGTGCAATACCTACCCCAACAGTTCGGTTCGAATTTAAACGAAACATGGAGGTGGGTAGCACCATCCACATATAAGGCGTCCACAGGTACGCACATAGCACATAGTTACACCAACGGCCATCCCCTCCGACTTGGATAGAGACTGTCGACGAATTCTCTATATAGTATAAACCTTCTTCCACTCCACCAAGGATGGCAGATCCAAAACCCTTGAAAGATAAAGTCGTCCTCGTGACGGGAGCGGCCCAGGGCCTCGGCGAGGTAATCTCCAAGTACGTCGCCGCGCGAGGCGCGATCCTCTCCCTCGCAGATCTGCAGAAAGACAAACTCGACGAGGCGGCGGAGCGCATCAAAGCGCTGTATCCCGACGTCCAGATCCTGACGTGGGCCGTGGACATCACGGATCCGAAGAGCGTGGAGGAGTGGGTCGCCGCGACGAAGGAGAAGTTCGGGCGGGTCAACGGCTGCGTTAACAATGCCGGTAAGTGAGCTTCTCATAGTTACCCTATTTCTCCCTTACCCCCCCTCTCCTACGTATATCGGTATTAACAATCCGAAAACAGGTATCATAGGCAAAGACGCGGGTCCCATAACAGACCTCAGCCTCGAGGAGTGGAAGAGCGTGATCGACGTGAACCTGACGGGGCTGTTCACGTGCCTCAAGTACCAGCTGCGCGCCATCGCCGACGACGGCAGCATCGTCAACATGTCGAGCGTCGCCGGCCTGCGCGGCTCGCCCTTCTACCCGGCCTACGCCGCTTCGAAACACGGCGTCGTGGGCCTGACCAAGGTCGCCGCTGCCCAGTCCGCCCACCGCGGCGTCCGCGTTAATGTCGTGTGTCCGTGAGTATCCCATCCTCCCCAATCTATCCACCGTTCGATCGTGAAACCCCAGAGTCGGCCTGACCCTGTCCTTGAAATTTGTTTTTTTCTCCTTCTCCTTCTCCTGCCGATAAAGTCCGACGACTTACATAACTAACCTCGCACCAGAGCCATCTCGGACACGCCCATGTGGCACCAGCTGCGCGACCAGACCGGCGACCTCCGCGTCGAGGACTTCCCGCAGCTGTTCAAGCGGTACGTGACGCCGGACGAGGTCGCTTCCATGGTCGGGTACCTGCTGTGCGACGAGAGCAAGTTCCTCACGCGGACGGCGTTCCCGGTCGATGGTGGGTATTGTGGTTGATGAGGTCAAAGTAAAGGGAAGAGCCACCTTAGGATCCTCGAATGGGATAAGGGAGCGGGCGCGGGCGGTGTTTAATGAGGCCTTGTTGAAGCCAGGTGTGTGTACGATGTTATGTCGGATATGATTATGTGCTTTTCTAGCGATTAGTGCGATCAGCACAAAAGGTCGATACACTGTAAGAAGCTTGACTAGGTAGGTAGGTAGATAGATAGAGTTCCTATCATGCAGCTAATGACTAACGTTGCATATGTCTAAATATGGATGGGAGCGTTTAGTAATGGGGAGACAAGTCTACCAGCTATACCTAATATACGTCCCGAGGTTACATACATAACCCTTTAGATACCACATCGTGACGAGGTGGTGATCAGTTTGGTGTTGTAAGAAGGGGCAATCGCGTCATGTTAAGAAAAGGGATTGGAATTTCCAAATTCATGCTAGTATTCCAAGTTCGCAATTTCGTCTATTATCTATGGTCTTTGAGATGGATTCGTTATGGATGATTGAAGTTACTTTTGCTCTGCGCCAATATGCATGCTTTCCCGTTAATTTTAAGCTACCTTTTGAGTTCCCCTTCTCCTCTCTTTGATAATTCTTTATTTTGGCGGCGAGGTTAGTTTTCAACCTCGGTTTCCGAGTCATCATCGTCGATTCTCTTGCTGTTGGGTGGCGGCAGGTATGCCAGGAATAGAATAATGAAGCCAAACACAGCAAATCCCTGGTTTTACCTACATTAGCAAATATAAAACTGTACGGAGAGGACTGTTGACATACTGCGTTGCAGAAAAATGTTAAGCTTGGTGTTCCGGCTTCAGTAAAAGCGGCAAAGATCATGCCGAACAGTCCCTGGGTTAACAAACTAGCCGTGCTTTCTACCAAAGTGATGGCACTAATTGCGTCCTGTCGTTTGTCCGGTGGACACAATTCGGTCATGACTCCCTTCGCAGCCGGCGCTGATCCTGAAGCGAATGGCAATAGAAAACCAGCTATGGATGTCAATCAATAGCGGTTAAAAGGCTAGAATTTCGGGATATCTTACCTAAGTATACCTGCCATCCATCCGTAGAAAACCCAGCGAAGAAAGTCACCATGGAGTCAACTACGAGACTCCATCTAACGAAGAAAAGATCAAAACCTGTTCCAGAATCCTCTTCATCCGGATCGGGTGCTTGGACCGGTTCTTGTGGAACTTCCCCGCCCTCGACGGCTTCGAAGTCTTCTGGGTTAACAGGAATATGGCATTCCTGTTCCGACTCCCCGTGTTCCGCATGTGCCGGCTTGCCGTTAAACCATATTCTGCCGGAAGATATAATTTTGGGAAACATGAGCAGCAGAAAAATACCACGGATGGCCGAGTTTCCGAACATGAGATAACCGTTCTCGGTCGTGCCGAAATTGAATTCGGATGTGCCGTACATCTGTAAAAGAATAGGGGCGTACCCGGAAGCAAACTGAATTATAGTGAGAAGCTAGTTCGAGGGGATGTTGATAATAGGGTTACTGGGAACTGTCACTTACTACACCGAGGAATATTCCTAGGGCGAGAAAGATCAAACTGTAATTGTTGACGATCTTTCCCGACTCTAGGCGGTATTTATGAGGAACGATGATTTTAATAGGCGCGAAGAAAGCGCTGATGCCCCGAGCGCTCTGTTTTTGGGTCTGGGGTTTACCATTGCCGCCATTCGGCAAGAAGATTGCCCCGTATATCGTACAAGCGACATATAAGAAAAATGCCGTCTCAAAAGGACGTCTGATATTATAGACATCGCCAAGAACACCTCCAACTGTAAAATTGTTAGTCGAGTGCTGAAATATTAGGCATTAAACAGACATACGAAGGAATCCAAATGCAGTCCCTAACATGATCGATCCCTGTAAGCGTCCAAAGACGGCCGTACGGTCCTTAGGCGCGACCAATTCACTGACCGCAGTATTGAGAACTAGCCTTCATCAATCAAGTCAGTAAGTATTATTGGGACAAGACTATGGGGGAGCGGTAGTGACTTACTGATAACCACGTGGACCCCCTATTATACCAATGGCTTGGCATGCCTGAAAGATGATCTCACCCTTCCGGCCACCAATTGTCACACCAAGAACTTGCGTCGAAACTCTCAATCCTAACAAGGCGGTTTGCGAAACGAAGGCCCACCGAGGTCCCCAGATCTTGATGAAATAACCACATACGAATAGGTTGAAAACTCCGCTGAATGAAGTTGACATTCCTAGAATAGAAACCTGCTGAGCTGTTCCCGCCGTGATCTGGCGGTTATGGCAACGATCTCCTAGGCCTTCAAGTGGAGGATTATGACTGTAGAAAATATCGCATTCCATAAGACGGAAGACATAGATGATCTTGATCACCCAATTAGCGCCGTGATATGGACTCAATTGGATGTTGGAGGCTTACCGGGACTTGGGTAATGCCAAGAGTGAAAGCCATCAAGAAGCCGGCAAGGAGGATACGATTGGCGGGCCCGAATATGACGGCATCGGCGGTCTTAGTGACCTTGGTTGACTTCGGAGTAGTGGCTCCATTTCGTCCATCTTGACCATTTTGGAGTAACGGACTTGTCTCATCGGCTGCCATGACTGGGTAACGAATTCAACGATTTGGTTGAAAACGTGAGAAAATGAAGGAAGAAGGGATTGCGATGGAAGTCCGAAAAGGTTTCTAAGGTTGCTTGACTGCGCATAGCAGCTGCAGTTACTTACCAACGGCTACCGGGGTCTTACATGTACACTACTAGACTTACAAACATGTTACATGGATTTCCTTGTCCAATGGCAATGGCTTCCGCTTCGGCCCCTCTGCTATTTAGCGGTAGAGCTGATAGCACTTGCTAAACTCGAGCCGCCGAAACCTGCCCGATAGTTTGCCCCTCTGTGGGTAATCGCATCGGCAGTGTCCCGATTACTCGATATGTAATCACCCCGCCTCCATTTGTGACACTGATAAGAGAGATAATCGGGAATATCCAATCAAAATATGGGGAAACGCAGTGGAATGCGAATAGAAACTAAGTCCTTTCGTAGAAAACATCATGCCGCGACACTTCGACTTGCCTTCTTATAAGTTGAAGAGTGATGAAAAGAAACACCACAATTGAGGTCACTAGACTAGGACGGTATATTGTTACTCATGTTGCTAATTGCTGCTGTACGTAGTATGCATTACTTTTGCGGAGTTACATAAGCGAAGTTAGGATGATTATCGGGCTACTAACCTGCGTCCGACGTGCTTTCCTTATTTGGTATCCGATGAAGCGACGAGACCGAGAGCTTTGCTTTAACGTTATGATCTCCGGGATATCTACGGGTCATTCTTTGATAACGTTGGGATCTGCCTGCAACGAAGTAGAGATAGCTTTTCCATATATAATCCAATTCATCTTATCCTTTCGTTGCCCCGCGTGCGTGTATCTACACAGCTATTGTCGGCAACCCCAACCCTAACCCCAGCTCACCTCACGATCTCTTTCATGGAGGGGTATACGTAAGGGGCGCGAAGCCAAGAAATTCTCGTAACTGAGACATTGACGCTCTGATATTATACAAGTTGCGATAAGCCCGATTGGGATCAAGGATGTCATGCTAGGAAGAGAATTCACCGAATGACATAGACATTTAAAGAGACGGTCTAATAAACATCATGACGATACTCAATTATGAAATTGCGCGACACTCTCGACTGTTTGTACTAGAGGACGGGTACGGGGCGCCTGCAGTAGTAAGCCGTATAGTAGACATGCAATGCATATTTCGGTAGCTAAATCTACAAGAGCCGAAGGCCGCAGCATTCATCCGGTAACCGGCGAAACTATATGGGAGTAACACCAGATACGATATAAGTAAGTTCTCGCGGGCGTGTAGACTTAATCTGTTTAACTATTCTACATACCTGGAATTCTCTTTGTCTTGGAGACTGATCTTTGTCAGCGAGATTAGACCACACGTCAACCTTAATCGTCGGACATAAGAAAGCAAAATCGGATTTCCCCAGTCGCGTAGCTGCCACAGCTATCTTGATCAGAGAAATCTGAGCGACGGACTGGATAGTGATTATGGCTGTGAATAAAGGGGATGAAGACCAAACCGAGAAGCCGGCCGTTGGCCCAGAAACAGAAGACCTTTCTACGACGGGTCAAGGAAACGTCGATACATCGGTGATAACTCCTGAAGATCCGAAAGAGACCAGCTGGCTGGCCAAGATAACGACGGTGTTGAGTTGGATGCCGCAACGCTGTCGTTATGATCCGGAGAACCCGCCTAGTTTCACCTTGTCGATGAACATTCTACTCGCCTTTGTATGGTCACAGCCAATAGTACCCATTTCTCCATTACACCTGAGCTAACTTGCGGCAGAGTGGGACATTTACTGTTGCGAATCTTTACTATGCTCAACCTATCCTGAATGTCTTGGCCGAGGAGTTCCATGTCAGCTACGAACGGGCATCCGACATTGCAACTCTGTCTCAGGCTGGATATGCTGTTGGCCTACTTTTCCTATGCCCCCTAGCAGACATGGTACCTCGGCGACCTTTCATCTTATTCCTCATATGGGCCACGGCGACCGCTGTATGTGATCAATCATTCCAATATTTCGCATGAAGTTAATGTCAAACAGTGGATTGGATTGTGTCTCACGAAAAGTTTCGAAGTCTTCATCAGTTTGTCATTCCTTTGTGGAGTTGGGTGCGTATTCGCCTTTAGCCCCTTTACTAAGTTGTCTATGATAACTAGTTCCGTCTCCTTTTCTATGTCTAATGATACCACAGAACGGTAACACCGCAACTCATGCTGCCGCTCGTCGGCGACTTAGCACCGGCTCACCGCCGCGCTAGTTCGCTCTCTGTCGTTGTATCGGGGTTAGCACTTGGCCTGCTGATTGCCAGGGTGCTATCAGGCATAGTGGCCAATTACACATCTTGGAGAAACATCTACTGGTTAGCATTTGGAGCCCAGTACTTGACGCTAATTCTGCTCTTCTTCTTTCTCCCGGATTATCCCACGAAGAATAAGGGCCTCAACTATTTCAAAGTTCTCTGGGGAATGGCGGTTATGGTCGTTACAGAACCTCTGCTTACCCAGGCTTGTATCATCGGGTTTCTTCTAAGCGCCACGTTCACTTCTTTCTGGACTACTCTGACGTTCCTCCTCGCGTCGCCGCCGTATGATTATTCCTCACTCGAAATCGGATGTTTCGCCTTCATTGGGATTGTGGTCGTCGCTCTTGCACCAGTCTGGTCACGCCTTATCACTGACCGATTTGTCTTCCTCTTCTCAGTTGTGCTCGGTCTCGCATTCGAATTCGTGGGTATCGTGATATCTACATTCATCGGAAGCTTCTCGGTAGCGGGGCCTATAATCCATGCCATCATGATGGATTCTGGGACTAATTTTTCGCATACCGCTAACCGGAGTAACGTTTATAACCTGGATCCGAAAGCTAGGAATAGAATAAATACGGTCTATATGGTTTTCGCCTTCGGGGGTCAAATAATGGGTACTGCTGTAGGAAATCGACTCTATGCGCAAGGAGGCTGGGTTTGGAGCGGAATTTCTAATATCGCCTTCATCGGCGTGGCCATCATTGTGGGCATAATTAGGGGGCCAAGAGAGACTGGCTGGATAGGTTGGTCTAAAGGTTGGAATATAAGGAAAGATGACTCCCCAAAGACAGAAACGAGGCCTCCAGCAAACAATGATATTGAAAGAGCCCTTTCTTCATCGAATAGTCCAAGAGAGGAGAGCCATCCGGAGGGGCCTCCGTCATCAAAATAGTCCAGGTCCTTTCTATGAGTTATATAAGCATGTTACGTGATTAACACTCTAAGTAGTGTAAAAAGATACGAGCTAACTTTAGAATTTCTTACAACTTATTTATCTAGACACTTATGATAGCTCGACCTAATAATGAATCAAGATTGTCTAATTTCTTACATGGAATCTCCCGCCTTTTAAGTTTTTATTGCTCTAAGCTACTTAGAAAACCTAAGCAGTGACTTCATTCAAGCTATCACAAAGATCACATATAATACTTGATAAAAAGAAGAAACAAGAATTTCCCACTAGTGCATTGAATCCATTCAAGAGGGATAGGGTCACTGCTGGGTATTGGTATCCACCCTAAATATATGTTTAACTAGGTAAGTACCTGAGAGCAAACCCCTTATTGCGGCGACTGTAACCAATGTCGTGCGTGACAGTTAACTGTTCGACTTCGGAGTAACCCCTAATTACTATTCCTGCGGTCATGTGAAATGATTCCTTCTCAGCCACCCCCTTCATGCCACTGATCTTCTCACATCACCATACAGCTTCCCCAGTCAATCCGACCACCGTCCTGCGCTGAAGTCCATTGCAACTTGGGGGTATCAACTGCGTTGATTGCTGAATTCATTGTATTATCTAAGTTGTGACTGATTTTGTTGCGTGTTGAGTCGAGAGACTTGTTGGATTTTCTGTTTAACTTTCTTACGTTGGATCTTAGGGATGCTAGCAGTAAGCAGCAGTTCCAGGTCTTTAAATATTGTCCGAATGCCTTTGTTAAGGCTCGGACGCCGTAGAGAAGAAGTGAAATGCGAAGTGGGGATAAAGACCCCTTTAGTCCTCTTGAATTTTCATTATGCGCAACCCAAGTCACGGGCCTATAGTCAACCATGTAACCTATGATTGGGTGATGTTCTGCTTTGACTTGAAAACGCCTGTCTTAGCAAGTCATGCTTGATAGCTATCATAGCTGTTGTGTAACTTCTTGAGCATGCCTCCTGTCATATATTTATAGTTTAGCTGGTGTCATGTTTTCAAGGTTATCATCTTTTATCTCTTAAACAAAACCTTCTATGTTATACTCCGTGGACCAGTAAGTTTATAAAATTTAGTGCAGCACTTTTGGTGACCCGGCAATTTGAATTCGTTTCACAAAGTGTCACTTTCTATCCCAACTGTAGTGTACTTGTTATTTTACAGCAGCAAGCCTGAGAGGATTTTTGCTTCAAAATGCTCCTAAGGGCTCTTTTTATGCCTTTAGCATTGTTTCCACATTTGTGCCTGACCCAAGACTTTCTCGCACCAGTTGTCGACCTTGACTATGCCTTGTATCAGGGGTACTACAATACTACATACGATCTGAATATCTACAAAGGGTATGACCAATGAAACTTTGAAACAACCAAGATTATTATTCTGATCATTGTCTAGGATAAGATATGCTGCTCCTCCCATCGGGAAGTTAAGATGGCAATTACCGCAACCACCGGCACAAAATCGTAGCCAGGTGATTCCCGCTATTGAATATGCATCACGATGTCCACAGTCTGGGTGCGCGCCGAGGTGTGTTTAGCAGTATTTTTGTCTACCAAATATTCTAATCAAAGAAGACAAATGACACCAGTTCCATCGGGCTCTGAAGATTGCCTATTCCTGAACGTCCTGGCACCCGCAAATAAGACCATGCTACCGGTTCTAGTCTGGATTCGTAAGTTCATCTATATCCTTATTCCGAGTTCGGGTTCTAAGTAGCGCAACTCAGACGGTGGTGGATACGGGGTATCGAGCGGCGCGTTCGAGCCGTCACCACAGATGCATACAAATGAGAATACGTATATCATTGTGACTATCCAATACCGGTTAGGCGCCTTTGGCTTTCTATCATCTGCTGAGCTTGCCGAGTCGGGGGTACCCAACGCGGGAATCCACGATATGCAATTTGCGCTGCAGTGGGTTCAAAAATACATCCACCTCTTTGGCGGCGATCCGACACAAGTGACTATAGCCGGGCAATCAGCTGGAGGTGGTAGCGTTGCGCTGCTTGGTATGGCAGATGGTGGCGTTGACAATACTACTTTGTTCAACGGCCTTATTGCCTCAAGCCCCTATTTGCCTACGCAGTGGTAAGTTCAACTTTTCGCATTCGGTTGGATATCGTTAATCGATATCTTAGGGAGTACAATAGCACGATGCCAACCAACTATTATTACCGTTTTGCAGAAGCTGCGGGTTGCCTGCCAGACGATAGCAAACCTGACGGATCTGTCTTTCAATGTTTGACTGAGGCAGACACTATCGAACTTCAAGAAGCTAGTGACTATATCAGCACGACAGGACTTTATGGCCAATGGGCGTTCATTCCTGTGACAGACGGGAAACTTCTGCGAGGACGTCCATCTAGCCAATTACTAAATGACGGAGAACTCAATGGTATCCGCATTCTATCATCCAACAACCCAAATGAAGCTCCAGGCTTTATTCCTCAGGGTATCGACAACGAGGATCGATTTAGAGGGTTTCTCTTCGGTAATTATCCGCTATTAAGCGAGGAAAACATTACCAGCATCCTTACCGTCTACTTCGTTCCGGAGAATAGCTCAAGTATACTAGTCAACTCCGACGGCGAGCATCCGCCATACTCTATGACGAATTCGGGATGGGCCTCTGGCTGGCAACAAGCAGCTACGAACCTCTACGCGGAGACGACCTTCATTTGCCCCTCGTATTGGCTAGCCGACGGCTACGCGAGGAAACAAGATGGAAAAGCATGGCATTACCAATTCTCCGTTCCACCTGGGCAACACGGTCTCGACCAAACGGCGTTACGCTCGGATATAGATGTTATGGGCACAGGAATGGATGAGGTGTTCCGTACCGCCATTCAACAGATCTGGGGCAACTTCATAGTGAGGGGAGACCCGGCGCTCAGTAAGTCGCAGACACGTGCCCTACATCATGGAAATATCACGGCAGTTAGTGATGGAAAATGGCCGGAATGGAAAGGGGAGCCAGGCCACGACTGGATGGTGAATTTGAACATGACCGGCGGTGTACCAACCTCAACGACTTTTAATCTTGATGGAACGTCGGTCCAGGTCATTAGCTATGTGCCTGGTAATAGTACCTCATCGCAGCCCTTAGAAGCAATATTTAAGGTGGTCGAAGGTAGTTCTTGGGAGGGCGGAAGAGGCGAAAGGTGTCGATTATGGGCAGATCTAGGACCTTGGATCATGGCGTGATAGCTCCCAGTTTCTGAAGGTTGCTTAATTATGTACCACTCGACGAATATTCCATTAATTAGGTAATTAAGACGATCTTAGGTATAATTGACCCAGCCATCTAACTATAATATCCGTAATTCATTGCCTCGATGTCATGATAGATAAAACAACATACAGGATATAAGAAAAGGGGTTGTCTTCTATATCACACTAATCTTGTTTGAGGCATGATGCATAATTGCCTACATCCTTTAACATCAATATTTGGGACGACAACTTATCAAGTCTAGTTTCTTTCGGAATGGAGAAGCCGCTCGACGCGCGTAACTTCTCTAGAGATACTAGTTGATCTTCCACTAGGATAAGTGATATGATGTTATATCATATAGAAATTGAAATGTATTATGTAAAATAGATAATGTTCGCTGACGATAAAACAAGAAAATACGTTACTTTCGTAACCTCGAGATAAGCATATATCCATATTAGGCAGGTGGATAGATGATCGATAACTGTATTAATAGACTTAATTGCATGTTATTAAGACACACTAGAATTCCAACTTAACACTACGGATTTGACAATCCGAGCACTCAGATATCGAGTCGAGATATCAGGTCGAATATGACCTACGTACTACTGTCCAGTCCGATTGAATCTCTTGGCTTTAAATATTATATCAAGCATCGCTTTTCTCCGAACAGATTAGATAAGTTCCCAGGTACATAGTAGTCAGGCTGCCAGACCGAGCTTGCTTACCGAATCGTAAATAAATGCTGGGGGTTAGACCCAGCTTTGATAAGGAATTGGTGTGATGCAAGATAGAATGTTCAGGGCGTACGCAGTAGCGTTCGAGTTGCGCACATAGCTGTAGGCTCGTAACATGGTCGCATTATGGTGATCTTCCCCGGACCCCACTTCAAGCACGAGAGACGGGGGTAATAGGAGATATCGTCTCTTTCTTCGGTGCTGATCCATCGCCACGTGGGATATCGACACGCGATTTTAGGAAATCAAAAAGAATAGCAATAAGAGTTTGGTAAAGCCTTCGAGCATCAAGAGAGAAAAATATGAAATTCAGGGTTGTGGTCGATGGATGATATGAGACACATCTTATATCCGGGTTATCATGGACCGATCAAAAGCGAATGAGACCTCATTCTCACCAGAGTTGCCACTCGGCGTTATTTGGAGATATGCGTTCCTGGGATGGGCGCAAGCCCCAGACGTCACCCACTTTGTCCACGTCCTGCAGGTATCGGGGCTCTTATCTGCCCTATCTCCTCACGCATTAATGTGACATGACAATGATCTATCCTGCGGGGTGAGAGTAAGGGAGGTTCCAGAGCGCGAGCTTGCATATAATCGAGAACGATCCCCATGTATTCGGCGAATTTGTAGATCTTGTCCTGCAGTTGTTCCAAAAATAATCCATCGAGGACCGTTACTAGGTCACAACTCGTGAACAATGACTCAACCATTGGAGATCGTGACTCTTCCGATGGAGGCCAAAGGTCCTCTAGAGATCCCTACGGAATCCGACAAAGAGAAAGATGTGGAGAAGGACCCGGCGAAGGTGATGGACGCGGAGATTAGTGAGAAGAGCAGTGTTGCGGCTGGGGAGATTCAGGATGAGACAAGTACGAATTTACTCCATTTTATCATCGCTCGATGTTTAACATGCTTACCAGTAGACAGTTCCGAATTACAGCGAAGAGGAATACCACAAGCTAAAAAGGAAAGCTGATAGGTACCTGCTTCCGCTCATGTGGCTCTGCTACGGTATCCAACAGACGGATAAGACGTCCATCGGAACACAGGCTACCTTCGGCCTCTCGAAGGACACCGGCTTGCAAGGACAGCAGTACTCGTGGCTCACGACGATATTCTACATCACGTACATGTGTTTCGAATTCCCGTCCAACATTATTCTGCAGCGGTATCTGATGGGACGCACCTTGTCGTGCTACATGCTCTGCTGGGGCGTCGTCGTACTATGCGTCGGGTTCGCGCAGAACTTCACGCAGCTCGTCACCCTGCGCGCGTTGCAGGGATTCTTCGAATGCTGCATTTCGCCCGGCTTCATCCTCGTGGTCGGAAGCTGGTATACCACGCGTGAGCATGCGTCGCGATCGCTAGTCTTCCAGAGTGCCAACGCCGGCTTCGGTGTCATCGCCAACCTAATTCTCTACGGGATCGGCTCGGTCCAGTACAAGCGCGGATCCGAGTTCCAGGCCTGGAGATATATGTCCTACGTACGCTAACCACCCCCTCGACATATGATAGGGGATCATGCTAACGCTCCTATCGGAATAGTTTCTTGGAGGTATGACGATTCTCGTCGGCTGCCTATGTCTTTTCTTGTTAGGGACGCCGTCCGAAGTGCGATGGTTATCACCCGAAGAGAAGAAGATCGCGAACGCGCGCATATTATCGAACAACACGGGCCACGACAAGACTGGCATCAAGAAATGGAAGTGGAAGCAAGCGCGAGAGTGCCTGATCGACCCATGCGTGAGTCACCCTCTTCGTCATCCCTTGAATAAAGGGGGAGAATATCAATTCCGCATAACTAACACAGCCGCCGATTTCGTGTTTAATAGTTCTGGTTTGCCGGTATCAATGCGTTTTTAAATTCCGTGCCTAATGGTGGCATAACTGCCTTCGGCTCTATCATAAATACCAATGCAGGATTCAGTGAGTTGCCGATGGGAATCACCAACTAGGACGTCGAGAACGAAACTAATCATCTATTAGCCAATTTGCAGGTCATCCTCCTTGATATCCCGAAGAATATCACGTCCGTATTGTGGTTCGTCTGCATCGGCATCATCACGAGCAGGAAGAAGAACCTGCGCCTGTAAGTTGTAGTTGCGGTGTGTCTATCTTGAAGAATCGAGGGTGTATTAACTCGGGACATCAGATACTTCATGATGGTGTCAGTCATCCCACCAATAGCTGGCTTCGCTATAATGGCTGCGCTGCCGAACCAGCCTCAGTACAAGTGGACTAAGTGGGCAGGGTGAGTTATCTCAAGAGACAGTCTACACTCTAGGTGAACTTGTGTCAAGAACTCTGCTGACGAAGATCCTGTATGTAACGTTTAGCTACTTCATCACTGTTCCCTGCGTAGTAGCGCTCTTCTTGGCTTGGACATTGATTCCCTCGAACGTCGCTGGCCGCACCAAGCGTACGTTAACCTCATCTTTCACCTTCGTTGGATACTGCGTGGGCAATATGGTCGGGTCCCAGATCTTCAAATCGAAGGATGCGGTACGTCTCTTGATTACTTATACCTCGCCTCCTTTACTTCTACTCCTAGTCGCAAGTTGGGAGTTTGGCTGACAAGACTTCTCAAAGCCGAGGTATATTCCCGGAACTGCTGCTTGCTCGGTATGCTTCGGGTTGGAGTTCTTCTTGCTCGTTGCGTGGCGGGTCATACTCGTCATGAGAAACCGACGACGCGAAAAGCAATTGCTTGAGCAAGGCATCAGTGAAGAGGAGAGGATAGCGAGGGGCAAACAACTTGGAGAACAGGACTGCACTGACTTTGAGAATCCTTATGTAAGTCAATGTCCCCTATTCCTTCCCCTACATTTCATTTTGCCGAGGTTTGATCTGACACTATATGACACGTAGTTCCGATATACGATGTAGCGTTACCAACAAGCGAGTCTAATGATCTTTCGGCTATGTGAGGTAGATATTGATATACCTAGTATTAGACTATTTCGTATGCACAATGAAGATGTTCGAAATGAGAGGTAGATGTAACTGCTTTCGAATAATGTGAGTCGAGAACAAATGGATAGGCTCATAAAACCTTAAGTGATGTTTCTCCTAAAGCTCTCGATGTCCCAACTGGAAATATGTGACATAAGCTTATATATCCGCCTTGTCAGAAACCTCTGTGAGAGCTGATAGCCAGAGGTCTCGCCAGGGTTAGCTAGTAGTCCAGAAGGATCGGGAGTCTGCTTGTAGGAGGCCGCCGTGTTGGCGGTTAGCCCTTTAGCTGTAGACAGAGGAAGGTCTATATATGTATACCGCATCCCCTGGGAAGGAGTAGTTAGAGCTCTTCGCGCAACAACGTCGTTATCCCTTAGTTGTTTAGTCCCGCCTCGTGATACACCTCAGGTTTAAGAGGTAGTAGGTAGATACTAGAGCTTTATGCATGAGGCGACAAGTAAAATAGACAAAATGCCTAAGCAATCCGCGCTGAGGATAATGTCGTTGGCGACATAGAATCAAGATTTTGCGCGAATCAGGTTCATAACAGGCATGGCAGCGTGAAAGGTCAATCATGGTAAAGCAATATTGGAGACCAAAGGTTTGTGTAGAATTGCAAAGCGCGTCCAGCGAGTCAGTATACTAGATCGCGGATCTACCCATCGCACTCGATGGAAGCAAAAAGGGGGTATCTGCAACGAATATTCTTCCAAAGCAGACGAGGCGCCTCAAGGCCGCGCCTTACCTCCTAGGATAGAGATGTAGCAAAAATCACATAACATAAATAGGTATCTCAAGGCTCATCCAAAATTCCGAACCCAGTCTCTGGTAAACGCCAAATTCCATTCCCCATATATACACCCAATTCTATTTTTTCGGTGTATCATATCACGTTACTAGGGCTTTCATCTCAAGACGAGTAGATGGCAACCCACTGAACTTCCATCATGCTGCCGTAGCCATCTAGCGTGAGCTATACGTTAAGAGGTTAGCCTCGGCGGATGCCATGGTTAGATCTGGGCGAGAATTGTACTTACCAGATTAGGAGCACCTGGCCAGTCACCGCCAACGGCAACATTGAGGATAATGTACCTGCAGAACAGTATTAATAAATTTTAAATAGGCACCTATTAGCGAAGCGGGAGCTTACAGAGGGCTGTGGGCCAGAGCCGACCAGGTGGGAGCATCGTTTATATCAGCCCCAGTAACGGTAGAGAAGGTGTTGCCATCCAACGTCCATGAGATGGTCTGCTTCGTCCAGTCGTCGTTGGTGCGATCGATCGTTACACCCCAAACGTGGAAGCCATCGGCAGGCATGGCAGTGCTCTTAGCACGTCCGACAGGCTCATTGCAAGGGCCGCCGACGGAAGTTCCGCAGTGGAGAGTACCGTAACCGGTGAGGAGTCCATCGACCTGTTCCATAATATCTATTTCTCCGGCGGCAGGCCACGAGGTACCGTGGCGCATCGCGTCGCCGAGAGCCCAAAAGGCAGGCCATAGTCCTTGTTTGTTTATTATGGGGTTATCGCCCAATAGAATATTTGCTTGAATCTTGGTGACCTTGCCAGGGGCGGGAGTCCAGGAACCTTGAGACTCAATGCGACCTGAGGTCCAAAGGCCGGCGGGCGACTTCCGCGGAACGAACTGAACGGTACCGCCACCGCTGATCTGGACATTCTGGTTTGAAGTCGTGTATGACTGAACTTCATTGTTGGTGTCGATGGCATCCATGATGTTCCACACATTACTCTTGGGTGAGGCGCCTGCGGAACCCTCGAAGTCCTCAGAGAAGATGATATTCATACCCTGGATGTTCGGAGGAGTGATGGCCGAGACAAGAGCCGGTGCCACACAGGCGAGTAAGCTTTGCTGGAAGCGCATTTTGAAAAGCTGTAGTCGATAGTGACGAATATACTGATGTCAGGTGCGTAATGATAGTAAGTGTAAGTGCCTTGTCCTATAGATCTGAAGATCTCCTGGATAGACGAGGCCAAGCTAAGATGGGAACTGAAGGAATAGCTATCCTGGCTGTGGTAGAAGGAAGCCTGTCTTGCAGGGAGGTGACAGATATATAGTCAAAAAAGAGAGACGAAGTAAATAAGCCGATAGCTAACTGGCTATCAACACGGAAGCAAGAAAAAAAGAGTGTGGTATATAAACTCGGCTAGCAAGAGCGGAAGAAAAAGAGCGTGAAGGCACAATAGTTGGGCACGGAGGGAGAAAGAGACCAACGAGAGAGCTCCGAAGCGGCTCACCTTGAGAGATATATATTAAGAGCCCATAATAGACGACTCGGTTGTGTGGTGGTACCGGGTCAAGGAGTCAGGGGTTCGACTCACGATGGGCTCGAATAGATCCACACGGATCTAAAGAAGATGGTGGCACTGCCTAAAAAGTGGATGACAAAGGAACTTACAAGGCCCTTGAGGCCGTCAAGGGGAGCCAGGGACATCGGACAAAGAGACCTTACTGCATAGTAGACAGGAAGACAACAGGAACCAAAGAAATGGGAACATAATGCACCGCTAGGGTGGAAATTAATTGTGGGAGCTAAGGGTGAAACTGCTGGGGTGTTTAGCTTCATCTCTTGACTGACTTGACAAGATATATGCCTGATATGGTGGGTAGCACCCCAGAGTGGCATTGGGCGCGTTGTTCCTGAATTTCTAAGCCATAACAGGAGGGACAACAGGTCTGCGCATCGTGAGTGGTCAGAATTTCGAGCGCTCGAAAAACGAGACCTGGATTAGTCGAAAAATGCTCCGGGCGTGGCGACCTCTACCTTGATGTTTAAAATGGAACCCAACGAGGTTCTAGTCTAGTCTCTCGGTCAGCATGATCATGACCATGCTAGACAATATAAAGGGAATGCTATGCACGTGTTTATCAAGTTGCGAGTAGCAACTGTACGACTAAGAGCCAAGAATGATGAGTTGGCTGATCTGTTCAACAGTTGGCACGTACGATAGGACAAGTAAGTCCGGAATCCGGATGGGGAATAGATGAATAAGTTCTTGTGAAGCCCGATCGAAGCCAGTCTGCAACGGTCTATAATCCGGCCCTTAAGGTTACTTGCATGTGGTTGAGGGTTGCTATATGTAGTTGGTTGGCTGAGGATGAAGAAGGTGAAGAAGATGAAGGAGTGAAAAAAAGGGAGAGACCTGGAGGGGCGGACGGCGGTCAAGTTGAGTTTAGCGTAGAAACCCCCCTAGTCAGGTACAGGCTTAGTACCTCGGTACCTGAATATGCATGCAAGCTGGCAAGGTCTAGTTCTGTACAGCATAGGCCGATGCTGAGTTGGCAGCTGCAACTACGGCACCCAGAACGCATTAGCGGGCTATGTACCTAACGGTTAGCCAGGATTGATGGTGAAACATGCCCTATTCGTATCTCCTATTTTGTTAAACCTCGCCTAGATAGGCAGATTATGGTGGGGGTTATCGAGTCAACTCAATTCTTCTTTTGATATCCATACCTACCTAGGACCTATTTCTCACCTCACCTACATCGTTTTAACGTAACATATCATTGTTAGTAGGCAATTCGACGAAGTAGCAATAGATAATAACTCTGTTACTGTAGACAGCCTATTGATACACGAATAACCGCGCACAATAGCCAGTATTGTTGTGAATATTGACTGTTCATAGCCGCAGAAGTCGATGTTAAGCGCGCGCACAATAATGCCAATACCCTATTCTTACCCGAACCATCCGAACTATTATATTATACTTTACCGCGCGCTCGTCGCAATACACGCGCTGCCAGCTACTTACCCAGATGCGCTTATAGAGTACCTATGAATGTAGCTGGAGGTAAACGTACGATGGTGGAGCTCGCCAAACTATCAGCCCCCAATCCTAATTCTCCGTAACCGCAGGCTCGGGTTCAACAAACCACACTATATCTCTTAACTGTTGTGGAAGGTGATGAGGTGATAAGAGTGACGAGGTGGAGAAGCTCACTGCTTCTCTCACTGCTTCTGCACTATTCTACTCTGGACAGTTATGTAGTCAGGTCTGAAGTATCACCGACGATCTTTCCAACTTGGAGAAATATCCGTAGACCCAAAAAGAAGAACGGCAGTCCTATCAGATTCTACTAGGTACCTAGGTATGTACCAATTCTCACCACATTAGTCAAAATGCCCAGATGCCGAGCGTGCGGCGGCACGCCACCGTATGCAAGTGCTCGATTCTAGCTGGCGCTCTCCCGTCCAGTGAAATCTTCTTGGCAATCGAACATCTGGCGAATAAAGTTCCCCATCACCATTCAGTTAACATAAAGGTCTGTTTGTGAGAAATCTAGGTTGTCCAGGTTGTCGTCCTATACTCCCTTTATTTTCTTTTTTTCGCTAATGGGGGGCGAGAATAATTCTTCTAATATCTTTTTAAGCTCCGGCTCTCGCGTACCGAGGGCTGAGTGACCATTGGCAAGCAAGGGCTCTTCATGATGTTTCTCATACGAACCTGTCAGCCCTCAGGGGAACCTGTTTCATGTCTTTTTTAGTATTCGGAGCCAGCTTCCTAAATGAGCTTTGACTCCTAGAAGAATTTTATGCCCATATGCATGCGCATCCAGAACGTCGGTGCGCTCGCTGGCTGATAAGAAACTCGGTCAGACTTCCTGGCCTTTCTGCTTTTCTCTCAAATCAGTGTAGAGCCGTAGATAACTAGGTACTTAGGCGAGACTGCTTACTAGTTACCAGTTGTCCACGTTGCGATGCATCCCTTGCCATCCTATGAAACACAACTCATCTTTGGTAACTCACCTTGCTGTAATTTTCTTATTGGTCTAGAATAGACGTTTCTACTCTTCGCTATTCGCACGTCACTAAAATCCCTCATCCCTCATCTCAAACTACATAATAAAAAACCCATCATGATATCTGCGGAAGTACTAGAATGTACACAGGCATTTTTCTGGAGTCGATGGGTTTTGAAGATCACTGCCGTCGTGGTACGCGATCGGACGGAAGATGATACCCCTGAAAGCTGATCCGAGTCAACTTGCTCGGGCGGGTCTTCCGCTGAGCTGGACTACTCCTTGGCACACACTAGCTAAGGCCGTATCTGGGTCTCGCCAGATCTTCAGCGGCTTGCCTTGATCTTGGTCCCATGCTTGCACATTGAATTCTATGCGAACTAGACATATAGATTGGTATCCATTCGCCACAACCATGCTAGAATGGAGATCGTCTTTACCTTTACCTTGGTAACGTGGCAGCGTGGGCGGCGTGGGTTGGAAGTTTCCATCGAAGGCCTTCCCAATAGTAAATACATAACATCAGTCCCGAATTGATGGAACAAGCCCCGTTATTGAGCGACAATGGGAAGATCTTGCGATCTGCGCTCACGGTCGCTTTAGTGAGACCAACCGACCGAACCCCAGGATTCGTCAATCATGATCTGTGAGCATAATTACCTGTTTCCTAGTTTCAGGTCGACATAGCTGGAACTCATCTCCAAAATAATTCTTTAAGTACGAGTTGTGACCCAAGCGCGGGATATCTGAACAACTATTTTCTCTATATATTTGAAACGTGTCATTAATTGCAACCCCAATCTAGCAATATGTAGGCTAATATATTCAGCCATGTGCTCTAGAGACTAATAACCAGTTGTTAAAAAGCATAGTTGTTTATTTCGTGAGCCAAGGTGATGGGCAAATACCGAATTCCAGAACCTAAATTCGCGAGATAGATTGCATTTCATCTACTATTAATATCTGCTTCGCTCCAACGAGCATTTAACGAACGGGATCCTACCCCTTATATTATCTCGCCTGTGATTTTCTGAGCGAGCGATATTCGCTGGACCACGACCTTGACCACCCAATCTGATTCGCTCTAGAATATCTAATCACTTGAAAAGCAATCGGATCATGGATGTTAACAAAAAGTATGATGCCAATCGAAGACGGACGAAAGAAGCAAATCACCTCAAAAACTTCGCCCTTCTTATTTTCATAACATCGGTACCTAGGTAGTACCTATCTACCTATGTAGGTAACTTGGAGATGCGTGGACAGCCTTACCCCTGACCCCTGATTACATAATGTGCCCTGAGTTTCCCTAGGTGCTTACCTAGGTACTCATAGGCGACAATCAACTGCAAGACAATACGGTCGCCTGTAGTTATAAAAGAGATATAACGAGATATGCGCCAGATTTTACGCATTCCGGCTGAAGAGTCTACATCAAAGCGTTAAAGTAGCGCAATATATTTCATATTCTCTATCGTTCCTGCCTACTCCATGCATCTAGGAATCTCGACCATCTCGAACTCCAACTTCGAATCAATAGCGATATGCTTATTTCGACAATATTTCCCCCTTAACATCTACCTATGCGATATAATAGTCTAACATATAGCATTGGTTCGATATATATCCATATGACTTGGACGACAATCGGATTATGAGTGTAATTACAATGCACAAATCATTCTAGGTAGGTAGATAGTCCGTGTGAACCCCTTTCCAGTGTTGAAGGTAAGTACAGATAAGGATATACAATAAGTTGTATTGTAGAATCACGAGAAATAGTATTACTCTCACCATCAGACCTTCCTGATGATAAACCGAGTGCACTTGCGTTACTACTTGTGATATTTGATGAGAAGCCGCCATCGACCACAAGCCCCTGGCTAGACAGTTGATAAGTAAAGCTTGAGAAGCCTCGTTTTAAAAACTGATTAACCAAGAATAGGTACTCATTTCATTCGCGGGTAACATAAAACCATGTGTCATTACTACAACGACAAATATCTCTTCTGTTTCTGATTGCTAGCATTATGAGCAGGTATAATCAACTTTCCGACGGTCGATATGTTTGCAAGTTTCACGGGCTGGTCACCTGCTCTAGTTCTACTTGCGATTCGGACTTCTCCGTCTACAACTATATGATGAAGCTACCAATGAACAGATTTCAGCATGAATTAGAGACTCTAGATCCATGGTTCAGAGCATCTTTAGCACGTGCAATTGAAGCCATCGATCGAGGTAGACCCATTGTTCGCCCGACAAGCGGTACGCCTCCGCCCTCAGACCTAGGTCCACTGTCGATGGATCGGATCACCATCGACCCTCACGATCCAGAGACGCAACTGCTGATACCAAAGCTGTTCTTTCCTCCGTCCTTGACTTCACTTCCGAGCGATCTTTTCGAAAGTACCCCTATTCAAAACGTCAGACGGACTACACGCTTCGTCCACCGTCAAGACCCAAAACAACTCATCGTCTTCGCTGGCGCTATTTGTTTGAGGCAGGTGACTCATTCTCCCCGAACTGGCTGGGCATTTTGGTTTAGGAACAATATCAGCAACTTGAAACCCGCCACCATAGGCAATCACTTGGAGGCCGTGAAGGATGGAAGATCCATGATCCCGAAAACACAAGACCGCGTTGACGTTCGCGTCCTCGTCGCAATTCTGCAATGCCGACGATGGGCAGGCGAGGGCTTTAATACCTTGGTTATTGCCACGTCCTCTGACTACGTTATAAGAGTCATTACAGTGCAGCTGAGAGAATGGTTATCTTCGGATTGGCGACGTCCAAGGCGAGAGCAACTTACTCCGAACCGCGACTTATGGCAAATATTTCTCTCCGAGGTTGACAACTGCAAGTCAGAGGGCTTGGAGGTGAAAATTTGGCAAGTCCCAAAGCCAATAACCGAAATTGTAGATCTGAGGGCTGAACGGGTTGCACTTGGGAGATGAAGGAATGCGGAATGCCGTGATGCCATTGGAATTAAGTCTGATCACACTTACATGGGTACGATGATTCCATACGAGGTTATCACCGATCATTACCCTCTAGGATCTGCGCCTCTCACCTCTCCGCATAATTGCGCAGAGCTGTTGCGATTCGAGTACCGTATATGGCCATTGATAGTTTTATTGGTTAGAAATTCGATAGGTATCCTATTGAGTTGAACAGAGCTGGCCGAGGATGTAACACTGATGCCTCGGAAGGATGCGAGGTGCTGACAGCGCCGTCATTCCTCCCCCATAAAATTAGCCATAAGCTGACTTGCGGCTACTGACTAGGGGTTTTGTGTAATATTAATGAGTAGCTCGTCCCTTTAATTTTTGCAGATATCTGTCACACTCTATTAACTCCGTAGTTCTTGCGTGGTTGGTGACAGCTTCTACAATGTCTTTCTACTCATATTGGACACAATTCTTCCCTCCTCGTGATGGGGCACCGATCACGGAAGCCAATGTGTCTAGACTAGATGGAAAGGTTTTCATCGTGACAGGCGGGTCTTCTGGGATAGGGTACGAGCTCGCACGAGTCTTGTATGGTGCCGGTGGAAAAGTGTATATGCTCACGCGGACGAAGAAGAATGCCGAGGAAGCAATTGACCGCATAAAAGCCCACTATGCCGACAAAGATGCGAAAACAGGAAGCTTGGAGTTCGTGTCGATGGATCTATCAGACTTCAAGAGCGTCAAGGCGGCCGCCCAGCAATTTTTGGACAGCGAAGGACCGGATGGGAGGCTCGATGTCCTGTTTAACAACGCGGGCACTGGCGGTTGGAAGGATGCCCCACCCACTCCTCAAGGGCACGAGTATCATATTACCGCCAATTCGGTCGGGCATTTCCTCCTGGCCCGGCTACTCACGCCCATCCTCAGTCAAACTGCCAAGAAATCCCCCAAGAACACCGTACGAGTGGTATGGGCAGCGTCTATCCTCGTTGAAATGACGAGCCCGATAAGCGGAATAACGAAAGAATTCTTGGAAGACCCATTCTGCGAGAAGCACGCCGGTATATTATATGCGCAGTCGAAGACAGGAAATTGGTTCTTAGCTACCGAATTCGCGCGTCACCAATCCGAATCCGGGCCTTTCGGATCCGATGTCGTCCATATCGGCGGTAACCCGGGTAGCTATAACACCAACATCTGGCGCCACGTCAAGGATCTGATCAAATATTACCTTGTTTATCCTACGCTGCGTGATCCGGTATACGGAGCGTATACGTATATGTGGATGGGCTTCTCGAACGAGGTGACTATGGAGGCAGCCAAAGCTGGAAATTACGCGATATGCGATGGGAGGTGGCATCCCGGACAGAGAGCGGATCTCCTTCTAGCAATAAAGGGGGAAGACGAAGGCGGGTCCGGACGGTCGAAAGAGTTTTTCGACTGGTGTGAGGAGAAAGTGAAGAACTTTATGAATTAAGGGTCAACTATATCCACTTGTGTTTGCTTTCCCGGCTGTAAGATTAGATGCCTAGACATGTTAGATAGGTGGTTATGCATAGCTGTTTATAGAGAGATATTTGGGATTTGAAAATTGGAAAGTATTTGGAATCTTAGGTACCTACCTAATTATACCTGTCAACTTAACTCATGAGATTGACACAGATCTATCAACTCCTTTGAATGCTGATTTCCTACCTAGCTGGCAGGGCCTGCGACGGTAGGGAGCCACGGACTCCACGGACTCCATGGAGTGTAGACGATGAGGGGTTACGTTGCATAGCTTATTAATTATCACGAATGTGATTCACTTTTATTCATCGCCAAATTCGCTTAAGGAACCAGGATGGGTATTTCGTGTGGCCGCTACCGCATATAGGTTAAGAGCCTGCTCTTTTCGTATAAATTCTAATGGGTCGGGGTAGTAGAACTGGGTTACTGTGCCGTAGTTGTCCATACATCAGTCTTCCCTCCAAGAAAAAGTGTCATCGACTCACCTCAAATTATAATAAATATTTGTTCAGAGGCCCAGATAGGTATCTTGAGTTTGAATATTCAACATATTACAATTGCAGTTATGACACAAGAGATCGACAGCTTATATGAAGAGGCCATTGCGTCGGGACTTCTTCCGGGTGTTTCCCTCCTTGCGGGAGATAAGAATGGTAACGACTTCTGCCTTTGTGAGGATGCCTAAGAGCCTTGGGTTGTAGAAGGCGATATCGTGACTTTGAAAATACTTACCTGTCCAATATTGTACTAATATGGGAACTAGGAAACATACTCTATTCCAAATCATTCGGAAAGGCCAGTCTTAAAGAAGGCGATAACCGACCTTTCACTGAGTCGACCATTGCCTCCATCGCTTCGATGAGCAAACTCATGACCGTAGTAGCCGTTCTACAATGCGTCGAAGATGGGATCTTAGACCTAGACAAAGATGTCGCCTCCTTGTGTCCCGGGATTGGAAAATATGGCTTGATCGTCGGCTTCGACGATACCAAGAACAGTGCTATATTTACGCCCAACCCTACACCAATTACACTTCGCATGCTGCTCACTCATACGTCTGGCCACGAGTACGAGTGGAACAACGCCTTACTGCTGAAATGGCGCGCATCGCGCAATGAGCAGCCTTCGAGTGGTTTAACCCTCGAAGAACAAGCAGCTCTTCCGCTTGTGTTCGAGCCAGGCAAGGGATTTGCATATGGTCATGGACTCGATTGGGCGGGTAAAGCAGTTGAATCAGCCACCAACTTGAGCTTGGACGATTTCATGCGCAAACGCATCTGGACGCCTCTAGGGATTGAAAATGATGCTAGTTTTTACCCAAGGGCGAAGGATAGTATGAAAGATAGGATAGCCGACGTTAGTACCTTGGACAAGAATGGAAAACCACCAGCGGTGCATTTCCCGGGCTTCGATATTTCGGGTGGATCGACGGATTGCTTCGGTGGCGCCGGCGTCTACTCGTCGACAAAGGCATATTATACCTTCTTATCCTCGGTGATGCGGCGCGATCCTAAACTCCTAAAGCCTTCGTCATACGAAGAGCTGTTTCGGCCTCAACTCGATGATCGGTGCGAGCAGGCTCTCAACGATGATATCATCTCGTCCCCAATCAAAACACAGTACCTAGGCCTGCAGATTCCGGCATCCATACGCAAGACGTGGAATCTGGCAGGCCTGGTAGCAAAGGAGGCCCAGGAAGGGCGTTTCGCGCAGGGAACGACGCTCTGGGGCGGGTACCCGTGTTGCGAGTGGTTCATCGACCATGAGAGCGGGATATGCGGTGTGGCTATCTGTCAGCTCGTCCCGCCTATGCAGCCGGATGTCATGGCATTACACGAGAAGTTTCAAAGGGCTATGTTTGGCAGAGTCAGGGCAAATTTGTGATGGTATTGAAAACCACTGTATCAACGAATTCGCGACGGGAAAGCCTTGTCAAACAACGGGAACCTACCTAGGTATGTTATGGCGATTCTCAAGACAGGTAGACAGACAGATGAATACTTACCTACCTATTCCTTGGGCTGATGTAAGACAACAGCTCCAATAAAATTAGTAATAGCATGCGAGGCTTTGCTTTTTTGTAACATCATGTTAGCTTTGGAAATATTATACTAGACATATCATACCATTGTCTTGCCCTAGTCAAAGAAGTGTCAAACGTTCTGGTACATCCTGAATTTACCGTCAACTCAAGTTTGGCCTTACATGTAGAGAGTTCCATCTGGTTAGGATCTCAAAACCAACGGCAACTACTTGACTTAGTCATGATGAAGTTTCTCTTAAAACACCACAAGGGGAAGGGAGCGAGACGCGCATTCGTTTGAAGGACTAGCTAGCGAGGATCCGTAAAGCGTTCGGCCGAATTTTTATAATTCCATTAGTAACTTGAAACTAAAGCCTCACAGTACCTAGTACGATATATGTTGGAACCGCGCTATGATACTAAATTAGGAAATAGATTTTGCATGAAGCTTGTGTCGGTGATTGAGTCAGAGAAAGTAGAAGTGGTTTGGTAAGAACGAGGTGACGGGAGACCCATAAAACAAGGGCTGAGAAGTCGAACTCTTATTTGTTAGACTTGGGCCCCCAACCGCGCAAACCCGCTTTTATAAGATTTGGACGAATAGCGCATCGAATACGACCCGGGTAGGTATGTACTATGCAGACTGCAGTAACAACCTTACCCTCCAACCCCTCCAACCCTCGTCTTGTCTTTTTTTTCGCTTTCAGCTCTTCACTTACCGTCGCGTGAAGGCGCCGAACTGACGAAAGACTCCAGCGCTTAAGATGACTTATCGAATTATCAATATGTCGCAAGTTATTTCCCTAGTCATTCCCCCAGAGCCTCTTCGGCTTTACGGAATGGCATATGAAGGTAGCCTACCTACGGTAGTATCGTTGATAGAACCCTCCCCCTCTCTTGTGAGATGTTGGCAGCTCCTTAAAGCTAAGGATATTTCCCTCTCATTCTTGTGGCTTGTTTGCTTCTCTTCTAACCACTTCTGAACGTGGCTTCCCCTCTTCTATACGTCTGTCTGCGTGATAATCTATCTTCCTCTTCCAGACTTACTCCATCCCCAAAGTTAGCAAAAGTTGTAGGAGCAACTGGATAGTTGATCCTTCCCTTTTAATGATAGCCAGCCAAGTCACATATATCTACGTTGTCTTGGCTTTTGGAAACCATGTCGGTAGAATCCTCAGAAACGTCTTCAGAGGCGGGATATCTAAATCAGGATGCTGAAGGCCGTACCGTCATGGCGGAGTTACCTGTGACCATTCCTCCAATCCCTAAGAAACCTAAGCAACAAACTCCCCAGCAAGCCATTGACGACTTCTGGGCTAAGTTTACTACTAAGGCTCCTGGTAAAGGTGTGTCTGAAGCTTCCCTATCCTCGCCAAAAGAGCTTCGGGACTTACTAACACTGTTGTCTTGCCCTTATTAGCAACTACTATTATCCCGCGCAACGAATATGCCGAAAAAGCAGCAAGGCGATCAACCAAGGCTGTTGGTACAAACACACAAACGTCCTACGATGAAGCCGCCGCCGTCTGCAAGGCAAAGGTTGCCAAAATCGTGAAAGAGTGTCGCCGAGTGAACCAGAAATACCGGGATCCTCACTTTGACCTTGAGTCCGACCTGAAATGGGGAAGTCGGGATACGCTTGAGTCACTCTGCAACGTCGAGGAGAAGTCGAGCTCGGACTTCAGGCCGAAGAGCGTCAAGCGCGTGGTCGACATCTTCGATGACCCTAAGTTTTACATCGAGGGTCCCACTGCCAATGATGTCCGGCAGGGCCGTGACGGCGACTGCTGGCTACTCGCTGCTTTGTGTACCCTCAGCAACAAGCCTAGTCTGATTGAGAGGGTGTGCGTAGCTCGCGATGAGCAAGTTGGTGTCTACGGTTTCGTCTTCCACCGCGACGGCGAGTGGATCTCCGAGATTATCGACGACAAGCTGTTTCTCACCAAACCCGACTTTGATGAGAGTTTCCTTGAGCGCATGCTTTGGGAAGACCGCGAGAGGATCAACTCCGAGGAGCAGTATCGAAAGGCTTACCAGAGCGGGTCCGGCGCCTTATACTTTGCGCAATGCGAACACGAAAACGAGACCTGGCTGCCCCTGCTCGAGAAGGCTTACGCCAAAGCACATGGCGACTACGCAGCGATCGAGGGTGGCTACACTGGTGAGGGTATTGAAGACCTCACTGGCGGAGTGACCTCGGAACTCTACGCCTCAGACATTCTGGACAAAGAGTATTTCTGGAAAGAAGAGCTCATGAAAGTCAATGAAGAATTCCTCTTCGGATGCTCCACGGGCATGTGGGGGCGTGGATGGGGTGACCGTAAGGGCATCGTCGAACTTCATGCCTATTCAATCATGAAGGCGGTCGACATAGATGGTCAACGCCTTGTATTGTTGAAGAACCCCTGGGGAAAGGGGGAATGGAAGGGTGCTTGGGCCGACGGTAGCAAAGAATGGACTGCCGAATGGTTGCTAAAGCTTAACCACCGCTTCGGCGACGATGGCAATTTTTGGATCTCGTATGACGATCTACTTCGTAAATACCAGGCCTTCGATCGTACTCGACTCTTCGGGCCGGAGTGGAAAGTTACCTCCCTTTGGACTACGCTTTCAGTTCCTTGGGCCTCGGATTACCACGAGACTTATTTCGATTTTACTCTGGCCAAGGCCGGGCCGGTTGTCATCGTGCTTTCTCAGCTTGACGATCGATACTACCGTGGTCTTGAAGGCCAGTACCGATTCGAACTAAATTTTCGCTTACACAAGAATGGGCAAGAAGACTACGTTGTACGTAGCATTAGCCCATATTGCCAGAATCGTTCGGTGAATGTGGAACTTGAGTTGGAAGAAGGCGAATATATCGTCTTGTTGAAAACCAACGCGACTCGCTACATGGATAAAATGCCGATAGAGGAGGTTGTTCGGAACAATGCGCGAGATCGCAGGGACAAGTTGGTCGCTGTCGGGATGTCTTACGATCTAGCTCACAGCAAGGGGAAGGTGATTGAAACCCCCGAGGAAAAGAAAGCCCGAAAGGAAGCAGAAAAACGCAAAAAGGACAAGGAACGCCAAGCGCTCAAGAAGAAGATCATGGATGCGCGGAATCGCCAACATTACCTCCGCGTCAAGGATCACAACAAACGCCAGGAAAAGAAAGCCAAGACCAAAGCAAAGGCGCAAGTTAAGAAGGCCGCTAAGGAGGCCGCCAAGGCTGAGAAATCGAGAGCGGCTGCCGAGGAAGCCAACAATTCCAAAGAACAGAAATCAGGACCCGAGAAGGAAAAGCATGTTCAAGTGCTATCTCCAAGTCAAAGCCCAGAACCAGATTCCAAGGGACCAGGTTCCGAGTCAAGTGCTGATCCCAAAATTGAGACTCCGTCAACAGAGCCTGAAAAAACTTCTACGGATGCCTTACTGAACACCGAAGAGCATCCGGCTGAGATCCCCAAGGAACCCGAGTCTGATGAGACTTCGGGTTCTATCAAGATCGAAGAGAAAGTCGAGCCAGCTGAAGACACGGCGGAATTGAAGAATGAAGGCTCTAAAACAGACGAAGGTGACAAGTCTCAGGAGAAAGAAGCTAGTCAAGAAGATGAAGAGTCATCTGACGAGAGCGATGTTTCATCCGTGTCCGAGATTAGCGATAGAGAGCTAGATATCGAACTCGAACATCCGGCTGCACCTCCAGTCCGTCCTCCACAGCCACCTCCGGAGGCGCCGGAAGAAGAGGCGGATGAGTTCGAGCGTAAACCATGGAACGCTGTCGCCACGATCGGCCTGCGCGTCTACTATAAAGTATCGGATGAAGATAAAGACAAGGATATCGTGAAGCTGCGTGTAGTTCGTCCAAACCCGTATGCCAAGGACAAGAAAGAAAAGAACGACGGAGAGAGCGACGAGGGCGACGGCGAGGATGATAAGCAAGATGAAACCGAAGGCAAGCAGGAAGAGCCGAAGAGCTCCAAAGGCCTTGATGTCGATGACAGCTCCAAAGATGCTACTTTAGAAGGGGACAACGAGCAAAGGAAGAAGAGCATCTTATCTTTAACGCCGTTGGTTAAGTAACGCTGGATTCTCACGAATGATGGCATATGAAATTGGTTACTGCAGGCAAGATTGACTAACCGTTGGCGCTCAGGAGTAGTTGTCAAAGCCGAAGAGGAAAATGATTAATATTGGGCTCTTGGAAAAGTTATTAGCTACTAGTCTCCTAGGTAGAATACGTAGAACACCACTCATAAATTGTATCTGATAGTCGCTCGAGCATCTTGATCTGTGTTGGGAGTATATTTGAATTATAGTAATTTGTCACCCACTGCGGTAATTATATAAAAACGTATCTTGTCCAACTGTCCACAGCCTCGTAAATCTAGTTATGTTGTTTGAATTTCATCCATTCGTAAATTTTAGGGGTATCGTTATTAGCACACAAGCAAACAACCATAAGACTCCGCGACGCCTCATCCTCAAGTTAAAATTCTTACCATCAGCCCCATTGCCAGCACCCGCGCCCCTAGAACTCATCAAGCAACCTCTCAACCTTCACCCGTTCCACAGCCTCTAGGTCCTCCATCGCGGCGTCCTCACCAGTTTCCGGCTCCGCATCAGGGAGCTGCGCGACGCGGGCCGCGACGCGCACGAGCAGGAAACGCATGCGCTCGAGCTCCTTCTCTAGCTCGCCCTCGCGCGTCACGAGGTTAGGCTGCACTTTGTCTATCCCGTCCATCTCTTCCACTCCTCCTCCCACACCGGAAGCAAGACCAGGAGCAGAAGAGGAGGGAGCGGAGGCTGATATAGATGCGGAGAAGGAAGAGGAAGGAGGAGGCAAGGAGGTGGAGGCGGAAGTGGAAGGCGGGAAAGAGGCTAACGGGGCGAGGAGCCCGCGCATCCGGCGCAAGCGCTCGAGGCGCGAGGACGCTTCTTTGCGCTGCGCTGCGAGAGAGGTTAGCGTCGAGGCGAGGTCCGCGTACCGGTTCGCTTCGGCGGGGTGAGCGGCGGCTTGGGTGGCGGAGTGCAGGTCCCATGTGCTGGGGAGGGCGGCGATGATGTCGTCGGATGCTGGAGAAGGCGGGAGGTGATTAGTTTCCTACTTCGATTTTGAAATTTCGGAAGTGTTAAATATCACGAGGATAATGTGTACGAAAAAAAAAGACATACCGAAATCAGCCCCAACCCTCAAAAACCGTCCCCCCTCCTCATCCCCCCTTTCCCTCCCCTCCTCCCCCTCCCCCTCTTCACCACCACCTACTCCTCCTCCCGCGCCATCCCCCCTCACAGCCTTCTCCGCAGCCTCCAAGTACAAAGCCTCGATCTGCTCGGCGACGTGGCGGCTAGCCTGCGGCGCGTACACGCGGCGCGCGTGCTGCAGCAGCGCGTGGTTGGCGCGGTACAGCGCCTCGTCGACGAGCCTGTCGGGCAGCGACCCCTCGGCGGCTTGCGCGTTGGCGGCGCGCCAGGCTGCGCTGGGCGCTAGCGACTGCGAGAGCTGGAGGGTTTGGGCCGTTAGGAAGGAGGATTTGTGGGCGAGGATCGTGGGGGGCGCCATCGTTGCTGCTTCTTTTTGGGGGGGCTTCGGTTGAGGAAGACGGGTAGGATTTAGATGTTGGACGCGTTGTGGGTGGCTTGGTAGCGTCGATGTGGCGATTATTGAGGGTTCATCGCTGGATATTGGTTCCCAAGAGATGTTTCGGAGTCTTGGTCTTTGCAATTGGTGTCGTTTACTTGGTGAATTGGTGAGTATAGAATTGCTATATCTCTAAATTAGCAGGATCGCGTCGCGTTACGAAGATAGATGACCCCGCATTATGTAATCGACCCCGCTGTGGGGATTATTTGGAGTAAGGGGGTCCTGTGATGACATAATATGAGAGGTCGGAGACTTCAGGGGATGATGTTTCTCAATTTCATATATACAACTTCAAAACTAGAAAATATGACGACAGAGCTATACTATTCCGTTTTAGAAACCTGCTTTTATAAGTAATCCATCTATCATTGTCTGGTGCACTGTTACACGGAGTAAAACTGCGGGATTCGAATACCAAAGCTCCCGTCTGTTCTCTTGGCCATCATCGAATGGGAATAAAGTCATAAGTCAAGTCAGTCGTGAAGCGAAAATCAATTATGGTTGGGGTCTTATCATATCAGTCGCTCATAGTTGTCATCATAACGTAACATTGGACTCATATCATTCCATTGTCAAATCTATACCTAGGTATGTTGTTCAAGAATCTCATAGTCCAGACCACCAGAAAGTCTCGGCCACCTTGAACGAACCCCTGATAGACCTTTCTGGTGTCACGTCACTACAGTTAGCCACTATAACTTCATACTCGCCCTCCTCGGTGCACCACTCATCACGTTCCTCATCCCAGTAACTAACCGCGTATTTCGTCTCTACCTTCACCGTTACAGTCTTACTCTCACCCGGATCCAGCTCCACCTTGGCAAAGCCTTTAAGCTCCTTCACAGGTCGATTTACCTTAGCTTTCTGCTTTGGAGCCACGTACACCTGGGCAACCTCGGCACCCTTTACGCCACCGGTGTTCTTGACTACAAGCGATACATTCAGCTCTCCATCTTTGTCTGTCACCGACAAATCTGAGAAGTGGAAGGTCGTATAGCTGAGACCGTGTCCGAAAGGGAATAGGAGCTGGATGTCGACGGATTCGTAGTAGCGGTAGCCAATATAGACATCCTCGCCGTATAACACCCGACCACCCTCGGTCCGGTAGTTTAAATACGCAGGATTTTGCTGGACACGAACCGGGAAACTCAAGCTGAGCTTCCCTGATGGATTTACATCGCCGAAGAGAACATCCGCGATCGTGTTGCCTGTCTCATTCCCGCCATACCAAGCGTGGATGAGAGCATTCACATCCCTGATCCAGGGCATCTCTACCGGAGTACCAGATTGCATAACAACGACCGTGTTGGGGTTGGCTTTTGCGACAGCCGCGATCAGATCATCCGAACCAGGAGGGAGGCTCATATCAGCACGGTCGTTGCCTTCGGTCTCCCATTCAGCGTTGAGACCAGCACATACGATGACTTGGTCAGCACCCTTAGCTAGCTCGACGGCATGAGCAATCTCGGCCTTAGGGTCGATGACTTTGCAACCACCGACCCTAAGCGCACCGCCACTGAGAAGAACTGCACCACCTCCAAGCTTGGATGTCGGGCTCGATCCAAATGTGACCTTAAAGTTGTATGTCTTGCCTTTTTCGAATTTATAGAAACCCTTCTCCTCTACAGTGGCACTGCCAAAGAACGCATCTCCCAGTGTCTGTTTCGTGGTATTATCAACGACTAACTCGTCATTGATGTAGAGATTAGCCGATCCGGATACGACCACGCCGAATTCCCACTTGGCGTCTTCTTCGGCAACCAAAGATCCTTCGAGGGTCGCATACCATAGAGGACCCTTTAGATTTGGGTTTTCGTAATCAATGAGGAGCATCTCCGTCTTCAGTAACTCAAACTGGTCGACAGGTTTTCTATTCGGAACCTCTGGGCCATCTACATAAACTTTCATAGTCACTCCTGGTTCGCCATTTGTTGATGTGGTAGAATATCCGAGTAGAGGAAGTAGCTTGTGCGAATATTGGCCGATGGTGTATTCTGGTGGTGAAGATAGCTTGCTGCTGATACCGTTAAACGGGGTTACAGCGTAATACGCAGCTAAAGATGCGGATCCACCTCCATGGTATGTTGCAACCTTGGAGTTGGGTCCGATGACAACAGTCTGTCGAAATCAAATATTAGCCATCATTGAGAATTATTTCAAAATAAACGTTCAACGCAATACCTTCTTGTCCTTCTTCAGGGGAAGAATCTTATTATCGTTCTTCAGCAACACTATCCCTTCATTACCTATCCGCCGTAACAGTGCAGCCGTCTCAGGGGTATCAGCTGTGCCTTCAGGAGCATTTTCTTTCACACCACTAGCAGCACATTTCTTGACGAATTCCAACATCGCCTTCACTCGCTGATCCAAAATATGCTTCCGAACCTTGTCGGTTGAAACGTTGAACTTCAGAGGTTCGCCCCTGAATCGTGGAGGACCAGGCATCTCAAGATCGAGGCCAGCCAATGCCGCCTCTGTCGTTGAGTAGGTGCCGTACCAGTCGCTCATGACCATCCCATCCCAGCCCCACTCACTACGAAGCATTTTATCTAGAAGTTTAGGGTTCTCAGAACAGTAAGTCCCGTTCACCCCGTTGTAACCCGTCATAAATGAACCCGGGTTCGCATCTCTGGCTACTAGCTGGAATGGCAGTGCGTAGATTTCACGCAAAGCTCGTTCTGTTATGATAGCTTGCACTGCATTTCGCTTGTGTTCGTGGTCGTTACAGACGAAATGCTTGATGGTAGCTTGGATCCCCGTCGATTGAATGCCCCTGACAATGGCCGCGGCTCCTAGACCAGCTAGGAATGGGTCTTCACCGAGCGATTCGAATCCTCTCCCACCGAGGGGACCTCGCTGCATATTTATAGTAGGTCCCAAAATTGCGTGTGCTCCTTTGACCTTAGCCTCCTCTCCCATCTTCTTCCCAGCTTCCTCCAGAAGTTCTAGGTTGAAGGTAGCACCTAACGCTGTCCCACAAGGGAAGCAGGCAGCCTTGACGCCATTGAAGAATTTGGTGCCGCGAACGCCGTTAGGTCCGTCAGTCAAGCGTAGCGAAGGGATGCCGTGCTCTGGAAGCCCCTTCGTATGCCAAAAGTCTATACCTGCTAGAAGATCGACCTTGTCGCTCATAGAAAGCTTTTTGAGGACCTTTTCCACGTCGATATCTGCCATTTTGAAGGTAACCCGATGGAGCGAAATGGGAAATATGGGAGTATGGAGAAGTAGGTAGCTATGACACTTCCTACATGAGATGGGTAGAGAGAAAGCAAGGAGAAGAAATAGAGTAAGATTTAACTCATTCAATTACGAGCTTGCTACTTACTATATAGCTCAACTTCGGCCCCGCTACTGCCGCGTACTATTCGCTCTACATCATGCAAGGTTTGACAACGGAAGTTAACCAAAAACCGACTTCTACCAACTTTGACCAACGGAGTACGGATTTCATAGAAGCCGCATCTTGGCAGAAAATATCGCGGGGTGATATAGGTGATATAGGGTTCGCTGGATGAGTACAGGTCCGGCTCTCTCGTTCCGCCTCGTCATTTGTGACGTTCCAAGACCGCTCAGGTATGAATTGTGACCCTCGAGACCGGAAAGTAAATTGAGGGGAGCTTGGGGATAGGACGGCGGACGATAGTACCGAATCTGCCAACCCGCCAATTCATTTTATGTATTGCGATGTATACTGTATAAATGCACAGTAAGCTTTAATTATTAATACTATATTTTATTATTTATAAGGGTTATAACATTAAAGGATGTTATAAATTATAAGAAGTTATAACGTTTTTTAATTTATATTATTTATAATATATTAAATTTAAATAATAAATAATTTAAATTTAATGTTATATATTAAAAACGGTTTTTTATTTATTTTATTTAAAAATATATATTTATTTATTTTTAAAACACATTAATTTCATTTAAAAATATATATTTATTTTTTATTAAAGTTATAATATATATTAAATAATTAAATAAAAAATTTATTTTAATTTTTTAATTATAAAATTAATTTATTAATTATATTATAAAACATTTCATTTATTTTATTTTAAATTTATATTTTTTTTTTATTATTATTATTTTTTATTATATATTTATATATTTTAATTATAAAATAAAAATGTTTTAATATAATAATAAAAAAAATTTTTATATTTATAATTATTAATATTTATAATAAATATAAATAAATATTTTATTAAAATATATTATTTATTATTATTCGTTATATATATTTTATTATTATTATTAAGATTTAGAATAAATATAAATAACTTTATTATAAAGTTTTTTTTAATAATAAAAAAAATAATATATTTTAAATTATTATATTATTTTAAATAATTAAATTTAAAAAAATAATTAATAATTTTTTTATTAATTATAAAATTAAAATAAAAACGTTTTTTAAAAAAATAATTTTTAAAATAATTATTATTATTATTAAAATTCGTATAATTAAATATTATATTATTCCGATTAAAATTTAATAAATATAAATTTTTATTTTCTTTAATTAATTAATTTTATTAAATTAAATATCGTTAAAATACTTTAAAAAATAAATTTATTATAAATAAAATCGTGTTATTATTATTAAAAATAAATTATCCTTTTTATATAAAATATTATTATAACTTAAAATAAACATTATTAATAATTAAATTTAAATTTATTTAATTATTAAATGATTTAAATTAAAATTTTAATTATTTAAAATTAAAAGTTATTTTATTAATAAAAGTTAATTTTAATTTAAGTTTATAAAATTTATTTAATTTTAATTTTTTTAAAACTTATTTAAAATTTTTATTTTTATTTTTTTTTAAAATTTTAATAAAATAATAATGTTGGAAAAAATGAACCACGTAAATTAAACGAAAAGAAATTTAAAAAATGTTATTTTTAATTATAAATATTTTTAATTATAATATTTATAAAAGATAAAAAAATTAATAATAAACGATTTAATTAAAGGATAAAATATATGCATTATTAATTTATATTTGCTTTATATAAATTTAAACATTAATATAAAATAATTATAATTAAAAAATTAATAAATATTTATATAAAAACGTAGTTTATTATTATAATTATTAATTATACGAATAAAAAAAAATATTAAATATTTTTATATATGATTTAATTTAAATTATTTTTTAATAAATTTTAAAATAATGTGGGCCTTTTTTAAATTATATAATTAATTTATAAAACAATAAAATTCATTATAAATAATAAACATAAAAAAATTAATTTCTTAAAAAAAATTTAAAAATAAAATATATAATAAAAAAAATATAATTTTATTTAATGGTTAATTTAATTAAGTAAGAAAAATGGGTGTTATATGTTTATATTAAATTAAAAAATTAATTTAAAAGTTAAAAATATTAAAGCTAAATTTAATATAAATGATTTATTAAGTTTTAAAAATTTTTAAAAGAAATAATTAATAATTAAAACTTAAAATAATAATATAAAAAATTTATAAATTTAAAAATTTATATTA